GAGGGAGTGAGTCTGAATAGGTGAGCCCATGTGTGGGTTCTTTAATTGGAACTGCTTGGAACTCCAGAAGTTTCTTCCACTGACTCAATCCTGGCTGGTTTTTGCAGCCAGAAGTTATAGGGAATTATCTTCCTGGCACTGGAACCTGGAGCAAGGTGTGGGGCTGGGACTCCTTGCTCCCGAGGTATCCCTCTTAAATATTTGTCCACCATGGATGTGGGACCAGCCCATTCTGTGTCTCCACCCCTCCTTCCATTCTGGATGAGTGTGGTTTCTTTAATTCCACAGTTGTTAGACTTCCACTCAACTCAATTTCTGATGGTTCTGAGTGATGGTTGTTCTATAATTTAGTTGTAATTTTGATGTGGTTGTCCAAGGAAACAAACTGTGTTTGCCTATGCCACCATCTTGACTGGAAGTCTCCTTTATATTTTGTATTTGTCAGGGAAGTGAGGAGGAGAGCAGAGCAGAGGGGACAGAATAAATATAAAGTATAGAAAAGGTAAAACCAAGTGTTCACAATGCAATAAGCCTATCAATAATTTGATGTAGTTCTTTGTCCTTTCTGTGGATTTGTTTCTTTAAAGGACTGCAATCATTGTAAAAAAATTTTTTACTCCTTGCAACGGATTTACATCTATTATGTGATTATGTGCTGACTACCATAATTCCTCTATTATTGAACATTTTAGTTATTTCCATATTTTTTTCATGAAAACAGTCTTATGAAGAATAGATTTATAGTATAGAGTTCATTATCCATATTTTGGATAATTTCCCTAAAATAGGTTTATAGAAATTGATTAATTAATCCCCAGATGTCCCTATAACCTTATGTTTCTAGTGTAGGTTCTAGCACCATTGGGACCTTGCTCTCCATTGAAGTGAAAACAGCCCCTGGTCAAGTGAACTTGTACGTCACTGTGTTAAGTCTTAAGACTTAACAGCACTTGAGCTTCCTACGGATGGGGAGCTTTGGGGGAATAGGTCTGTTCAATCTGCCATCTTTCTTTTTTTTTTAATATTTTATTTATTTATTTTTTAGAGAGGGAAGGGAGGGAGAGAGAGAGAGAAAGAGAGAGAAACATCAATGTGTGGTTGCTGGGGGTTATGGCCTGCAACCCAGGCATGTACCCTGGCTGGGAATCGAACCTGGGACACTTTGGTTCCCAGCCCGCACTCAATCCACTGAGCTACGCCAGCCAGGGGAATCTGCCATCTTTCAAATTGATTTGACACCATGTGTCACTTTCAGCCCATGCACTGTCCTCTCATCTGTGACTGGCAGACTAGATGGTGTACCAGACAGAGTCATATTCCAAACCAGAGTAGCTCTCAGAAGACAGACCTAGTATCTCGTAAGCCACGTAACGATGGAATGGCTTAGTCACATAACCTCCTTGAGCATGGTTTTTAATCTGTAGCCTTAATGATACTGTGTGGGGGTCTTACGAGAGAACATATAAAACACAAAACGACATGCAAACATGGAGCTGCACTGCTGACTAAAAGAACGAGATGGAGTGGAGCTGCTCACCACTCGTTCCACTGACCGTTGCCTCCATTCACCATGAGGAATCACAGGACAGGCGCCCATCGCGGTATTTGAAGGTGCATCAGGACATTTGAATTTTGACAGCAAGGAGCCATTTAGAAATGAATACGCTGTAAAATACTTGAAGTATGAAAATAATTAGGTTGCCCTGTTTCAGACAGGGAGAATTTGTATTTTTGCCTTTAAAAAGTGAGAGTAACAAGGTTAAAGATTCTAAATAGGTGTCACTTGATACTCAGCTGAGAATGTGAAATGCTAACAGTGTTTTTGGTTTTGCTGAGACAAGAGCCCCACATCTGCTGTGTAGCTTGACTGGTTAGGAAATCTCTGCCTGTCCAAGGCCTTCACACAGTAGGAGACTTCCAGATGCTTTTTGTACACAATGCATTTTAGATGAAATGTACTCTCTAATGAACTGGATTCTTCCTTCATGTGCTGGGGAGTATGTGGTCCCAAACAGGGTAGAAAGAGGGGCCTTTTGGATATATCCCTCCTAAATTTTTGTCTAAAGTTGGCAGGAGTTGCCTCTGAGTTCTTTAAGTTGCTTGAGCAGATCACCACTAAATAAATAGGAACACACGTACTGTGTTATCTAGACATAAAAAAGGCCAAAGAGGAAGTGGAGATAAACAAATATCAGTTTATGATTTAGGAGGGGCCCAACTTTTGAATATTCAGCTAATCAGATTCACTTTGCCCTTTCCTGCCCCCAAATCCCAAAACGTAAGCCTGTGTGGGGAGGGACTTATTCAGAAAGAGAGAGAATAGAGGAACAGAGAAGAAGATGGGAGGTTATTTTTTTGTGTGTGCTTGGGGCTTGGTAGAAAAGGATATTTTGCCTTTGGACCAAAGTAGACGTCTAGAGGGCAAGCAGTCCATCATGGTCCAGAACCAGAGGGTCAAAGAGTCTGCTTCAGCTAAGTGTGGAGGGTGGGAGGAGAGAGGAACAGGGGAGAAGTAGGCAGACCACCACTAGAGTCAGCCATGGGGAAGGAGAAGGGACTGGGGAGGGCAAAGACCACGTTCAGAAATCTGCCCTGGACGTCTCTGCCTGGATCTGGCTCCTGGGCCAACCCAGGTGCGTCCCTCTGCTTCTGTTTCCTTCCATACAGCAGCCTGTTTGGCACCAGAGACCGGTTTCGTGGAAGATGAACTGGGGGTGGGAGGGTGGTTTCAGGATGACTCAATCGCATTGTGTTTGAGCTTGTCCCCTGCTGTGCGGCCTGCAGGTTGGGGACCCTGCCGTAGAGTGTCTGCACCAGGCCCTCTCACAGCGGGACCATCCAGATGCTCCCGCCCAGGGCGTGTGCAGGTGCTCTCCCCGGGGCCTTCTTCACACAGGAAGTCTCCTCGAAGTCCTGCCCACTGCAGGCGCATCGCTGCTCCATGGCAAACACAGAACTCTTACCTTGTGTGGAGAGAACAATAGCAATTGTGTAAAAAAGATGCATAAATGTAATTTGAAAGAATGCATTGAATATCATGTTTCACTCTTCATCTTTGGATGGTGGAATTATGGTGGTTTTTGTAAGTTTTCTGTTTTCCCAATTTTTCAAGAATGATTATTTTTATAATTTAAAGAAAAGGTATATAAAGAAGTGAATCAGCATTTGCAAGTCTTTAAAAAATAGTTTAGTGGAAGAAGGGAGGTAAATATTTCAGTTTTTGGAAATGAGTTGAGAAGGTGCTTTTCTGCAGTCTACCACGGGGAGAGAGGGGAGAGGGGGAGAGAGGGAGACCGAGCGCGGAGCAGGAAGCCTAGCTGAGGGAGGCGGCCGCTGTGGGAAACTCAGCAGCACCCAGCAGGGATCCCTCCGCTACTGGAAAGCCAGAGCAGAGGGAGGCAGACGGGCTTGGGGACGGAGGCGAGAGCCGGTCAGAGAGAGAGCGGGAGACCCATAGACATAAAATGAGCTTAGGGTTGCATAAACCACAGCTGTGTGTCTGAGGGCAAACTGTGTGTCCTAATGAATGCAATGGGAACAAAATTCTCACTGTAGGTTGCTTGGTGAGAACAAATGAGAGACGGTGATGTCTTGAAAGCACACGACATAGCTAGTCTCTGCTAATTTTCTGCTCGTTTTGAAATTTTGGCTGTGATCAGCGCTGCTCGCTCCAGGATCCCAAGAGGAAGGAGGGACAGGCTCTTTCCCCTCCTGGGTTCGCTCCGTTCGCTGGGCGCCTAAGCAACACGCCTGCTACTCTCCTCGTCCCTGATGCCTTCCTTAGAACGGAGGTTTTCAGATTTGATTTTATGACCTCAGGAAAATACAGAAGCCACCTGTATTGTTGCTACAATAATTTATTTAGTTATTTTTGTTTCCAATTTTGTTGAATGTGGAAAAATAATATGTGCATATTCTGGGCCTTGCACACGGGCACGTTATGATCAGTACTGCTGCATCATTTCAGTGAATGTAATACATACATAATACACAGATTTGTATTCATGATACAACTGAATTGGAAGGACAATTACATTATGAAATCACATCCAAACGGTTCAGCAATTGGCCCTGACCTGTGTGGCTCTGTTAGCTGGGCATCATCCTACAAAGCGAGAAGTTGCTGGTTCGATTCCCTGTCGGGGCACATGCCTGGATTGCGGGTTCAGTCTCTGGTTGGGGTGCTTATGAGAGGCAACCAACTGATGTTTCTCTCCCTCTCTCCCTCCCTTCTCCTCTCTCTACACATAGATAAGTAACATCTTTTAAAAAAAGGTTTCAGAAATTGTTTGAAAAGATAAATGGTGAGAAAATTGGGTCTTTACGTGGTATTGGGCAGTCTAAGCATGCCTCTGAGCAGCGTGTAAAGAATCAGCATTGCCAACTGTTGTTTTGTTGTTCTCTCCTTGGGGCGTGTCATTCAGCAGCCACTGATTAAGTCTATGTCTTTTTAAGTAGCATTATAATAAAAATAACTTGTTAGTGCTAGGTTCTCAAAACTATTTTTAACATTTAAAAATAGTCTGTGTACTACTTAAACCATGAAAACTTTATCAAGGAGATTTTAGAGAAGCTGCTTTTTGTTTTTCACATCATAGTGTTGTTTTGTTAAGAACCCACCTCTCTCTAACAGTCAGAGACTCCCCCTTGGGGTTAGGCTACTGATGAACCCAAGTTTCTGCCTCCACAGTGTGCTCAGAATCCCCACTGCCCTCCTCCCGCCACCGGAGGTGCTGTGCTGGGCCATGCCTGGTTCTCCTTTAGGGTGAATTCCCTTTCAGAAGGCTGTGTGTGTGAACAATCTAGCACCCACCCCTCCGCTCCTCGTGCTTAAATGGGCCTCATCACCATGCAGGCTCAGCCTGGGATCTCCACTACTACCTGGGCCTGCAGACAGAACAGAGGAGTAAACAAACGACTGAGTGAAATAAACAGGGAATTCACCTGGCAGCAGAAAAGCCATTGCCTGCTCACTGTACGCTTGTGTTCTCTCTTTCTAGGTGAAAGAAGACAGATTTAAGGTAGAAAAGGAGAAAGGGAAGGCAAAAACTCCCAAGGACAAGAAGGCCTCGAATGCCAGCGCTGGCAAAGGGAAGGGGAAGGATCAGCCTGAGGCGAGCTCAGTGGTGCGAAAGACAACCCAGCTGAAGCACAGGGGAGAGGAAGATGAGACCAAAGTTTACATCGGTGAGTGTGGTGCGCCTCGTGTGGTCTCCCCTTTGCTGCTTGCCTTGTCCCCTGCGAAGTACCTCGAGAAGTCATTCCAATACCCAGGCTTAATCTCCCCCAGCCTTTTCACTTTTATAAAACCACCAATCACATGCTACCCATGACCCCCTAATAGAAACATATTTCTATTTGCGATTCACTGATGTTTCCAGCACACATTTATTCAGTTCCTGTCTCGCTGGGGGTACGCCGACACACGTACATACAGGGTGACACAGTGAGCTGGCTGTGGCACCAGGGAGCTTTCTCTCTTCCTGGGGACATTTTTAAAAGTCATACATAATTATAAGGCAAAGTTAAAAAGTGACTATTGCCATGAGTGAAATCCAGCAGTAATAAAAGGAGACCAGGTAACGAGGGACTCGTGCAGAGCATATAGCTTCCTGACCTCAGTTTCTCCCCTGCCAGTTTGTCTTAGGGCTGCTGGACTTTTCTTCCATTTCAGATTGTTGATGTAAAAATGATCTAGGTTAGGCAGCTATGAGTAATTCATTGCCGCTTCCCATGACCCCAGGCGGAGCTCCCCGTTACTGTGTGCGTCGTATGTGAATGCAATGGCAGGCCCTCAGGTCCTCTACCGGTTTCACTCGCCTTCTGTGTGTGAAATGCACGAGATCCCCTAGACTCAGAAGCAGTTACATCATGGATTCCACGGGCAACGTCAATGCTGATTTGTTTCGTGACAGAATAAAAGTTGTTACTCGAGCACGAAGAGGGTGTGCATCTGTTGCACTGTTTGAAAACTGATCTTAGTGGGCTATTGTGGGATTTCATGGCTTTGGGTACCATCTACTCTTAATAATTGCTGCATGACCCCTCCCGAGCATTCACACCTATTGACATAAGTACACAGGATACTTTGGTAGGGAGCATGCCCATATTCAATATTTCCCTCTCCTGTAAACACCTCTACTTATAAAATTCTGCAAAGCTGCAGCTACTCGTAATTCAGGAGTAAATCCAGATGTTGCTCAAAAGAGATTAGAAGCAAAAAAAATACTACAGCCTAAACATTTTTTTTCTTTTACAAAAACCCAAGCACACATTTTCCATGCCCACAGGCCCCGTGTATGTTTGTCCTCCTATTACGCCCGTCTCATTTGCAAAAGTGATTTAATATTTTGTAAAATGGCCACAGCCTTCTTACTGGAAGGGCAGTAATGAAAACCAGTCAACACGACTGCATTCCAGCCAACTGGACTGCTTTTGGCAAGCCAGAGGGATTCTAAATGCATGCATAATGTACACAGCCATTGAACTGGCTGAGTGCAACCTGTTCTCTTTTAAAGTGACGGCTCCTCTTCTTTATGGTATTTTGCACAGACGATGAGCCAGATGATGGTGCCCAACATTACATTATAGTTGTGGGCTTCAACAATCCTCAGCTATTAGCGATTATGACTGAGCTTGGCATTCCCATAAGCAGCGTGATTAAAATATCTTCCGAGAATTACGAACCTCTGCAGACACACCTGGCAGCAGTTAGCCAGCAGCAGGAAGTTTTTCTTCAGCCACAAGGTATGCAGTCTGCTACACAACTTACTGGATCCTTCAGTATTACCCACGGTCCTTCAAGTAGAAATACAGTGTTCTGTCCAAAATGTAGTCATACAATGCGTACGTTATTAAATCCTTTCGAGACTTTGATTCGCTTTTCATTCTGCTTGCACTAGCCAGGTGTTGTAAATTCTGCAAATTAAAGTCATATTCTGTGTTTATATCCCTGTGTAGACACAGAGAACGTAGACTCGGGTCAGAAGACTCGGTCATCCAACTACATTTCTCGGGAACATTTTGACCTGTGACTTTTACCTAAAGCATGGGGCGGAGAGATCAGCTATGTAGATAATCCATTTTTCCAGAAACCACAGTAACTGAGTGGCTCCAGGGAGAGCATAGCCTTGGATGCTCACTCTGCTCTGCTACTGGTTTATCGTGATCAATCAGAAAGGGCACCTTATCTTCTGGGCCTGAAGGTAGCAGGCTGTGGGGGAGTCCCCACCACACCACCATCCAGCCACTGGAGCCTGGAGGTGCTCGTCTGGGGGCGCTGTGCTGGACCAGCTCCGCGAAGGGAACAACGTGCTGCCTCTTGCTTCAGGTGATAGGACTGGGACTTGGTGTGTAAGCCTGTGTGACCCAGAAGTTCAAGCTCCCTCTGCCACAGGCTGTTAACTTTTATTGTTACTTATTAATAATATCATTTGCGCAGTGTTTTGTAACTTACACAGCCATATCCCAATCTCTATAACTCTTCATTCTTAAAGTTCCTGTCCCAAGTAAGAAACTGCTACCAGCATGAATAGTAATAGCCATCATTCATTGGGCACATGCCTCGGCACTAGGCACAGTGCTAAGGGCTTTCCTGTAATGGTGTATGTACGTTTTCACACCCACCCTCAGCAATACACTGAATTTCCATGTTACCAAAAGAGACTCTCAGCCCAGAGGCAGCTATTAAGTAAGAGTAGAGATTCAAACACATATACTTCTATCTCAACGATAGTTACAACGTTTGGTATCTTATCACTGAAGCCAGTGGAAAAATGCTGCATAAACCTCATAGTGTCTCTGTAAAAATTATTTAATATATTAAAAGAAATAATAGAAAAATAGTGTTATAATAGACTAGTGAGATCTTGGTAGTAAAACCCATTTAACTATTGATATAATAAACATATATTTCAAAATGTCAAGTGTAACTTTAAGGGAAACTGTCATTATTTTATAGTCAGAGCACAAATGTCCGGAGAAGCCAGTAGCTGGTTTAATGTGACCGAAGTTAACAGAAGCATAAATCAGTGACCCTGTTTGTTTTGAGTCACGTGGGAAAGGAGAACTAAATCAACTGGCTTTCTAACCAGTTATGCAGCAAATAGACACCAAGATGGTCAAAAAAGTGCTTTGGCAGCAAAACTGCTCCTATACAGATGCAATGTAAGAGTGATGAAAACATTGAATATATTAGCTCCCAAAATATGTAACCTTACCACAGTCTTTCTGGGCCTCAACTGTGAAGTGAAGGGGTTGGGACCAGCTCATGTCTAACACCAATTTCAGGAATAAAATCCTCTGACTTCATAATCATATAGTCCAGGTCCCAATTTTTCTCAAAACTACATTTTTGAATTTGCATTTCCCGGTACTGAGTTAGACATCTTGCGATGCATATGACTCACCATGTCCACTGCGAGTGGGAAGTCATACAACAAACACACTCTCATTTTGTAGTATAACCCTGTTGCTATTATTAGATATAGAAGCTGAGAAATTGAAGAAAGAGAATGCCATGAAGGAACTTGCCATTTTCTGGAAGTACTTGGAGCCAATCCTGAATAATGAGAAACCTGAAACAAATCTCTTTGATGTTGCTCGGCTGGAACACGTGGTGCGGGCAGCTGCCTTTCCTTCCAACTGGTCGGACGGCAAGATGCTGGTCAGTGCCCGCAGCGACTGCGGTCGGCGGTGTGCGCGTGGACGCCACGGTTCTGTCTCCCACTCGTTCACCCCACACGTGTTTACTGGTCGCCGACTGTAGATGAGGTTTTCTGCCAGGCTCCTCTACCTTTGAGACGATAACATTGAATGCCCAATAATGGTTATAGCCTGATTCTATAGCTCTCAGTGTATGAATTACTGGCAGAGAATAAGCTGTAGATGAAGATAAAGGATGATAATTCTTTTATTTGGTGACGTGTGGCTTTGTTTCATACCTTAATGTTCTGGACAGTAAAGTCTTTATATTAAGTGTGAAAATAGTAAATTTTACAGTTTGTCACATTATATTCTTTCTTTTTTTATATATGTTAGTTCAAGACATTTTTTCTAGGACCTTGCTTTTATTGCCACAACTGTATTTTTAATATATCTGGCCAACAGGTCTGTCCTAGTAGGATGGCTTGACCCCAGCCCACCAATCAGCAGGCGTTTTCTAAGAGCACTTACTGGCCCTGCTCCTGAGGTGCTGGCAGAGAGGCAAGACCGCACGTGGAACAGAGGGGCACTCAGGGTGCTCCACTCCTAGGTGCTCTGTCGCGGGGAACTCACTCTTAAGTTGCCTATCCATTCAGAAAAAGTAGACGTGGGATGCTTTGAAAAGTAGCAAATGCTAGCTACATGAGGGTGTTCTTAAAAACTCCTTATCCTAAGTGCTAGGGAAGACACCTAAGCATCCCAGTTACAAAGAAACCTCTCAGGTCTCTTTCTGGTTGAGCAAGCACCTACTCCCACAAACAGAGGCCACAGGGGTGGCGGGCCTCCTGCAAGGCGATGCATTTCAGCATCAGGGGAACTTATCTGAAAGCACAGTCCTGGGGGGACCCCGTGAAGGGAGTGCTCTGAAGGGAGCTGGGCAGTCAGGGCAGAGGAGGTGGACAGGTGTCTGTGGACAGTGACTACAGACAGCTGCCCAGAAAAAAAACAAACGGAGGAGAGTGAGCCAGAGGGTATGCTGCCCGTGGCTATGGGCTGGAGCATGCACATTTTTTCATTGTAAGAGTCCCTGATTCCATCACCTTAGATAGACGTGCACCTGGTAAAGTAAGAGGTAAACACAGGAAAGGGAGGCCCAGATTTGAACCTCCAAGGATGGACAGAACTTGAATAAGTAGCGATGCACAGCTCAGTTTGAGTTAGAAAGACTGCCCACAAAAGGCATTAGCTATCACTATGTAGAAACAGCACCCTTAAGTCTGATACCTTGCCGATAGTAAGAATATATATGAGATTTGTCCTACACTTGAAAGATGAAGCTACCCATAGAAAAGCTGTAGCTGAGAACAGAATTTGTTCTAGGCAGAACTGGTTCCTGCAGACTCCTTTGACTCAGCTTCTTCCCGCCCCTTCCTCTGGATGTCTGTATCTTTCCTGCTTTGTCTTTACTCTTCTGCCTTCGAACCCCGAATGCTCAGAAAAGAATCCACTGCCATCTGTCCTGTAAAGCTTCATGTAAAATCGCGCCAATATGGTTCCCTAATCTCAGAGACACTGGCATTCCAAGTAATGGAGCACGATGCCTATTCCGTGCTGTTGTATTGGAATTCTAGATTATACGCAGCAAGTGTGAGCTGTGTCTGAGGAAGAGGCTATTTCCCTAGGATCCTGACATCCTACCTCCAAGCCACCTTTCCACTCTTTGCAATAGACCAGCCCTTCTCCTAAGCACATGACATCTATGCCTAACAGAAACCCACATCCACAGATGTATGTTTTAGGGAAACGATTCTCTTCTCCTCTCTTCCCCCCCAGGGCTAGCTGCACACCCTGTCAAGAACTTGTATACATTTTTGGTTTGATGGGGCATAGGAGATACAGCCATACAATTCCTAACCATAATTCAGAGGAGGCAACAAAAAGAGTCTCTAATGCAGCCTCAACCCGAGTACATTTCGCTGCTGCTCTAGTTAGGGCTCCTCCTGTGTGTCCTGTCTAATCCCCAGGCATAGGCTGGGAAGAGTTGAAGTGTATTGTTCCCAAGGCAGAGTGTGTTTCGCTGTGTCATCAGGGCATGAATGTGGAGAGCAGGGCGTACAACTGCAGCTTCCTAAGACCCGGCACCATTCCCAGCATTCTCCTCGCTGCACCCTTGTTCACAGTGTTCTGTCCATCAGAAGATTTCAGTCACTCCATTTTAAAGAAAGTGGGTATGGCTACATTTTCCTTTTAAAAATGCAAAGAAGACTTTCAATGACAGATATCAGAAAGATTACTTATTGTTGAAAAGATATGACCAGCTTAGTTGAAATACTACTAGTTCTGGTAGAATATTCCTGACTTTGGAACTACATTATTAACATCTAGGTTGTCTCATTGGAGCACGCAGATAACTGTCAGGAATGAAAACTGACACCAGTCTAAGGGGTATTTGTGGCCACGGTGCCCAGCTGGACACACTAAGCTTCCATCAGGCAATTCTCAAGTCTCTATTGAGCATCTTTGTATTGCCAGGGCCGTGGTCTGTAGTCTTTCAGAGCCCAGGCATGCCTCTGTAAGGTGAGTGAGGAAGGAAAGCCTTGAAAAGCAGTTCAGTAATGGAGTTGGGCTCCAGGAGAAAAGGCCATTGCATTGAATATTGAAGACAAAGTTCATTGGAAACTTAGGATTGCTTACAAAACAGCAAAGTAATCAATCCCTTCCCGGTAGAAGTAGACTAGATAGGGGGCGCTGCACTCTCAGCTGTGTCTGTAAGTTGATAATGGCCTCGTATCCAAGGCAGGAGCCAGCCAAGGAGTCTTCTTCCTCTCTGGAAGAAGGAAAGCATTAGTACCTTTGGCTGCAAACAGGCAGGCTGTATTTCTGCTGAACCAAGGTAACGAAAGCTTTACATCAAATACATGCCCATCATGAAGTGCTAACTGCTCGCATAAGACATCTGTAACATCTCAAGTTAAGACCTTGGTTGCTGAAATCATTTGCTGGCATTTAGCATATGATTTGCTGTTTGATTTAAAAATAAATTAACTAGTTAAGCTAAGGGATCATCGGGCAGGAGTTTTACTAGATTTCTTAAACTACAAACAAACAAAAACATGCTTCAATGCCAGACTTTGGGCGAAGAATGCCAGGTGGAAGCTTACCCAAGGGAAGCTTAGTGTTGGAGTGGGCACGTGGAGGCCAGCCCGCCAGCTGTGCCATGAGGAAGGGCAGAGCAAGGCCCTCCTCTGGACTCCAGGCAGACGGAGAGACTCCCTGGCCCCGCAGACTCCATCTCATGCTACCTCACCTCCTCAACTCACATGTAGGATGAGCCTATGTAATCCTCCTCTGCTTTCAAGCAGACAGACCTAGCGATAACAGTGCCTTTCTACTGCTGAGCATGAAAGCCCAGGTAACAGAAGAATCTGACTTGTAGCTTACTTGCCAGATCATAAAACTTGTGGGTGTCATAGGAGCAGTAGTCCTTTGAGATTTCTTAAGGTTTTCCCCCCTTAAGTTAGCTCAGGTGAAAGAAAGAAGGAGAAGCAGGGAGGGAAGGAGGGAATACTGACTGCCCATACACCGCGGCGCACTTGCGTGAGTGATACTGAAGCTGAGCGGGCGCTTCCCGGTGTGCTTCTCGCACAGCCAAGCAAGGAATCATCTGGAGCTGGTCTTGGGCTGAGAAATTGAAGTTACCTCTCCAATGTGTTGTTGTAGGAACTGAGCTACCTAGAACATAAGCCACACTCCTGAAACTGATGAATGGGGCGCTTTTCACGTAGTTGAAGCGTCCATTAGGCTCTTACATTACTAGGCAGGCATAAGGCCCTCCAAAGGCAGGCGAACAAGAAGAGCGAGACAGGCTCAACAAACAAAGCCTCAGTCACCACAGCAGGGATTCGGTGGTTATGGAAGTGCGTCCCTGTGAGAAGTGATAGGCCTAACAATGAGATGTCCCCTCTCATCTGTCAGAATGGCCATTATCAATAAACCAACAAACAGCCAGTGTTGGCAAGGATGTGGAGAAAAGGGAACCCTCGTGCACTGCTCGTGGGAACGCAGACCGGTGTGGCCACTATAGAAATCAATATGGAGTTTTCTCAAAAAATTAAAAATGGAACTGCCTTATGTCCAGCAATTGGACTTCTGGGTATATATCTAAAGAAACCCAAAACACTAAAAAGGAATGATATGTTAACCATTTGTGACGGCATGGATGGACCTAGGGGTATTATGCTCGGTGAAATAGGTTGGTCAGCCAGACAAACACAAATACCATATGATTCCATTGACATGTGGAAACTAAAGAACAAAATAAACAAGATAGAAATAGACTTACAGATACAGAGAACAGACGGGTGGTTGCCAGGGGGGTTGGGGATCAGGGTCTGAGTGGAAGGGGTGAAAGGATTAAGAAGTTCATATTAGCCCTGTCTGGGTTACTCATTGGTGAGAGCGTTGTCCCGATACGCCAAGGTTGCAGGTTCCGTCCCCGGTCAGAGCACGCACAGGAAACAACCAATGCATATGTGAATAAGTGGAGCAACAAATTGGTGTTTCTCTCCCTCTCTCTGTTCCCCCCTTCTCTCTCCCTCTTTCTTCCAAATCAAGTTTTAAAAAGTACAAATTGGTGTTCACAAATAGTCATGGGGATGTAAAGAGTCAATAATATTGTAATAACTGTGTGCCGTGCCAGGTGGGCACTGGAAGTATCTGACTGAACACTTTGTGAAGTATTTGACTGTCTAACCACTATGCTGTACACCTGAAACTAATACAAAATAATAATGCATGTAAACTGTAATTGCAAAAGAAAATATTTTAAAGTCATAGGTTTAGCTGTTAAGGTACATACACACCATGTATCTGATTCCCACAATATGGAACTAATTAATTTTCATTAATTCTGTCACCTGTAGCTGGAACTGGGCACCAGTATTTTTGAAAATATTGCCTGTTTGATGTATGACAGCCTGGATTGGAAAAGGCAGCACCAGCACTACTTGGAAAGCATGCAGCTCATTAACGTCCCACAAATGGTTAGTGAGAAACCTCCCTTAGAAGCCCCAGTAATTTCTGAGGTAGACACGTGCTCAAATGTCTTTTGTGGACTGAATGATTCCTGCCACGAGAAGGGGTGCCACATTGGTCCCGCCCACGGTGCAGGAAATGATGTCTGGGACAGGGAGGGCCCTCGGGAAGGTCACCATGACGTCTAGCAGCTCCTCCCACGGGCTAGCCCTGTGCAAGGTCCCGGCGGTGCAACAACGAACAAGACTCATCCCCGCCCTCCTCACTGAGGGTAACTTTCAGAGGGGACAGCGGTCAAGTCGAGAGCAGGATGAGCGCTGTGGGAGGCCTGCCCCCCTCGCGGATCCGGGGAGGAGCAGGATGGGGACAGAGGGGTCAGGGCAACCTTGCCCCGCAGGGAAAGCGGTGTGGTGAAGGCCGAGGAGGAACGGCCGGCCGAGGGGAGAGCCTGATGGGGCAAAGGGGCAAAGGTGCGTGAAGACCTGGAGGTCAAAGACAGGAGTGCTAGGGCACAAACCAGGACCGCGCGTGATCAGTGCTCCCATGGCACGCGGGCGCCGTGGGCAACAACCACAAGCCCTGAACTCGTGCCGAGTTAGAGTTTCCCGCGAAGGTGACGGGAACCACTGAAGGAGTCTAAGGAGGAGAACAGTGGGATTCTGGGTCACGGTGGTGGGGCCCAGGGCGGGCTCTGAACTCGCAGTGCCCCCGCGCCACCGCACGCACCCGGGCGGGAGAAGTGCTCGGTGCGCCCGGTGGCGGCGGCGGCGGCGGGGAGAACCGGAAGGCGCCTGTACTGTTCAGTCTTCCGCGTGCTGGACCCCAACACCCCCGAATGGCTTTGTGGTGCGAGCGATTGTACCCGCACAATCTCAGCATCCTGTCAGACCCCATCAGACCCCATCTGATGAAAGCGCCTCCCGGCCGGCCATCTCAGGTGTGTGTTTGTAATTCTTCTCCTTTCAGACTCCACAGTCTGCTGTTCTCGGCGCCGGGAAGAAGAAAGCACAAAATGGAGAACCGCAGGGGCCGGCATCAGGCACGTGCGAGGCGGGTCGCTGGGCCAGGGGCCGGGCTTTCGGGAATAGTGACTGCCCTCCGCGTGGCCTTCCGCTCGCCGCCGCCCCCTCGGGGCCCGCAGTCGTCACTGCGCGGCCCCAGTTCGAACGGGTGGGTGAGCTCCGATGAAAGAGTGGAGACCGCATCTTGGCTGAGCCGGGAGGTTTGGTCTCTTTCGCAGTGGCTTCCGTCGTCACCCCGGAGGCGGACCTGCGCTACTACAATGACTTGCTGAGTCCGATTCCGGAGGAGTTCATCTCCGTGCCCCTGATCGTGCACTGCATGCTGGAACAGGTGGGTGGGCGCCCTCGGGGGCTCGCTCCAGGCGGATAGCCCCACGTCAGTCACTTCATCTCTCTTTGCTTCCGTGGTTTAAAAACTATTGTAAAATTACATACACGATACCTGAATGCATTCTCCGGTGCAAAGATGAGAGCACTTGAGGGAAAACGGAAGTTTGCTTTGATCACCACCTGCAATTCCCTGTCTTTTGCTGTGCTCTGGAATAGCTTCTGGAACGTTCCCTGAAGTTTTTTGTATTCTAACGAAAGAGAAGGAGTGGAACAGACGTGTCCGGCGGTTAATGGTCTTTAACTGCCTTTACAATGCCTTTTGTTCTTGTAGACTGTCAGCCTTTTCCATTTCTCAGGCCAGCTTTAGTCATTAGTATTTTTTAAAAGAAATCTGTCCATTTTATTTGTGCTTTGAATATCCTACAAAGTTCTGTATTCGCTTTTATGCATTTTTAGATTTCCTTCCTGTCCGCTCACGTTCCTTTTCAATGACTGATGTCGTTTGCCTGTGCCCTCTCTTTTCCGCATCACGGTTGTCAGTGGTGTATCCATCGTACTGGTCTTTTCAAAGAGCCAGCGTTTGTTTCATTGATCAAGTCCTTTTTACTTTTTATTTATTTTTTCATGTATCTTTATAATTTCTTCCTGCTTTCTTTGGGCTTATTTTGTATTTCATTTTGATCAAAACCTTATTTATTTTTGGTCTGTTTTGCTTCCCTTAAGGGTGCACATTTCCTTCTATTCCTTTGGCTACCTCCTGACACTTTCAGTGTATTCCATTCCAAGTCTTTTATTATTATTGCCACCCTTTATTGTCAACTAATTTTACTGCATTAAGGTTAGTAAACAGGGAGTGCGTGTCACAGCAAATGCTTTTTTAATTTCCTGGCTTACTGAGGGGCCTGGTGTACACATCCACTTTTTGTCAATATCCTGTATGCAGTATTTGACAATTTCTTATTAATCAATTCATGTAATCCTTCAAACAACCCAACGAAACAGGAATTATTTTTACTCCTTAACTTTACAGGTAAGGAAACCGAGGCATCAAAAGGTTAATTAACTTGTCTAAGTAGTAAGTGACAGAGACCGCTTTTGAAAGTAGTCGGTCTGAGTGGGAAAGTACTTTGAAAGCACTGCTCTGCTGTCTGCCTCCTGGGGTTCCTGGTAAGCAGTCTGATGTCAGCCTGATACTCTTTCCTTTGTAGATGCTCTGGTTTTCTTGCTGGCAGCTATTAGAATTTTCTCTTGATAATTGGTAACACAAGGCTACGTCTAGCTATGGCTTTGTCTGTTTTATCATTGTCTTCATGATGTAAGAAATGATAACCTGGTTTCTGCTCACATTCCAAGTAAAATCAAAATCCTTGACACTGGTCCATGAAGACACTGAAGCTGTGGCTCTGGGCCCCACGCGTCATCTCATTTCTTGTTCCCACCCAGCCTCCTCTCCCAGCACACACCCACTGTTCGTTATGCACACAGGCCTTCGGGGTTCTCCTCACACGCAGTACTTCACTCTACCACATTCTTCACTTCGGCTTCTCCTCCTCAACAATCTGGCTCCCACCTGCCTGCCTGGTGGATTTTCCTCATCGCTCAGTGCCCGGTGGAAGTGGCAGCCCTTCACCGGGCCTCCTCTGATGGCTTGGTCTGGAGAAGCCGTTCTTCATTGCATCGCCTTGTGTTCTTGTCAACAACCACCCTTTTAAAGATACATCTGTTTGCTCTGTGCCTCACCTTCGTTCCAGGACTGGGAATGCATGTTCCATGCACGCAGGGACTTAACTAGTCTTGCTCAAGGTTGTGTGCTCAGCACATATTACTTACACCCAAACCATAGTAGACACTATTTATTTGTTGAAATAAATTATATTTTAAAATATTGTTTCTCCTATTGATTTATCCTTATTATTATTAGGTGGATGTTAGAATTTCTGGTTTTTCCTTCTTGTCTTTAGATTTTTCTTTCAATTTTACCATTTGGGGAATTCCAGCTTAACTTCCAACTAATTCATTCTTCAGTGGAGTCCAGTCTGCTATTGAAGTTTTGTTTTGAAAGTAATGTTTTTAATTTACAAATTCTCTAATTTCTTTTTATAACTACCTGCTATTGTTCTTATATCATGCATATAACACATTCCTTTTATCTCTCTGAATATTAAAATATTTAAAGTTCTTTTCAGATATATCATTTCTGGTACCTCTAGTACACATTTGTATGTCTGTTGACTGCTTTAATTTTCTAACCAATTAGGTAGTAAGCACACTCATGTTTGCCTTTAATTACCCCATAAGGTCTTTGGGAGACCAATAATTGTATATATCAGTAAAGGTGTAAAAGCTTAAAAACCTGATACAGCTTGCAGCATCATCACTTTATTTATCTTAGTCTTTCTTATACTGTTCAACTAAACTCAAAGCAACAAACATTTATCAGCCATCCACTGTATTCCAGCACCAAGGGAGCTCAGTGCCTGACCCATAGAAGGCACCAAATAGTAGTTACATGCTGGCTGAATAAATGCTCAGTAATAATAGGGTAGAAAATGGAAGTGTAAGAGGAGTGGCTTGGCATTTTACAGGATAGAGTATTAGAGTTCTCACATACCAGAGATGGAACAGTTTTTTTTAATTTATTTTATTGATTATGCTATTACAGTTGTCCAATTTTTTTCTCCCCTTTATTGTCCTCTGCACTGTACCCGCCCTTCCAGCAGCATTCCCACACCTTAGTTCATGACCATGGGTCATACAGATAAGTTCTTTGGCTTCTTTATTTCCCATACTGTTCTTAACCTCCCCCTGTCTATTTTGTACCTACCATTCATGTTTCTTATTCCCTGTACCTTTTCCGCCTTTCTCCCTCTCCCCCCTCACTGCTGATGACCCTCCACGTGATCTCCATTTCTGTGATTCTATACTTGTTCTAGTTGTTTGCTTAGTTCATTTTTGTTTTTATTTTTGTTTTTTTTTTAGGTTCGGTTGTGAGTTTGTTGTCATTTTATTGTTCATATCTTTGATCTTCTTCTTTTTCTTAGATAAGTCCCTTTAACATTTCATATAATAAGGGCTTGGTAATGATGAACTCCTTTAACTTGACCTTATCTGGGAAGCACTTTATCTGCCCTTCCATTCTAAATGAAAGCTTTGCTGGATAGAGCCATCTGGGATGTAGGCCCTTGGCTTTTATGACTTGGAATACTTCTTTCCAGCCCCTTCTTGCCTGTAAGATTTCTTTTGAGAAATCAGCTGACAGTCTTATGGGAACTCCTTTGTAGGTAACTGTCTCCTTTCCTCTTGCTGCTTTTGATTCTCTCCTTATCTTTAATCTTGGGTAACTTAATTATGATGTGCTTTGGTGTGTGCTTCATTGGGTCCAACTTCTCTGGGACTCTCTGAGCTTCCTGGACTTCCTGAAAGTCTGTTTCCTTTGCCAGATTGGGGAAGTTCTCCTTGACTATATTTTCAAATAAGTTTTCAATTTCTTGCTCTTCCTCTTCTCCTTCTGGCACCCCTATGATTCGAATGTTGGAACATTTAAGATTGTCCCAGAGGTTTCAAGCCTATCATTTTTTTTGAATTCTTGTTTCTTCATCCTGTTCTGGGTGAATGTTTCTTTCTTCCTTCTGCTCCAAACCATTGATATGAGTCCCAGTTTCCTTCCTGTCACTGTTGGTTCCCTGTACATTTTCCTTTATTTCACTTTTCATAGCCTTCACTTTTTCCTGTATTTTGTGACCATACTCAACCAATTGTGTGAGCATCCTGATTACCAGTGTTTTGAACTCTGCATCTGATAGATTGGCTCTCACTTCATTGCTTACCTGTATTTTCTCTGGAGCTTTGATCTGTTCTTTCATTTGGGCCATATTTTTTTTTTGTCTTGGTGCACCTGTTACACAGTAAGGGACAGAGCCTTGGGTATTCACCAGGGCGGGGCAACCCACATTGCTGAGCTGTGACGCTATGCATGGGGGAGGGTCTGAGAGGGAACAGTGGCACTTGCTCAGTTCTCACGAGGCTTTCAGTCACTTTCCCCACTACCCATAAGCAAATTGGGCCCTTCTGTTGATGACTCCTGGGTGGGTGGGTTTGTGTACTTTTTAGGACCCCATGGGTCTCTCCAACGAACTCTCCTGTGAGGCTGGGAGTTTCTCTTCCTTCCTCAACCCCTACAGGCGTTTTCAATCAGAGGTTTGAGGCTTTGTTTCCCAGCACTGGAACCCTGGGTTGTGCACTCTGTCTCGCTCCCCAGTTGTTCCTCCTGGTTTATCTGCACACGAATGTGGGACGATCCACCCCACCAGCCACCACCTTGCCTTGAGTCCTCTCCACCTGGCTTCCCATCTCTGCCCTTCCTGCCCATCTGGATGAATATTTTTTCTTTAATTCCTTGGTTGTCGGACATCCTTACAGTTGGATTTTCTGTCAGTTCTAGTTGGTTTTTGTTTTTACATTTGTTGTTGTCCCTCTTTTGGTTGTATGAGGAGGCACAGTGTGTCTATCTACGTACGTCTCCATCTTGGCCGGAAAAGGTGGGACAGTTTTGAATGGTCTTTTGTGATTGGAGTGGGTCCAAGGGCTGGATGAAAAATAGAGAGTAGAGGCGTGAGTCACTTTTCTGAAAGTAAGGAGTTGACAAAAGGTGAAGTACGAGACTATTTTGTTATCAGTCTACAGTGGTAGTTCTCAACAGAGGGTGATTTGCCCCCTGAAGACATGTGGCAGTGTCTGGATCTATTTTGGTCATCACAGTTGGAGGGGTTCTCCTGGCATCAAGTAAGTAGAGGCCAGGGATGCTGCTACAGTTTCTGTAGTGCACGAAATAGCCCCACGGCATACTGCTGTAGTTCATAATGTCTTCAGTTCAAAGGCTGAGAAACCCTGTGGAGGGATGGGAAATCACAGAGGGCGCCTGTGGGATTTAAGGGGAAGGGAAAGGCTCTATGTTAGGTGCTTATCTTGATTATATTTCAACTTCTTCTGTTTACCAGGCACACTGAGCAAGGCTTGTACTCTTTCTAAACCTCACTCTCCATGTGCAGCAGACTGTTACCCTTTACTGACTTCACCTTCTCTATCTTAAAGGAAGATTGAGGACCTGACCTAACCCTAGTTCTTCCCACTCAATAACCTGGGGCCTGAACCGTCACCTGACCTCACTTGCCCTGGTTTCTCTCTCTGTAAGACGGAAAACAGTATCTACCCCACCCACAGCGTTGCTGTGAGGCTTAAATGAGATCATGTACGCGAAGATGTAGCACACGGTGCCGAGCGTGGGGTTGGCATTCAGTAAATGTTCTTGGACCTGAAGGTGTGTAAGCATTTTTTTAAGAGGAAGAGTAAATCATTAAGAAAAAATATGTTGTTATTTTGATTTCGATCATAGTGAATTGTCTTGCTTACCATTTGTATTTTGTTATCCTAATACGTGTTATACTTACTTTAATGCATGGATTGCAGACATTTTTCCCTGTTTTTTGGTAGTCACTGGTAATTACACTGCCACTTTGTATAAACACTGCCCTTTATTGGTGGAAACTGCCATGTTTTTACTGAGAACAGTGGAAATACATGAATATCAATATAGAGCTGACCATTAAACCACTTCGTCCCAACGCTGTACCTCAACAGGTCGTGGCAACGGAAAAAGACCTCGTGCCGCCCAGCCTGGTGGAGCCGCCCCCCCGAGCGGACGGGCTGGACCACAGAATCGCAGCTCACATCGTGTCCATCCTGCCCTCGCTCTGCCTCACCGAGAGCGAGAAAAAGGTCAGACGGCGTGAGGTGGCCAGAGTGCTTGCGTGTTGCGAGAAGTGTGTGTTCTCTCTCTTTTAAAGCGATATTACTTCATTTGAATAGAATCTCCATAAAGTATTTTTATGTGAAGAAGAAAGCCAAAGCGAAGAAGTGCCCGAAGGCCCGCTGCTGCTGAACTACCACGACGCGCTTGCCCACAAGAAGTACGCGCTGAAGGTACTAGTAACCCGTTCCCTGGAGGATGGCGGGCACGGGAAAGCCCGTTTGCAGTTGTTCCGTTAAAGAAATCTTACCTTATTAGCTTTACCATTGCTAACGAAAAGTACGGTACAAAATGAATACCTGTTTGCAGAGTGAGACCTCAGACAATGGAAACAGGTAAGGGAGAAGTTAATGTCATCAAAGAAAACTTTCCTTATTGTGGTGGTCCAATAAGCCGTTAAATTGATTGCGACTATACCACATTTTCATTAAAACTTTATAGTGATTTGCTTTAAATATCTGCTACTATGAAAACACTAATGGAGGCCACGAAAGACTCTCAGAAGGGAGAGGAATACATATGAGACTTCAGCCGTGTGTCACTGTGAACGCAGAGTCTGTCATTTCTAGGCACCAGGGACCTCTGGTGAAGTGAGAGCTAGCTTTGTTGGCCCTCAGCAGCATGCCAGTGGTTGGTCTTCCCCAATCACCCATGCGTGATTTCCCCTGTTCCCAAGCAATGAGAGGGCAGGTATTATGTTTTGCCTTCTCCATATGCATGAGGCACTTGACAGCTGACTTGAATGTCTTCCGTCATGCTGCTCTTTTTCATCAGGACCAAAAGGATTTTGACCCGGTTCAAATTGAGCAGGAGATGCAGGCCAGGCTGCCACTGTGGGAATTCCTTGAGTTCCCTCTGCCCCCACCATGGAACAGCATTAAACGTCTGGCTGCAATTCATGAGCTCTTGCACTTTTGTACAAATGGTGAGTACATGGCTTGGTCTTGGCGCACATTCATTCATTTGTGGTCATGTGTGTCCCTTAAGATTACACCCAAGAGTATTTTGATGGTTGAAAGACCTTTTGGAGGCTGAGGGTGGTGGGTATTTTGATTGACTACAATTTCCTTATCTTGAATAATGCTATTAGCCATACTACGATAGCTACAATGCTTGACCTTCAACTTGCTGTACTGGGTGTTCTCTCCGCTGTGCTTCCTGCTCCCCGTCCCCCGGTGCCATGCCCCCTCACTGACATCACTGGTGATGAGGTGGTGACCCTCCCCTGGTTAGGGGGGTAGATGAAGGAGAGAGCCCCCTGCCCGTGTGGTGCTGAGAGTGTGCTGAGTCCAGGTAAGCTCTCACAACAGGAAGGGCCATTTCAAGCTCTTAGAGGACGGTGCAAAGAAGTGCCATTAAGAATATTAAAATCAGCTTCTCATTGCAGAGTTCACTGGAGTTTTATGTTCTAGAGAGTCATTTCTTAGAACAAATTCTGTTCTCCCTTGAGGCAGTAGGCAGATGCATTCCTGCTTATAGGAAGGAATAAGAAATTACACAGACATCTTTATTAGACAGAAAAGTATTTGGCCTAGAAAAGAAAATAGCATGTACAGATTCTTCCTTCTCATTACTTTTCCAACTCTCAGCAAATTACAAAATACTTTATATGGATTTACATGATTAGTTGTTAATACCTACCTGCTATGCTTATACCTTAGACTTCTGAAGTTGAAGAACTCAATCTTTTCTCTGAGGCCCAGGCCCCTATGACAAAGCCTAATATATAGAAAACAAAAATGAATGAGCAAGGGAGTGAGTGGATGGATAGTTACATTTAGGGGTAAAGGAATAAATATGCAAATGAATAGAGCTCACAGAAAGCTGATAACCTTTGAAGGGCAATCATGGAAAGTACAGCACCAGCCAAGTAGGTGGAAAGAGGCCTTTTCTGAGTCTTCACGAAGAAGAAAGCCATTGGACACAACAGCCTATGTTAGAAACCAGTGAGTAATTTTTCAGTTTTAAATTACAATAGCAGCAAGGGTGCTTTTGTTCAAAAAGGCTAAAAGTTTTACCCATGTTCAACCAATAGGGCCCCCTGGAAATTCCACATGAATTCCTCCGGACACATAATGTTTATTAAGCTATGAAGCAGTTCGGGAGCATTATCTTGACAAATTACATCTCTATTGTGCAGCTGTCTTATTGTTCGGCACCTTGGTTGTAGAACTGCGGAGCCCGTGTTGGTCGGGACGATGCCCGTCCTGGTGTGACTCCCTAGTCCTCCTGGCGGGCACGGCCCCGGCGGCCCCCGTCAGCCTGCCCCAGGCGGAGAGACGAGCACGCCTGGCAGCACAGGTCCTGCTTTCTTACAGAGCCCCTGAGCTGGAACGAAGTAGAGAGAGCCTTCAAAGTGTTTACTTTTGAGAGCCTGAAACTCTCTGAGGTGGATGAGGAAGGGAACCTAAAGCCTTCTAGGAAAGTGCATGGGACCGACGCCGAGACGATCAACATCCCCTGGGACAACCCCGCCAGGTTTGCTAAGCAGATCCGACAGCAGTGCCTGACGAGGCTGAGCAGGCGGGAGGCCAGGCGCCCAGCAGGTATGCCGCCTGGAGGGAACAAAGGGCATTCCTGTATCTTGTGCTTGTCCGTGTTTCCAGCATTGTAGCTCATGAATCCTCTTTGCACTGACTAGATCCTACTGAAGCCCAAGACAGAACTTTATTTATGGATCAGAGTTTGTCAACAGCTGTGCAAGATAAGGAGATCAACAAAGACCCTTCAGACCCTGGTCAGACGGATGCTGACAATACGAAGAATTCTGACCCAGATAATGAGAAACCCTCAGACCCTGAGGACAGAGAGCTGTCAGGGCAGCAGGCGGCCAGCTTGGAGACGCAGCCACCAAGGAAATCTGTGGGTAAGCGAACGTGTGTGTGCGTGTGCAGACACTGTGAAGTATGTGTTAGGAGCCAAAAAAGCGATTCAAGAGGCATTATTTAAATTCCTCTCTATTTCTATTGAAAAATCGTTGAGTGTAAAGTCATCTGGGTAATTAAACTTTGTTACTGACTGCTACTATTTGGCAAGTCCTCTTTATTTCAACCCTTGTTTTTCAAAATATCCTAAAGCCTCTTAGTCCACTCTTACCTTAGTAAATGTAGTGCATTTTTAATTACTTAAACATGTAATTATGAATTATATAATTACAACTTAATTAAACATAATCAAAACTTTTACCATCAGTATTTCTCAGGTTACTGTGATTATGTGAAACATTTGTTTGAGAGCTACTTGCAAGAACATGACGAACTGCCCTGCACTTTATTCAGAGTCACCGCTCCACAAACACTGATTCTTTCCCTCTCCTCCTTATGGCTCGGGTCATTGCCCTCGTTCTAGAATATAACATCATGACATTGTCATATTCGGAGGTATGGAAGTATAGAAAATACTGGGCTACATTTTTATTTGGCTATTGTACCAGTAGCTGTCAGATGAATGACTTCAAATGCAGCTCCGTCATTTCCCTGTTCATACGGTGCAGCGGCTCCCTACGCCCTGCAGAACCGAACCCAGCTCCTCGGGCTGCTGTGCTCACTTCTCCCGGGGTACCACATTACCCCTCCAGAACCCTTCCCACCTTCTCCCTTCTGCTCACTCATCCCATGCTCCAGTCAGACAGAAATTAGGCCCTATTTTCCCTACACAGCCTGATTTTTTCAATTTTGGGGTCTTTTCCCCACAAGACCCTCCACCTGGAATTCTCTTTTGATTATGTTTAGGTTTCAGCAGCACCCCCCTGAAGCTTTGTTGGATGTGTCCACCTGGAAATGCCTCCTTAGCATTTCCATGGTCACAGTTAGTCTGCAACCTCTCTATGGCATCAGTTGTCACTTCCCACCATGTATTACGGTTATTCAGGTGCCTGCACTCAAGCCTCTGTAACACTGTCACTTCTTAGACGTCATAAGTAAGTTTGTCTTAAAAATATTAACCATCCCTGGCCAGTGTGGCTCAGTTGGTTGGAGCATCATCCTGTAGACCAGGAGATCACAAGTTCATTTCCTTTTCAGGGCATGTGCCTGGTGGTGGGTTTGGTCCTGGTCGGAAAAAGTGCAGGATACAAACAGCCCCTCCCTCTCTCTCTCTCTCTCTCTCTCTCTCTCTCTCTCTCTCTCTCTCTCTCCCCCCTCTCCCCCATCCCCTCCTCCCCCTTCCTTTCTCTCTGGTATAAAAAAAATTAACCATATACTAGAACATAAACAAAGTCTCAGCAAATTTTCACAGGATCAAAACTGCACAATATATCCTGAGACCACATTAAAATGATGGAGGACATTAATTACAAAAAAATGAGAAAACCCCCAAATTTTTAAATTAAGACATGTACTTATATATAGTACCTATATTAAAGAAAAAGTCACAATAGAAATTAGGAAATATTTTGAACTGAATGATAATTAAAATACTGAATATCAAAATTTGTATAATGCAGCTAGAGATACTCAGAGATTTAAATAAATATATTTAATGATATATTTAAATGAATACATTTTTAAAAGATAGCTAAAAATTAATTAGCTAAACATTAAACATCAACCTCAAATAGTTAACAACTAAAATAAATTCAAATAAAGTAAAAGAAAAAATAAATCGATGACATAAAAAATATAGATGCAATAAGGAAGTACAAAAACCACAAAAGTTTGGTCCTTGGAAAAGACTTAAATTGATAAATATTTTATAAAAGATTGATCACAAAGAGAGAAGCGTGAATAACCATACTAGTAGTAAAACTGTAACAGGAATAAAGAAACTGACTTCCCTTTGATCCTACAGAAATTTAAATAGTAAGAGGATATGAACAACCTGACTCCACCAAATCTAAAAGTGAAATGAGAATGTCACTAGAAAAGTGTATCTTACCAAGAATGACTCAAGAAGAAATGGGAAACGTGAATAGTCTTGTAACCATTTAAATAAGTTAAATCAACAATTAAAAATGTTCTCAAATAGGACATGCCAAACCTAAATGAGCTCATTTATTAGTAATAAAACGTAAAAAAATAACTTTAATCTTAATAAAAATAATTCTAGGAAATAAATAGAGGTATCCTCCTCTACTTTTTTTTATGAAGCTATTAGCATCAACCTTATAATAAAATCGTTCAGGATGGTTCAACAACAATAAAAAAAATCAAACTTACTCATGAACATAAATGCAAGAATCCTGAATAAAATGCAGGCAGAGTGATCTGGCAAAATGATAGTACCACATCACAAACAATTTGTGTCTTTATAACAGGAATGGAAGGAAAAACATACATTGTAAAAATACATAATTTGTCAATATAGCTTACTAATTAGCACATTAATGAGAAAAATAACAATCATCTCAATAAGTTCAGGAAAGGCACTTGAAATTCTATAGTAATTTATGAAAAAAATTTTAGCAAACTAACAATAGAAGAAAAATTACTCTACATTTTAAGGTTTTTTTTTTAAATTACAACAAACATATATCAAGATGAAAAGTTGAAAGATTTTTCTTGAGATCAGGGACTATCCATAATAAACACATGTATTTAATATGACATTGGACATGCTAGCCAACTCAGCAAAGCAAGAAAAAGAGATGAAAGAATAAATATCGTGTTTGTAGAAAATCCACCCACACACCAAAACTCAGGGTCCACACGAACGCTTGCTGAGGGACCTGTGGGTGTGAAGGGCGCACGTAGAACGCTGGGGCGTTCTTTCCGTTCGTTCGTCCTCCTGAACGTTAATAACACACTCTTCTGTGTGTGTTATTTTTTATAAATTTTTTAAGCATTAAAAAAGTGAGTGGTTCGTGCCACAAGAGAGCAGGTGTTAGGTCGGTGTTGACTGAATGGTGAGCTTCACGTGTTCATTTACCTAGACGGGGGTAGAAGAGGAAGTCATCGATGGAGTAAAATTGGGGGAATCGGCTTGAATATTGCTCTGCTATATTCTGAGCACTATGCTAAGGTGTTTTACATCCACTAACTAATACTTTATACAAACATCAAGCCTATGAGGAAAGATACTATTATCCCAGTTCTAGAGACAAGGAAATGAGGCCACAGAGGGGTGAAGTAACGTGTCCAACCATATAGGAAGTCAGGATTCCAACAGAGGGCTAATTCCAAACCAAAGCTTTCTTCGCAGTGACTTAGGATTTCCTAGTTCTGGAAACTCCTTGTGATGCACCTGATGGTTTGCCATGTTCATAGTCTCGTTTTCATGCTGGTGCTTGTCCTGATTTTGTTATGTTGGGGTCTTCCTTCTTTCCTTCCCATTAGGGTTGATTCCCTATTTCTCCTTTCTAAGTGTGCTTATCTGTTAGCCCAGGTCACAAAAAAATTAAGCCAAACAAGCTAATGCCAAACAATGTTATGGCATTAGTTCATCCTAGGAAAATATAAGCATATGGCAAATAAGTCACTTTGAATTAATATGAGCCAGAATAAGCCAGGAGAGATATAAGACCTGAGGTTTTTCTCTTTGTTTTGTTTGTTTTGTTTTGTTTTGCTTTTTCCCCCTTTGGAGCAACTGGTATGTGATTTTCCTCAGGCAACTTTTGCCACCTGGTGGTCAAACCATATAAATTGGCATTCTGGATCCTGGTGGAAAGTAGACAGTTACAGCAACTTCCTAAAGTATTGGGGCTGAAAATTATCAGTGTATCTGGAGGCTGAGCGATCTTGAGAGCTGCACCCACAACTTGTAAGGGACTCTACATGGTATATGTTAGCCCACCTCAGGGAACTGTTACATTTGAATGGGGGAGGGCAGTGGAAGCTTAGTGCCTCTCCGTGGCTGTTGTGTATGAGAGACTTTTTCGTTGTGATCCTGCATTTTTCCCTCAACTATGAATCACATTCCCAAAGCAGCCACTTTAAATCTTTTTAAACACAGCAGAAATTGTTCATGTATTTCCTGCACAACTATCTTAGCATCAAATACATATAAAAGCCTGTTTCTGGACATGAAGAGCTGAATATTTGTGCTTTTCTTAACCAAACACTGGATTTCCATCTGAGACTGTTTTTGAACTTGACAGGGCCTATTGGATATTTATGAAAAACCTGAGAGTTGATAACCGTGAGGCTATAGGTTTAGATGTGCCCTTTATGCTTGTTGGGTGTTTTTTTAATAAAGTAACTGCTTTGCAGAGGGATCTTGTTATCTCTAAAGTAAAACAGATTAGGAAAGCTGTTTTTCAAAGGGATGGGAACGCATCCATTTCCAGATGTGTCAAAAACTACTGAATCACACTGTCAGAGGGCTATGCAACTGAAGGCAGAAATCAAGAAGAAAGAAAAAATGATTTTTGTTCTACTATTAAATAAAGAGTTCAGATTAGTTTGAGAATGTTCTTTCATTTGACAAAATAACTGATGCAGTTTTCTTAAGAACATATTTTCTAAACTCAAGACTTTTTCTGCTGGATCCTTAATCACAGAAGGGAATATCAAATCTCCCGGAAATCTGGCAGACCGCAGAATAGAATAATTTTTATTCCACAGATTTCATATCAATTGCTTCAAGGACACATGGGACATCATGGTCTAGTTAGAGTTATAGTTGGCCTGAGTTTTCTCTTGAGTGGATATATTTAAATAAATACTGAACTGAACTGACTGTAGAGTTATGCTCTAACCCAGAATGGAACATTTGTTCCATCACCTTCAGCGGCCCAGGGCAAAGTGGAGCTAGTAGGAAAATAGAAGTAGCTATGCTCCTAACCGAGAGAAAAACATTGTTGCCTCTTTGTTAGTAGACATAATGAATCCCTCTGGAAGCCCAAATACGGTTCTTTTTGCCACAGATCTTATGCTTACCCCCAAATAAGCTGTTGTTGTAGGGTTTCTTCCACATTTCTGTTTGCTCTACATCCATTTCCAGTTTCAATATATGATATAGATTCAATTCAGTTATATGCATATTTACATATGTGTATTTACTGAGTTCCTACCCTGTGCTCAGGGTATAGTTAGGGAGAATATGACGAAGTTCTTATTCTCTAGGAATTCACATGGGAGATGCCAAGGCAGACGTAAACAGATAGCATCAGGCAATGATGAATGTTAGGATTAAAAATAAAGCGAGGTACGAGGCAGAGGCTTTTGAGGAGGTAACACTGGGCAGCAACATGAATGAAGTAAGAGTCTGAAACAGATGAATATTTCGAAGCAAAACATGCCAGACAGAGAAAAGCAAGTGCAAAACCCTCCAGACACGGAGAGCAGGCCAGTGAGCCTGGAGTGGAGTGAGCAGGAGGGAGGGGATGGAGATGCATTTGGAGAGAGCAGCTGGGGCCCGCTCATAAATTACTTTATTCATTTTCTGTTATTCCAAGGGTGATAAAAAGTCAAGCTGGCTCAGTGATTCGGCAGCACCACAAACATCTCACAAGATGAATCTCACTATTCCATTTCGTTAGTCAGATTTGGAATGTGCTACATACTCTGTCCATCCCTCTGTTAGAGATGCACAGTCACAAGAGCATATCACAAATTCTGAGATGCTCACAGTGAAGATGCTTGTTTACCCATGTTAAACTAATTCGTCATGGAACTCTTTTTTTCTATGTAACATTCGTAACTGCAGGAATTACGAAAGCATGGTGATGCAGAAATCAACAGCATGAATCTGTTTTTCTCCACCCATTTATAGGGCTTTTTGCTCCATAGGCAAGGATCATGCCTCAATCCCAGCCAACATGTAAGGACCCTCTCTGGGCCCAAGGAGAGCTAGCGTGCGTGACTCCGACGGTCCATGGCATGGTTCCGTGGAGTCCAGCTACCCGTCCACTTATTCCTGTAACTGACCTTTGTTAAACTCCATCTGTAAATCTACAGGCGCTCATTAAGAGGTTCTTACATTCATAAACAACTAATGAACAGAAGAAGAGGTTGCAGGTCAGGGGAACCGTACTGCTTTCTAATTGGAGGTGCATTTACCTGGTAGTTCTCGTTTCCATACACCCTGTGCCCTTGACCCAATCTGTCACTCACAGGGTACGACGCACCGAAGTTTGAAAGGGCTTTGTGATCGCTGTCAGCATGACAAGACCAACAGCGTGTACTAAGCAGTCGATATCATTTAATCAGCAAATATTTGCAACTTGTAAAGGCAAAGGTGCATAGACATGAGTGGTACAGTCTGAAGTCAGCATATCTGTTGTGATTCAGGAACATATATATGGGAAGCTGGGTTCTTTTCAAAGGGTTTAGTGTAACTTTTCTAGATAGACATTGATTTAGAGTTATTGACACAAACACCCTTTTGGAGGCATGAAACATGCCTTTCAGAAATTACCTTTTCAGCACAGAAACGTAGATCATACGAGCACCAAAAAGGCACAGCACTGACAGAGGCAAGAACAAAGCCCAAACGCAACTGAATGTTGGTGTCTTTGATTTACAGAGCAGACCACGAACAATGAGATCAAAGATGAAACAGTCACAAAGGCTGATTTTCTTGAAAAGGTAAGAAATTATTTTCCTAAAAGTGTAGAGACAAGTAAGCTCATAGGAGAAAACCGTGACCCAGAATAAGAAACATATATTTAAAAAAAAAAAGATGCTTGGCAGGAGAATGCAGATGCCAGAGAAGGAGAGAGATTATTCAGACAGCCCAGACCAGCTCCAGCTGGGGAGAAAGGAGTTAACTTCCAAGCTCTATGCTCCTCTCTAGACAATGTGGCTTGGCAGCCTCACAAACACCTGCTGACCATACAGCCGTGTAGAACTAATACTGTCTTGAAGTGAGTTCAGAAAACCTGCCTGTAATTGCTAACAGGACTCTGAAGAGTATAACCTAACAATAAAAATATTTAGATTATGTTGCCCATAAAAAAGAAAGTCAAAGGCATACTCTTTCTGGCAGCAGGTCTCCTAAAATGTTGCCATATGGAATTATACATATGCAGATTTCCCCAATTAGACGGAGTGCAGGCTGGTTAGTTGATGAAGTCCAAGAGGGCTCCGTCCACAAATTACGGCTGAAATTGTATTCCTGTGATTTTTTAGAAACCCAAGAAGACGACTGTGGAAGCAGAGTTGGAGGACATACAGAAAACACAGCAGCGCAGTCTGAGGGACTGGAGCTTCACGGAGCATTTCAAACCGAAAGTCCTGCTGCAGGTGTGAATGGACTGCGGTTCAGTGCGGTTCTTCCTGAGTCACTCTCACATCTCGTGCAGATCAATAGTCCCCTTTCCTTCCGCTGTAAACCGCGTTGGTTCTCAGGTTGAGCTGCACATGCCCAGGAAACCTCCAAAACAGTTTAAAATGTGCTTTCCAAAAGGATGTCTTTATCAAATATTTGAAGAAAAAGAAATGTACGTGACGGATGCACATATTTTCTTTAGGAAAAAAAAGTGAGACGTTCTTGGGAAACAACCTCATTTCCCCCCATATTGCCTGTCAGTTCCGTTCAGCTCTCACTATCCTTCGAGTGTGTTCTGACTCGGTTAACAGGGCAGTGGAACCCGCCATAGCAAACGTTTGTTGAGTACCTACGATATGCTAGACAATGGCTAATAAGTATTTCAGCTCATTTAATCCTCCCAACAATTCCATGAAGTGGAAACTATTTAAGAGGTAGGAAACTGAGGCACCTCGACCGGTAGTCACTCGTCCAAGGTCACGTGGTTGGTAAGTGCGAGAAGCAGGATGTGAACCCAAGAAACCTGGCCCCAACCTTGTGTGCTTAGCCCCTGTGTTAACAGGACCTCACGGCTAACTCCTTCGGTTGCTTTTACATTTCACGCAAAAACCTGCACTCTTTTCTGTTGTCTGTTTAATTTCAGTTTTACTTTTATCACAGTTTTACATCCACATATTTTTAAAGCCAAAAAGTTCTGTAAAGAATCCTATGAAAAATAGCAGGTCCCTCCCACTCCCACAACTGCATTCCCAGATGTAAAATCTTCAAGCTATTTACCTTTTTCTTTTGTCACTTCACTCAGCTATCTCTAAATAGCAAGTGTATTTTGTTTAGTTTCAGTTTTAGTTTGGGGCATTAGCATCAGCTGACTCCCTGTTGAAAGGACAGCCCTGCCCACCTTGCCCCACCCCCCTCTTCCCCCCCCCCGCCCCCCCGCCCACACACACTGTCTCAGAGGCCCCTGCGTGAACACTGGCACTCCTCTCGTCTTCCTCTGACACCGCTGACTCGGCCATAGGTTTTGGCTGGATCTGTATCAGTATTTACTTCATCTCAACGGTGTACTTGTTACTTACAGTTGAATTGGGTAGTATTGTATGATTACTGCATTTCCTTTTCTGACACAATTTCTATTTTTCCTGGAGTTCATTTTCCCATGTTTTTCATTTGTTTCCTGTGCATTTATCACTACTCATCCCCAAACCCTCTACCAAAGAGTAAATCTCCTTTAATACATTCAAGCCTAACAAGCATTCTATCAATTTTACTGTCTACGCGGTCTCTCTCCCATGTGCTGTGAACTGCTGCTTGCCCTCCAGGCCTGGCGCGCAGCTGTGCTCTGGGCGCTGCCTTCCCTGCACCGTCCCGGCCCCACCCTTTGCCTCTCTGTCCAGCTAGATGCTCCGTGTCCTGCATCCCAAGTTGTCTCCTCTCTTGGGTGACTGACTTTCTAGGGGACCACCTCTTCCAGTTGCTTCTTTAGTTAAGATACATAGGAGGTAAATTATTGGGGCATTGGATTTTTGAAAACATCTTAATTCTACCCGTACACTTGACTGACAGTTTGGCATTATGTAAAATGCTATGATAAAAAGTATTTTCCCTCAAAACTTTGAAGGTAATCCTCAATGGTATTCTAGCTTCCTGAATTCTCCTTCAGAAAGTTCAGTGAAATCCTGATCCCATATCAGCGGTTTGAGTCTGTTGTTTCCTTCTCTGTGGAGGGTTTTAAGATGGTCGCTGTTCCGATGGTCTAGATGTCCTGCTGATGTTCCGTGGTGTGGCTCTGTTCCCAAGGATTGTACCGGCGAGCCCAGTACAACCTCGAAACTCCTGTCTTCACATTCTGGGAAGTGTTCCATAATCCTTTCTTTGACGGTCTTTCCTCCTTCATTTTTTCTATTCTTTCTTCCTGTAACTCCTGTGATTCTGGTGTTGGACTGCGTGAACTGAACTTGCAATTTCATTATCTTTCCCTTTCTGGTTTCCAACGCTTTGTCGTTTTGTTCTGGGGATACGGCTCAGCTTTCATCTAGGTCTCCTACTGAGTCTCCCAGTTCTGGTATCATCCTTTCAATTTGCTGAAGTTCTATTTATAATTTTATATTACCTCTTTATAGCATCCTGTTCACGTTCCCTAAAACCGTAGCTCCTCTTATCTCTAGGAGGATATTAAAGTCCTTTGAAGTCTTAGTGTTTTCTTCCTGCATCGTCTCATTTTCCTCAAGTTTTTTTTTTGTTTTGGATTTATTTTTTGTCTCTACTCTTCATATGAGAGAGCAGTATCTCATGATTTCTGCCTCTTTGTTCATATCGATAAGGAGACATTAAGAGAGGATAGGAGGTGCTGCCTGAGGCTGGGGGTGAGTTGTCAAGAACCGGACTTCGCTGTTGGAGGCTGGGCCATGTGGTTTCCCTGAGAGACCTATCAATGTAAAAAGTACAAAAAGAAATCATATCAATAATTTTTATATCGATTATGTTTTGAAGTGATAATATTTTAAAATATGTCTACTATAAAATTTAATATCACATGTGGCTCCCATTTGCGGATCATCTTACGTTTCTACTGAACAGTGCTGAATCGAGCTTCACACAGTTCCCTCTTCCTGTGGTGTATCGCTCCGTCGGTGGTGCCGAGGGCCCCTCTTCTTAGAATCCGCTGGGGCGCCTTCTGCAGGTGAGCCCTCCCTCCTTCTGTTCAGGAGGCAGAGGGGCAGCCACCTGAGGCTGCTCAGAGCTGTCGAGGGCGTCGGGGGGCCTTAAAGCTTCTTCAAAAGACTTTAAACTGCTCTTCCCATTTTCAGGGCCACGTTCGGAGGCACACAGTGCTGCCATCTTCAGAGTCTTTCTGCATTTCTGCACACAAATGAGGTTGCGTCTGGTCTCTCCTAAAATTAATACGAGGGTTTGCCTTTCTGTTTTCTCCTGAGTCCGTTACCACTTATCCCTCTGCTTTCCAGCTTCTCAGATGCTGTGGCCTTTGTCTCCAATCCCATGGCCTTCAACTTTGTGATATTAAAAACAAATAATTCTACTGTGTTTTTTGTTGTTGTTGTTGTTGTTTTTTTTTTTTTTTTTTTAGTGAGGTGTTGGGGCATGCATGTGTTTAAGCTCCCATCTTTAACTGGAAGTTCATTTCAGACCTTATTGTATTCCAGTTGGGCTCTGACCTCACCCTCCATGAGCTGCACTTCCCAAGGTCACCAGTAGTTGTCTTGCCACATGAACATGCGCTCACCTTTCTTTGTCTCGTAAACCTTTTGACAGCATCACAGAGCAGATCACTATCTCGTGAAAACAGTCTCCACTCTTGGTTTCCGAGACACTGTATTGTATTGCTCCATTTGGAATTCTGTTGAATGTTCCTCCACCTCACCTCTAACTGTTGAAGTCTTCAAGCCTCAGCTCTGAACTAGCTTCTTTCTCCTGTAAACCTCCTTTTAATGATTTAATTTATTATATATGATTTAGTGCTAATGACTCCTAAAATTTTATCTTCAAAACTGTTTCTCTCTTAGTGGTCTGGTGGTTGCCAGGGTGGACCGGGGAGTGAGAGAGGTAAAGGGATTAAGTATAAACTGGTAGTCACAAAATACTCCTGGGATGTAAAGTGCAGCACAGGTTACTGGAGATCTCAGGGGAAACGCTTTGCAGGTATGGTTGTGTGCTACTATGCTGTACAACTGACACCAAGGCAAAGTAGTATCGAAAGTACATTTTTATTGCATTATTGGGGTGGCATTGGCTAATAAAATAATACAGATTTCAGGTGTACAATTCCATAATACATCATCTGTACATTGTATTGTGTGGTCACACCCCAAGTCAGGTCCCCTTCCATCTCCATTACCCCTGTTGACCCTCTCGTACCTCCCTCCCCCCACCCACTTTCCTTTCGGTAAGCCCCATACCAAAGCCCCACACTGTGTTTATGAGTTTGTTTGTTTTTGCTTAATCCTTTTAGCCCCAGACCTACAACGCCCCTCCCCTCTGACAACTGTCAGTCTGCTCGCTTTCTGTGAGTCTGTTTCTATTTTGTTTGTTTGTTTGTTTTGTTCATTAGGCTCCACATATGAGTGAAATCATATTGTACTTGTCTTTCTCCGAACGGCTTATTTCACTTAGCACAGTGTTCTCTAGGCCCGTCCATGCTGCCACGAGGGTAACATTTCCTTCTTTTTGACGGCTGAGGGGCATTCCATTGTGTAACTGTAGCACAGTTGTTTTATCTGCTCATCTGTGATGGACACTTGGGCTGCTTCCAAATCTTGGCTATTGTCAATAATACTGCAGTGAACATAGGGATGCATTTATTCTTTCAAATTAGTGTTTCTGGTTTCCTTGGGTATATTCCCAGATGTGGAATCGCTGGGTCATAAGGCAGTTCCATTTTTGATTTTTTGAGGTAACTCCATACTGCTTTCCACAGCGGCTGCACCAGCCTGCGTTCCCACCAACAATGCACAAACGTCCCCTTTTCTCTGTGTCCTCGCCAACACTCGTTCTTGCTTGATCTATTGACAATGGCCATTCTGACAGGTATGAGGTGGTATCTCATTGTGGTTTTAAGTTGCGTTTCTCTGATTAATGATGTTGGGCATTTTTTCATTTGCCTATTGACCATGTTTATGTCCTCTTTGGAGAAACGTCTCCTGAAGTCCTTTACCCATTTTTTAATTGGATTGAGATCATTGTTGGTTGTATAAGTTGAGTTGTATAAGTTCTTTATGTATTTTCAATATTAAACCCTTATCACATGTATCATTGATAAATATGCTCTCCCATTCATTGGGCTATCTTTTCATTTTATTGATGGTTTTCTTTGATGTGCAAAAACATTTTAGTTTGATGTAGTCCCATTTGTTTATTTTTTCTTTCATTTTCCTTGCTTGAGGCAATATACCAGAATACATAGAAAAAATACTGCTATGAGAAATATCTGATATTTTACTGCCTTTATTTTCTTCTAGGATTTTGATGGATTTAATTCTAACATGTAAGTCTTTAATCCATTTTGAGTTTATTCTTGTATGTGGTGTAAAAAGGTAGTCTAGTTTCACTTTTTGCATGCATCTGTCTAGTTTTTTCAGACATCATTTATTGACTAGACTATCTTTACCCCAATGTATGTTTTTGCCTCTTTCGTCAAATATTAGTTGACTATAAAGGTATGGGTTTATTTCTGGGCTCTCTATTCTGTTCCATTGATCTGTGTATCTGTTCTTATGCCAGTACCAGACTGTTTTGATTACTGTGGCCTTGTAGTACAGTTTGATATCAGGTAGTGTGATTCTTCCCACTTGGTTCTTCTTTCTCAAGATTGCTGTGGCTCTTTGGAGTCTTTTGTGGTTCCATATAAATTTTTGGCATATTAGTTCTAGGTCTGTGAAATAATAATATTGGTATCTTGATAGTAATTATATTAAATGTATAGATTGCTTCAGGTAGTATGGACATTTTAATGTTAAATCTTCCTATCCATGAATATGGTATATGATTCCACTTATTTGTATCTAGTTATTTGTATCTTTTTACATTTTTTTCTTCAGTGTCTTACAATTTGTCAGGTACAGGTCTTTTACACCCTTGGTTAAATTTGTTCCTAGATATTTTTTGAAGCCATTGTGAATAGGATTGTTTTCTTAGTTTCTTTTTCTGATAGTTCATTATTGGTGTATAAAAATGCGACTGAGCCCTGGTCAGTGTGGCTCAGTTGGTTGGAGCATCGTCCAGCAGACTGAAGGGTTGCGGGTTGGATTCTCTGTCAGGGCACATGTCCCGTTTGTGTCCCCGTTGGGGCAAGTAAGGGAAGGCAAGTAAGTCAGTGTTTCTCTCTCACACCGATGTTTCTCTCTGTCTCTGTCTCTGTGTCTCTGTCTCTCTCTCTCCCTCCCTTTCTCTCCCCCCTCCCCTCTTCCCCCCGCCACCCCCCGTCTCTCTCTCTGAAAGCAATGAAAAATGTCCTTGGGTGAAGATAAAAAAGAGCCCTTTAAAAAACTGCAACTGATTTCTGGATTTTTTTATCCTGCTACTTTACTGAATTCATTTATCAGTTTTATTAATGTGTTTGTTTATTTGTTTGTTTGTTTTTAGAGAGAAGGGAAGGGAGGGGGAAAAGAGAGGGGAACAAACATTGATGTGAGAGAGAAACATCAACTGGTTGCCTCTCATATGCACCCTGACTGGGGACCAAAACCAAAACCTAGGCATACGCCCTGACCAGGAATCAAATCTGCAACCTTGTGGTGTGTGGGATGGTGTTCCAACCAACCCAGCCACCTGGCCAGGGCATAGTAGGAATCTTTTAATTGGCCATCAGCAAGGTTGGTACAAACGTCCATAAATGTGATATACCACATAAGTCAAACGAAGGATAAAATGAGTAGAAAATGTCACCATTAACCAAAGGCTAAGAGTCATTCTTTATTTCACCTCTTGGTTTGCCTCACATGTCTGAAGCATCACCAAGTTTTGAGCAGTGCACCGCGAAATATAGCTTCCAGCTCTTCATACCCTGCACTGCTGCCCCTTGAACCCAGCTACCATCTTCCCTCAGCAACCTGCTTCCCCGCTTGCCCCGCGCGGCACATCAGATGCCCCATCAGCTTCACCTCCTTGGAACGCCCCTCTGACCTTCAGAGTGATATAAAAATCTTAATCAGATTTTAGAGGACAATCTTATGTACCTTTCATTTTTGTTTTCCTAGAACCTGCACAGTGCCAGGCACATAGTAGGTGTTTATTTTTAATGAAAGAAATAACTAATTAGTCAATGAGACCAACAATACTCATTAGAATAACAGGGAAAAGCCAAGGTGCAAAAAAGGAGAAGAAAGACACGATGTGAAGACTTGAACATGGATGTGAGCTGCTGTGGCCCAGAAACTCAGAGCTGTGTGCGAACGCAGCGCACAGAGCAGAGCTCTGCGATGGGAGGAAGGGCGCGTGCGCATCAGAAGTAAACACACCGTTTGTTTGGGGGTTTAAAATCAAAGGAATTGGCCTTTCCAAAAAATTTAAGTAATGGATAGTGCCCTACATAAAAAAATAATAATGTGAGAGTACTGACAACTTGTGTATTTTTTATAATGGCAAAACTAAAACAGTTTTTTCCTGACACAATGTGCAATCCCATGCCTTCGCATCATCCAAACAGCAGAGAACCGAGAGCTGCCCGTGCCAGGCTGGTACTGAAAATGAAAACACAAACAAACCCCACCGCTGTCTGTTTCCTAGGGACATGATTTCCCACGTTGATTGGCATGAAGAGGAAGCAGGCCCACTATGTCCCTCCACTGGGGGCTGTCACTGCAGTGCCTGCTGCGGGCAGAATGTTCTGGGAAAGGCCAGGGTTAGGAGCCAGGTAGAAACAACATGTATCGGAAAGACTGCTTGCCTGGTTTCTCTGTAGCACAGCCCGGTGTAGCAGAGGGCAGTCTGCAGAGTCCGAAATAGTAACATTTAGAGTCAAAAACGGCTATGAGTCCAGGCACCGGGACTCAGGAACTCTGTGTCCTTGGACAGATCTCATCTTTCCACGCCCCCAATGTATGCTAGAAAATGAAAAAAATAACCACACCTATTTATCTGGGGTTCTTAAGGGTGATAGAATGAGATGATCTATTCTATATGAAGGCATAGAAACTGTTAAATCTGTTCCCCTTAATTATTAGCTCTTAGCCTTAATGAAAAACACTTGAGTGAATGCCTCTGCATTTGGAGCCTATATTTGGTTTTTCTGTAAAAACTACCAAAATGCTCCAACAGTGTCTACCACTTATGCTCTCCCCTTGACTGACAGTGTGGAGATAAGAGGGGAAAGAGTAGGGGGCCGAGAAGTGCTCTACAAGGAGACCCTTCTCTTGGGGAAAAATGGCACAGCGATGCAACTATTTTTATTTTCAGGTTCTTCAAGAAGCTGATCAGCAATACAAGTGCATTGATTCTTATTACCATACCCAAGACAACTCTTTACTTTTAGTCTTCCACAACCCAATGAATACGCAGCGTCTGCACCGTGAACTGTGGAACGTTGCTCTTCACTCCAATGTTGGATTCAGGTAACCGACTTAGCTAGGTTAGTTATCTTAGTAAGGTTGTTACTTGCTTAGATGTTATTTCCTTAGCCTGAGCAAGGGGGTTCAGCCCAACGAGTGCGTTTGTGTGGTACTGTAGATTCAGTTCAGCTCATTGCACTGAGTACCCGAAGCATGTTGGGCACTGTGGTAAGTGCCGAAACGATACCACTGAAGAAGACATCATTCCTGGGCGCCCTGAGTCTGGTGGAAATGTTACTCCCTGAGACCTGGTTGATTTAGACTGCAGTGAAACTGCCTCTGAAAGACTCCAAGGAAGGGCTGCAAAACATGACGGTGTGCTTGCTGCTCTGGGGCAACTCCACTTGATCTGGGCAAGACTCGCAAGGGCGAGTGAGTGACGTACCACCACAGTGCTCAGGTTCCCGGCACGGTGAAACCTCTAGGAATCAGCGATGTTTTTCTTCCAAGTCCCTTAGTTATTTCTTCAGTGTGTTGAAACTTTGCTCTCTCTTTTTGTGAACAACAAGGACATTTTGTTATTTTTAGTACTGGTTAGTATATATCCAGTATTTATTATTTGCATAGCGTTGTTGTAGTCGAAAGGGATGCGGAAAGATGGAGAGCTTGGACTCGCAGAGTCACTGGGGAAACAGGCTGTGTGTGGGCATGCATGTATGTGCACACACACGCACACACAGAGGAACACGCCTTCTGAAGCCGTAAAATCGTTTTTAATTAAGGCACATGATAGGTGTACTGAGCTAACATCTTGAACAATTAATCTGTGTTTTTCTGTGTTTTATCTTCTATTGCCAATAATAATACATTTTGTTTCTTTTCAAATCTTTTTTGCTGACTAGGACTCCCAGTGTAATTGTGAGAAGGCATCCTGGTGTTGTCCCCGGTCTTTAACACTTAGCCGTCGAGTGTGTACTTGCTGTAGGGTTTACGTCGGTGCTCCTTGTCCGTCCCCTCCTCTTGCTGCTTTGCTGTGAGCTCTTCACCGTGATTGGTTGTTCAGTCACGTCAGATGATGTTTCTGCATCAGTATAGGTGTTTGTATATTTTTCCTTTAATCTATGAAAGTGCTGAATTTCATTAATACATATTCTATTGTTCAACCAACTTTGTATTCCTGTGAAAAGTATAATTTGTGTATGTTATCTTTTTAATAATTGTTGCATTTGCTTTGCTAATATATTGATTAGAATATTTGCGTCTATATTCATGGGCAAGATTCAGCTATAATTTCCCCTTCTTCAAATGTTCTTATCTGGCTTGGGGAGTGTTCTCCCATATTTTTTTTTAACTTTCTGAAAGAGTTTATGCAAGACTAAGACATCGGTTGGTATTTGGTAAAACCTGCAGATAAAGATGCCTGGGCCTGGGAAGAGGTACAATTGTCTATTCCGTTTCTGTCGTGGTTGTTAGGCTCTCCAGTTTTCCCATTTATTTTTGAATTAGGTTTGACAATTTATATTTTTCTAGGAATTTTACGCTTTCACCTGTACTCAAAGTTACTGGCATAGAATTGATCATGACGTTCTCTTGCATCTACTTGTATTCTTTTAGCTCTAATAGTCTTGACCTGCGATTTCTCTGTATTTGTCTGAATCAGTCCCGCCAAAGGTTCACCAATTTTGTTAATATTTTTAAAAAATCAACTTTTATCTTTGATCCTTTTTCCTTTTTTCTTTCATTTAATTATGATCTCATCTTTATTATCCTTATTATTTCCTCCCTTTTAATTTCTTTGGATTATTCTAATGTTCTTTATCTAACTTCTTAAAAGTTAATCTCAAGAATTTGAGTTGGTTTTTGGTTTTCGTTTGTTTGTCTTATAAACGTTTAAGGCAAAATCTCTTTCTAAAGCCACCTTAGCAGCACAACAAAATATCTATTGACAGTGTTTTTACTATCTTTCACTTCTAATTTCCATCATATTTTCCTGTTTAGACCAAGGATTACGTAGAAATGCAGGTTTTGATTTTAAACTTTTGGCTGTGCATTGCATTTGTTGTAGTCTGTCATTTTAAGATGCCATCGTCAAATACCAGGTTCAGACTGTGAATTTGCTGAGATTTGCCGCATTGTTCAGTAGGTGTTCCGTTTGTATAAATGCTCCACTTTGCATAAGAAAGTATATTCTCCAGTTTCTGATTTTTGAAAACTTGGTCAGTGGATGAGAAAAATTGTTTTTGTAAGACTCACTATGTGATGATAAATTTATCAGTTTCTTCCTATACTTTTTTTAGTTTTTAACATCATGCATGTTTGAGTTTATGTACTAAACAGTGCAAGGATAGAATTGCTATGTCTTTCTGATTGAGCTTTTATCATTACGCAGTGTTTCTCTTTACCTCTGCAACTCCTTTTGCTTTCAAATTTATTTTGTTTGATATTGTTGTATCTATGCAGACTTCATCATACGTATTTTGTCTGATAGTTATAAACTACATAAACCTTTTTCTTTAATATTTTATCTTGTCTATCCTTTTCTGTCTGTTTACTTCTTGTCCATCCTTGGTCCATCCATGCTGTCACAGATGACAGTATTTCATCTTTTCTTACAGCTGAGTAGTATCCCATAGTGTATGTGGACCACATCTTCTGTGTCCAGTACCCTGTAAAAGGACACCTTGGTTGTCTCCAAGTCTTGGACACCGTGAATAATACTGCAGTGAACTCAGGGGTTAGAATGGCTGTTATCAACTAGACAAGTAATCACATGTTGGTGAGGTTGTGGAGGAAAAGGAACCCTCATTCGCTGCTGGTGGGAATGTGAACTGGTGCAGCCACTATGGAAAACAGTCTGGAGGCTCCTCAAAAAACTAAAAATAGAGTTACCATATGACCCAGCAATTCCTCTTCTGGGTATTTACCCAAAAAACTCAAAAATGCTTATTCACAAAAATATATTATTACTTGTTTTAAAAGCCAGGGTTTGTGTATCTTAATATATATTACCATTATATTTTCCCTTCTTCCTAAAGGTAAGGGCTTTAAATGTTCCAGTAGTGAGGATCTTTGCTAATAAAATCCTGTTTATTAAAAATGTTTGCATTTTAACCTTGCTCAGTAAAGATAATTTTCCTCAGGCTATAGTTCTTGATTGACAGCTAAATTCTTTTAAGTACACTGAAAAATATTATCCCATTGTCTTCTGAATTACTTTGAAGCTGTTAAGACATCAGAGAAACCATTAACGAAAAGACGACCTCCTGAATGGGAGAAGATATTCACCAATGAATCATCTGATAAAGCGTTAATATTCAAACTTTATAAAGAACTTATACAACTTAACACCAACCTCCCAAAACAATCCAATTAAAAAATGGGCAGAGGATCTAAAGAGACATTTCTCCAAGGAGGACATACAGATGGCCAATAGACATATGAAAAGATGTCACAGTCACTAATCATCAGAGAAATGCAAATTAAAACCACAACGAGATATCACCTCACACCTGTCGGAATGGCCATCATCAATAAATCAACAAACAACAAGTACTGATGAGGATGTGGAGAAAAGGGAACCCTCATGTACAATTAGAGGGATTGCAAATTGGTGCAGCCACTATGAAAACAGTATGGAGAATCCTCAAAAAATTAAAAATAGAACTACCTTTTGACCCAGCAATTCCACTTTTCCATATTTATCAGAAGATCCAAAACACTAATTCAAAAAGACGTAAGCACCCCTATGTTCATTGCCGTGTTATTTACAATAGCCAAGATATGGAAGCAACCCAAGTGCCCATCAATAGACGAGTGGATAAAGAAGATGTGGTACATACATACAATGGAACATTAGTTGGCCATGAAAAAAGAATGAAATCTTACCATTTGTGACAACGTCGATGGACCTAGAGGGAGTTATGCTCAGTGAAATATGTCGGAGAAAGAGCAATACTATATTACAGAGAGCAAGTGAGGGTTGCCAGATGGGAGGGATGTTGGGGGCTGGGTGAGGAGGTGAAGGGATTGAGAAGTACAACTTGGTACTTACAGATGGAAAGTGCAGCATAGGGTGTCAGGTGGGTACTAGAATTAGCCGGAGGATCACTTCATAAATTATATAATTGTTCAACCAGCGTGCTGCACACCTGAAACTAATATAAAATAATACTGAATGCCAGCAGTAATTGAACAATAAAAAGGAAAAAGAAAACACATGTAAACATCATTGTTAATGGGAAATGTTACAATCATGCTCTGTAAATTAGATACAGGACAGAGAGAACCATTATCAACAATTCCAATGCAACATTTAATGAAGATCTAACTCAGGAAAATAAATTCATAAAAATACTTTAAGGGTGTAAGAATTGAAACGAAAGAGAGGAAAATGTCATTTTGACAGTTGAGGTTATTATGTACACAGGAAAATTTCAAAACAGTGTATTAAAACATGAATTAATGGAAGAAATTACCTGCAGGCCATGCTTTTTAATTGCACTTTTGCGCACCACAGGAAGTTGTTAGAAAAGGTACTGCCTAAAAAAGGAAAAGACAGCACTGACAACAGAAACAGAAACTGTGGGAAAGCCAAACCCTAGGGTTTCATACGTACCTTCACCCAAGGGAAGCCGTGCCGCTGCCCTTCCTGGTCCAGGGAAAACGTGAGCCACGCTTTGCTTCAGGTATCACAGGTGAAGCAATAAAACCCAGTATATTGATTTACAACCTAGATTTTATAACTTAGTAAGAGAGATAAATTACTTAATATTTATACAGTTTTTATCTCTCACTATTCTATAAGATGTATTCCATGATTTACTTCTCAGTGGTTTCTGTAATATTCTTCCAAATGTTTTTTTAATGACCTGATTCTTCAGCACAGCGTGGTTGTGGGTGCAGGTTGAGAACCAGACTTGCACACTGCACTCAGCCTCATTCCCATTCTGTGTTCACGCAGCTTTGCACCAGAACACAGAGCAGGAAATAAAGCATGGCCAGCGCTTTCCTCTCATCTAGAGGCTGAGCAGCTACCCCGGTACACTGCTTTCTCGCTTCCCTCACCCACACAGTCGTGCATGGCCGCTGCAGGTGAGCACCCCAGGACTGGGGCTCCCCCTCACCCAGAGAAGCCACAGCCTCAGTTTCCCACCAAGACCTTATGCCAGCTCTCAGCTGCTTCACCGAGATGCATGCCCACACACATCTGGGTTGCACAGCACAGCACAGAGCAGAACATTCCCCGTTTATCTCAACTCTGTGGTTTCCAAAAAAATAAGCGGTACTGTCAGAAGTTGGCCTGCAAGGTTATTTTCCAAGACCCTGTTGCTAATCCTTTGCTCACATATGTAGAAGCTTACATAATGTAGCATATTATTTTGTGAAAGGTAAGAACACTCCACATGGAAAGCTTTTTAGAGTTAGTGGTTTTCTAGGGGCGGAAGGGCAAGGCCCAACAGGAGAGGTGGGATTGTGAAAGGGGGAGAATCGATTGTTTACAGCCTTTCCAGCTCTTCCACAGTTCATCCTTTATCCAGGTTTTCTACATCTTCTTCCATTGCTTTCGGTATTTTGTATTTTTCTGTGGGACCATGCATGACTTTTAGATTTTCCAGTCTATTGGAATAAAATTAAACAAACTATTCTCATAATAAACATCCATTTCTGCAAGGGATGGGCTAAAGCCTGTCTTTATGATTATATCCTTGTCGGTCTCTCCTTTCTCTTCTGCATGTGCGCTGTGCGTGCATGCGTGCATGTACAGATTTATTTTTGAAACTGTATTTTTAGAAGCATCCTTCTTTAATGGACTTTAATTTTCACCAACATGAGAAAATGTCCCTCTGTGTTCCCTTTAATGCTTTTCATTTTGAATTTAACCACGTTTGATGTTAATAATGTTGGAAATCCTCTTTTATATAAGAATTTACCGATTTGACTTTCTCAATCATTTTACATGTCAACTAGGGATTGTGTTTCACTATATTAAAGAAAAATTGACTGAAGTAATTAAACTAATAAGAGGATTATTTTTCTCCTGTAGCAAGAAGTCTGGAGGTGGGCAGTGTGTCTCAGGGCAGCACAGCTCTCCTCAGAGGTCAAGGACCAAGGCTGCTTCTGGCTTCCTGGTCAGCCCTCTGCCCCCTCCCCCACCGTATTCTTCTGCATCATTTTGATTTGTGGATATATGTCTTTTAAACATCAGCTTGAATTTATTCAGCTACTCCGAGAGCCTCTGCGTTTTAAAAGATTGTAATAATCATTACAACATTATTAAAGAACTTCACATTTTAAATAATTAAATTTGTTCACTTTTTTTATTGATAATGTGTTTGACCTTGTTCTTACCATTTAATTTTATAAATATATTTCCATTTTAGGATTAATCTCTTTTATTCCTTTTGTTAGTTTATTCTTAGCTTGTGATTTTTTTTAAAGTTAAACATTCTATTTATGTTTTTCTAGAGGTTACACTTACCCTCTTCAATCACATATTTAAACACTTTTATATTATAGCCAGAGCTAATGAGTATTAATATCATTTTGCAGAAAATTTTTAAAATTTTAACATATTTTCACTTACTCACATCTTCTACCTACCATTTTGAAATTTTCTGGAAATTTTGTTTCCAATTGTAAAGTAGTAGTTTTCATCACAGATAAATAGCATAAATAGTTGTTTACATTTAATTATAAATTATACTTTTTTCTCAGCCCTCTTTTTTATATCCCATGTTGTCTTCTTTATTGGATTGATTTTTTTTAGTGCAGCTGGGATACATTTGTGGATAATTCTTTCAAAAAATATCTGGGTGGCAAACTTCTAAATCACAGCATGCCAAAATATCTGTATTCTCTCATCTTATTTGAATACAGATTCAGTTGTATATGTGAGTCTGTGTTTCCCAACCGCAGATCAGTAGTAAGGATTCTGGGGTTTTGGTTGAAATGCAGATTCATTGAAAGGTTCTATGCAGAAGAGAGACACAGACTAACTTAACGGAAAGGGTCTCTCTAGTTGCTGTGTTGGAAGTAGATGGTAGGGTGTCAAGAGAGGGAACAGGGAAACCAGGCAGAAGGTTATTGCCTCAATCCTAGCAAGAGGTGATAGTGGCTCAGTCTAGGAAGACAGTAGTAAAGGAAGTGAGAGTGATCAAACTTGGAATATATGTTTTTAAAAATTACTTGGATTTTTTGACAGCAAAAGGAGTGTGATAGAATGAGACGAGTTGAGGATAATTTCCTGTTCAGGTGGAAGTGTAGACTTGCCATCACCTCGGATGCAGAGCTCAGGGCTTAGAGGGGCATTTTGGAATGGAAGGTCAGGAGTTCTTCTGGGACATGCTGAGTCTGCGGTGTCTTTTACCCTCCAGATGACAATGCTGAGTGCCAATAAGGCATAGTCTACAATGCTCGGTTTATTTCTTAAAAGGGATCAAGAATTAAAGAAAATTGTAAAGCAATCTAAGCGTAGAATCCATCTAGCTTTACTTTTCAAATGGTAGGCCTTACTTTTACACAATTGACAATAACCTTATTGTCAAACTTAAATATTTCAACTTATTTTTTAGTTTTTTATAATTACAATAGTGTAAATAAGATGACTGGATCCAGGAACAAATGGGACTGACTCCTGGTGAGCAGCAGCTCTCCGATGTGAGGGCGGACGCGGGAGCAGCACGGGCGTAGCACTCGGGGTGCGGGTGCGGGTGCTCGCAGGCCAGTAAGTTTCATAGCAAGCCTGGAGTGTTTCAGTTAATCCAGCAAGCCAGTTAGCTGATGGCCAATTAAAAGAGTTTCTCCTGTGCCCTGGCCAGGTGGCTGGGTCAGTTGGAGCGTCGTCCCATACACCAAAAGGTTGCAGGCTTGATTCCCAGTCAGGGTGCACGCTAGCTTGTGGATTTGATCCCTGGTCAGGGCGAGGATGAGAGGCAACCAGTCGATCTCTCTCTGTCTCTCTCTCCCACTCTCTCTCCCTCTCTCCATCCTCCCTTCCTCTCTCTCTCTAATAAATAAACATATACTCAGGTGAGGATTTTTTTTAAAGTTTTTATTGCACTATAAAATTTCCCTAAGAAGAGATTATATCATAAAAACTCACCAACTTGTGAGGAAATGAACAGATTGTGTACACATTGTATTTGTGTTAATAAAACCATAAAATTCTGCCAGAAAAAACTCTCACCAACTCACAGTGTTTAGAGTGACTGTTTCTCCAAACTGCGGCCCACTCTTGGTTTTATCAAATGTTTTCATCCTTGACTGGGGTCTTTAATTTGCATTTTTCATATTCTCCCTGGGTATTTGTGTTTGACCACTTCATACAAAATGTGTCCACGATATTTCTGAGTCTCTTGCATTTGTTACATGGCAATTTGGGATCAGTTTATTTTGAAAAGTTCATTTGCTCCATCAGTATCTCTTAAGTATTTACTGACTTTAACCAATAATAACTCCATTGTCACTTGCTCTTCTTTTCTTTTTTAAGGAATTTTTTGGAACTAGTTTCAGAATCTATCCAGGATTGGATCACAAAAGAAGAAGCTATCTATCAGGAATCTAAAATGGCTGAGGAACTCTCCAGGCCCAAGGGCGAGCTGGAAGTGAAGTCTTCTGTTAATGTCAAAATTGTTTCTCCTAGGAAAACGTACTCTGTTCAGAAATCTGAAAGTAAGTAAGCTGTTGAACTCATACAAGTCCAAAGACATTCTCTTATTTCTTAATTTAATCAAGACTGAATATATTAGGATTAAAAAACTCTGCCTACTCAGTTTCCGTGACTCTTCACTGTCTCTAAAAATAGAATAGCTGCATTGCAAATGTGATGAGATTGTACCTACGTGGAATATTGACCCCACTTCCTGCCAGGTCTGGAAGCTTTGATTTGTTGTATAGATCAAATGTGATGTTAGGGAAATGCCAAATATCTTGATTTTGGTAGGATTCATAGGTCCACCCCTAAAGTTTGTTGGCATTTACGAGATAAATTCAGAGTCGGTTTTTCTCCATTTCAATAATTATAGATTTCAAAAGTGAAGTTAAAACCAGACCTTCTTTAGAAGAGCGAACAGAAGAATCCCAAGACTAACTGGGGGTAGGAATCTAAAACTAAAGGGAAAAGGGACTCTCGAGAGCCCATGGCGGGAACTCGACAGGATGGTGGATCAGCACAAATCCTTGTTTTTGTTGTCCTTAGTTTCCATGGCTTTGATGCGTCAGGAGAAAGGAGAAGAGGGTGACCAAGAGGAAAGATACTTGATTAAGAGAGTATGACAATAAAGTAATAGTCTAGAAATTAAGGATATTTCACTGGGTTTGTGCAGAGAGAATGAACTCCATGTTAATAATATTCCTTATTTCTAATGGCCAAAGTTGAGAGTGATTTCTTATAAAGAAGCAAAGCTACCTAATTTCCAAAGCTTTTGCAACCTCATTAATTACCAGAGGAATTTGTGCTTCGTTTGACTGTAAAATAAAACTTAGCAAACCAAGTCGATGATGAATCATTATTCTCTGTCCACCAAAATGGTTATACAATAAATCTCTCCATCAGCTGGGCCTTCCTCCTGATGGGGCTCAGCAGGAGAGCACTGAGCACAGTAACGGACCACTGGATGGGGCGATACAAAAAGGAGAAGCAGGGTCGCCCTCTCCCGGTTGTTTCTAGAGCCACACTTGCCTAGTAGCAGGAAAAAGTTGTGGGTTGACGACTTTTTCTTTAGTCTAAGGCTGAACAGAGCTAGATGCCAAGAAAAATCCAGAAAATGGCCAATTTAGGGTGGAATACACTCTGTAGATATTGCATTTAATTTGTGTACTCTTAGGTCAGGAAAGATGTAGACCTTCCAAACAGAATGGCTGCAGTGAATGACAAGAGAAGGACTCCAACGTGGAAGGAAATTTAAGATTTGTCCTGTGTGGTCCTAAGGGATTAAACTAGGATTAATTAGCTCAGGTTCTAGGGAGGGACAGTCCAGTTCAATGAAAGCTTTCAATTCGCAACGTTCCGAGAGTAGAACACGCTGCCTGCAGTGGCAGTGAGCCGCTCCCACCAGAGGGGCTCGGGCCCACCGAAGGCTCCAGGACGGCGGGGAGGAATGCAGAGAGAGTGAATGGGGGGCTGAACTGACAGCCTGCCGTACCCCCCACGGCCCAGACATCCGGTCCTTCGTGCAACTTCACGTTTGGAATTACTAAGAAGTTTAACTTTCTCTGGTTACAGGTAACAAAACCCTGGGGAAACCAGAGACAACAGATCAGGAAAAGGAAGAAGAGAAGGAGAAAATGTCTTTCATTTTAAAAGGCTCTCTCAAGGTAAAAATCCAAGGGAAGACAGGTGACAGTAATCACAGATTTACAATGTTGGGGGTGACCATTTGTGTGGTGTCAGAGGAAATGATTTTTTGCTAGGTGCTCGGGAATCATCGAATCCGTAACGAAAGGACAGTGTCCCCACCACGTGGCCTCCACTCCCAGACGACAAGCCTTCAGGGGAAGCCGCGGCATTCATTTTGATGTAGCCAACTCCAGGGCAGTGCCCCGAGCAAGTTGGGCACGCTCTCCGTCTCCGTGGGGCGTGTTTGTTTTCGTTTGTTTGTTTTTCATTGGAATTCTTAGTCTAAGAAAACACGTGCTCTCTATAATAAATCACAGTTACCCTGGCTCTCCTGAACCCTTCAAATAAGCGATATTAACAATTGCGTATTTTCTATGCCCATGCAGCATGCAGGCACAGATATAAAGAAGGTTTTCATTTGTTTGGTTTCGGTTTAGGTTTGGGATGGCTTTCTTTGACTCCGCCATAAGCTTTTTTTCTTTTAGCGACATATCATGAGTGTCAGTTTCAGACAATATGTAGAGATCTGACTTATTTTCCTAGCAATGTTAGTCTATAATTTTGATATACCTTAATTTATTAAATAGTTACCTTATGAATAAGTATCATTTATGTTTCTATGGAAAAATATTTAACTTTTATGAAGTCAAACAATCGTTTTTTGGCCAAGATGTAAAAGACACAAAATGCATTTTGGCAAATATATAAAGTAAAGTGAATTCTCATACACTGCCTGGTGAGGTATAAATAGGCACTTCCACTTTGGAAAACTGGACGTGTCTCCTAAAGCTAAACATACGATTTCTCCTTAACCTAACAATTCCAGACCTGACAGACATGCATGCATGTGTGCACCAAGACACACGGACAAAGTCATTCTTCTAGCATTCTTTTATTTATTTATTTTAAATTATATTTCATTGACTATACTATTACAGTTGACCTGGTTTTCCCCCCTTTACTCCCTCTACCCAGCACCCCCCACACCCTCAGGCAATCCCCCCACCGTTGTTCATGCCTATGGGTCATGTGTACAGGTTCTTTGGCTCCTCCATTTCCTATACTGTACTGTACATCCCCACGGCTACTCTGTAACTGCCTGTTTGTACTGCTTGATCTCCTCACCTCTTCACCCATTCCCCTACACCCCTTCCCATCTGGCAACCATCAAAATGCTCTCTGTATCCATGAGTCTGTCTCTGTTCTCCTTGTTTGCTTACTGTGTTTTTTAGATTCAGTTGTTGATAGATATGTATTTATTGCCATTGTATTGTTCATAGTGTTGATCTTTTTCTTAAATAAGTCCCTTTAACATTTCATATAATAATGGTTTGGTGATGATGAACTTCTTTAGCTTTTTCTTGTCTGGGAAACTCTTCATCTGCCCTTCAATTCTAAATGATAGCTTTGCTGGATAGAGCAATCTTGGCTGTAGGTCCCTGCTTTTCATGACTTTGAATATTTTTTACCAATCCCTTTAAGCCTGCAAAGTTTCTTTTGAGAAATCAGCTGACTATCTTATAGGAACTACCCTATAGGTAATACATTTCTTTTCTCTTGCTGATTTTAAGATTCTCTATCTTTAACCTTTGGCATTTTAATTATGATGTGTCTTGGAGTGGGCCTCTTTGCATTCATCTTGTTTGGGGTTCTCTGTGCTTCCTAGACTTGCATGTGTATTTCCTTCACCAAATTAAGGAAGTTTTCTTTCTTTATTTTTTCAAATGGGTTTCCAATTTCTTGCTGTTTTTCTTTTCCTTCTGGCACCCCTACAATGCAAATGTTGGAATGCTTGAAGTTGTCCCAGAGGGTTGTTTATACTATTCTCATTTTCGGGGATTCTTTTTTCTTCTTGTTATTCTGATTGGTTGTTTTTTGCTTCCTTATGTTCCAAATCCCTGATTCCCAGCTTCATCCACTCTCCTGTTGTTTCCCTGTAAATTGTTCTATATTTAAATTGGTATATCCTTTGTTTCTGACTGGATCTTTTTTATGCTGCTGAGGTTCTCACTAAGTTCCTTGAGCACCCTTATAACCATTGTTTTGGTAGTATGGCCTAATGTAGTCGGTGTCCTGTAGGGTCCAATGGCACAGTCTCCCCTATCACCCAAGCTGGGTACTTGAGGTGACCCTTCATATGGACTGAGTATACCCTCTTGTAGTTGAGCCTTGGTTGCTGTTGGCAAATCAATGGGAGGGATTTACCCAAGCCAGTCAGCTGCAAGGATTGGCTATGATCACTGACCATCAACCTCTGCTCCTGTGGAGGATCAGCTGGCAGGGACGGATGATGATGCTATGATGCGGTCTGCAGCTCTTTACTAGGTGCACTGGCCCTGGCGTTTCCTGGGTAGTGCAGGCCAAGATCAGCTCCCACCTGTGTTTTGCCTGGGGCCATCTTGCCTGGGCTATAAAGTTATCTGGGATGGTTGCTACTTGTGCTGGGCTTGGAGATTCCCAGGCAAAGCCAAGCTCTGAACCTAAGCTGTTTACTGCTAGTTCCAGTCCTGGGGCTCACTGAGGGCCAGCTATTGCTTGTTTGATAGGATTTAGGAAGTTGTGAAGCAGGGGCCAAGACCAGCCATTCATATGGTAAAGCAGCTTGGGTGGATCTGTAAATTGGGTGGGGCAAAGTCTCTGGGGAATCTTCAAGGTGGGTCAAACTGTTTTGGGTAGATTGTTGGAATCTCTGATGTGGTTCCAGCTTGCCAGCTCTGTAGTTTTGTGACGGGAGGGTTTAGAAAAGGGACAATGGTCTCTGCTCTCCTTGATGCCAGATGCTACAGTTTCTCCCAGTATTCTGGTGCTTTTCAAGCTGCTACCCCAGTCCTGGAACTCAGAGGGAGTGAGTCTGAGTAGGTGAGTCCATGTGTGGGTTCTTTAAGAAAGAACTACATGGGGCTTCAGCAGTTTCTTCTACCAACTCAATCCCAGCTGGTTTTTGCAGCTAGAAGTTGTGGGGACTTGTCTTCCTGGCACTGAAATGCTGGGTGGGGGGGCCTGATGTGGGATTGAAACTCTTCACTCCCTACATATCCCTCCTGAAGCTACCACACATGGGAGTGGGACCAGCCCGTTCTGTGTTTGCACCCCTCCTACCTGTCTGAATGGATGTGGTTTCTTTAATTCTGAAGTTGTCAGAGTTCCATGCACCTTGATTTCTGATGGTTTTGTGTGATGGTTGTTCTGTATTTTAGCTGTAATTTTCATGTGGTTTTTGTGAAGAGGTGAGCCTTATCTGACTATGCCTTGACTCAAGGTGCGCAGCATTATTTTTAATTCTCCCAAATCAGAACAATTCAAATATTCATCAGCCTAGTACGTTTAGTCATGTGGTGAAATACTATGCAGCTCTGGAAATGAATGGCCTATGGAAATGTGTGGATGAATCTCACAAATGATCATGTTAAGCAAAAGAAGGAAGTCAAAAGAATATGTGCGTCATGTATAATTTTATTTACGGAAAGTTTAAAAGCAGGCAAAGTAACGTCAAGTATTACAAGCTAGGGTAGTGTTTGCCCTCGGGGTAGTGGGTGTGGGAGGCTGGAGATGGTCCAATTCTCGACCTGGCGGCGGTACCAGGAGTGTTCACTTGGTGGAGATCGAACGCGCTCTTCACTTAGGTTTCATGCTCTTTCTGTATGGACATTGTAGCTTACAAAAAAAGTTTTTAATAATCCATCACCTTTGTCCTGACTGGCATGGGTTAGCGGGTCGGGTGTCATCCCACAACCAAAAGGTCGTTTGTTCAATTCTCAGTAAGGTCACATGCTTTCACTTTAGGCTGGGTCCCCAGTTGAGGGCATGTGAGAGGCAACCAACTGATGTTTCTCTCCCTCTCTTTCTCCCTCCCTTCTCTTCTCTCTAAATATAAATAAGTCTTAAACAAATCTTTTTTAAAAACTCAGTAAGTAAATCTGTCACCTTTTAATGCTTTATGGTTTTGGGACTTCCATGTTTTTGGCTCCACCCTGAGGTTACACATCAGCTTTCCTGTGCTCTCCGAGTATCTTCTGACACACTCTCACATTCAGATGTCTGATCCTTGAGATTCATTTTTTATAGTGTGATGTATCTTTCTTTGCTAGGTAGACTGTCATTTTACTAGTACTTCATTGCATGTCTTAACCCCCAAAACCTGAACTATATACTGTCTGGCCCTTGATAGGAGAGGTCGGAATGCAGACATTCCATTTCTGTTTCACTCTTGGCTGCTCTGTGAGTTCAGCTTGTATCTGTAATTTAATGAAGTCTAAACTTAATGAAATATCTCTGCTTTCTTCCAGCACAAGGAACTATGACAATTATTGAAAGTTTGGTTTTACTCTCCCAATTTTTTTAAAGTTTTATCTTGATTTTTCTTGTTCCCCCAAATCGCACATTATTATTGTCAATATTTTATATAGTCAGTGTTATTTAGAGTTACCCATGCTAATTATTTGTTTTGTTGAACATTTCTTCTCACATCTTATACCTTTAAGACTTCCTATAGTAGGAATTTTTCCTGTAAAACCTTAGTTTTCACGTATCTGGAAAATGACTTTATTTTATTCTTATTCATTAAGCATAATTTTCTTTTATAAAGTTCTTGACTGAACTTTTTATGTTTTTTTAAAACACTTTATTTAATTTTTTACTCTTTTAATTTTTTATTTTTAATTAATTTATTTACTTTTAAAGTATTTTTATTGATTATGCTATTACAGTTTTCCCATTTTTCCCTCTTTATCCCTCCTCCACCCTGACTCCCAACCCTCCAGCATCCCCCTCAACTTAGTTCATGTCCATGGGTTGCGCATGTAAGTTCCTTGAGTCCTCTGTCTCCTGTACCATTTTTTATCTTTCCCGCCTGTTTTATGCCTACTAATTATACTTCTTCCCTGTACCTTTTCCCCCCATTCCTCCCTTCCCCCTCCTCACTGAACTCCCTCCATGTGGTGCCTATTTCTCTAATTCTGTTCCTGTTCTGGTTGTTTGCTTAATTTTTGTTTTCATTGTATTTCTTTTCTTTTAGGTTCATTTGTTAATAGTTGTGAGTTTGTTGTTGTTTTATTGTTCATATTTTTAATCTTCTTTTTCTTAGACAAGTCCCTTTAACATTTCATATAATAAGGGCTTGGTGATGATGAACTCCTTTAACTTGACCTTATCTGGGAAGTACTTTATCTTCCCTTCCATTCTAAATGAAAGTTTTGCTGGGTAGAGTAATCTTGGATGTAGGTCCTTGCCTTTCATGACTTGGAATACTTCTTTCCAGTCCCTTCGTGCCTACAAGGTTTCTTTTGAGAAATCAGCTGATAGTCTTATGGGAACTCCTTGGTAGGTCACTCTCTCCTTTTCTCTTTACTGCTTTTAGGATTTTCTCTTTGTCTTTAATCTTGGGTAACTTAATGATAATGTGCCTTTGTGTGTTCCTCCCTGGGTTCAACTTCTTTGGGACTGTCTGAGCTTCCTGGACTTCCTGGAAGTCTATTTCCTTGCCAGATTGGGGAAGTTTTCCTTCATTATTTGTTCAAATAAGTTTTCAATTTCTTGCTGTTGTCCTTCTCCTTTTGGCACCCCTCTAATTCAGATATTGGAACGTTTCAGGTTGTCCCAGAGAATCCTCAGCTTCTCTTAATTTTTTTGGATTTTTGTTTCTTTGTTCTGATCCAGTTGGATGTTTATTTCTTCCTTTTGTTCCAAATCGTTGCTTTGAATCCTGGTTTCCTTCTTGTCACTGTTGGTCCCCTGAATATTTTGCTGTATTTCATTTTGGGTATTTTTCATTCGTTCTTTCATTTTTCAACCAAGCTCAATCAGTTCTGTGAGCATTTTGATTACCAGGGCTTTAAATTCTCCATCAGATAGGTTGGCTGTCTCCTCATCGCTTAGTTCTGAGGTTTTGCTGTGTTCCTTCATTTGGGCCATATTTCTTTGTCTTGGCGCACCTGATAAGTTGTAAGGGGCAGGGCCTTAGGTATTCACCCAGGCAGGGCAACCCTCTTTGCTGCGCTGCCTGTGGGGGAGGGGCCAAAGAGGGAGCAGTGCAGCTCGCCTGCTTGTCTCTAGCACACTTTCCAACAGACTGTGGTGTCAGACTGGCAGTGTCTCCCACCTTGGCAACCCCAGCCATAGCCCACAGTCAGCGCTGAGTCTCTGTTTTCCCCTAAAGTCAGTTCCCTCCCGGGCAGCTCTGCTGAGCTCGGCAGTCAGCCCCACCCCTCAGCCGCCTCCCCGTGGTTTTTATGAGTCTGCCTGCATGGTCTGCCTTACCGGTCTGGTTGTTCTGGTAGATTTTTTAATTTCTTGGTTGTCAGAGTTCCATTGCACTTTGAGTTTCTGGCACTTTTGGTTGTTTATTGATTTTAGATTGGTTGTTATCCTCTTTTTGGTTGTGTGAGGAAGCAAAGGGTTTCTACCTATGCCTCTATCTTGGCCAGAACTCTGAAGATTTTATTTATTTATTCTTAGAGAGGGGAAGGGAGGGAGAAAGAGAGAGATAGAAACATCATTGTGTGGTTGCCTCTTGCTTGCCCCATACTGGGGACCTGGCCTGCAACCCAGGCGTGTGCCCTGACTGGGAATCAAACTGGTGACCCTTTGCTTTGCAGTTCGGTGCTCAATCCACTGAGCCAACCAGCCGGGGCTTTTATGTTCTCTTAATACCCTCAAGGTATTGTTCCACATTGTCCTGGCTGACTTTATAGCTGTTAACAAATTATTTGCAAACCTGATGTGTTATTCCTTTACAGATGAAACTGTCTTTTCTCTGTAGCTGTTTAAAAACACTCAGTGGTGTTCTGGTAAATGTTTAGTAGTAGTTCTCTAAGACTGAGGGGGGTGTGTGTGTGTGTGTGTGTGTGTGTGTTTATTCTAAATTGTACTTATACATAGTACTTATAGCACACAACTGACAAGTAATAAAACACACAACGCTGCTCAGTGTAAATTCCATTTAGTCACTTGATTCTCATAGAGGTTGACTTTTACGAAGCTCTTGTGTCCTTAGCCAACCTACAGTACAGTCCACACACAAGTATAGTTCTAACATGAATGTCAATTAAGATTTTTATTGCCATGAACAAGGCAACAGTGAACAACAAAGGGATATAGCTCACTGATTTATCAATTACATAAGCAACTTCTTTCCTGAGTCAGGTAATAGTTTTATTTATTTTTTAAAATTAATTTATTTATTTTTATAAATTATTTTATTGTTCAATTACAGTTGTCTGCATTTCCCTGCCACCACTCCTCCCACCCCAGCCATCCGCACCTCCCTCCCCTGCTTCAACCCCCACTTGGTTTTGTCCATGTGTCCTTTATAGTAGGTCCTGAAAACCCTTCCCCTCTTCCCCCAATTATCCCTTCCTACCTCCCTTCTGGTTACTGTCAGATTGTTCTTAATTTCAATGTCTCTTGTTATATTTTGCCTGCTCGTTTGTTTTGTTGATTAGGTTCCAGTTAAAGGTAAGACCATATGGTATTTGTCCCTTACTGCCTGGCTTATTTCACTTAGCATAATGCTCTCCAGTTCCATCCATGCTGTCGCAGAGGGTAGGAGCTTCTTTCTTTCTGCTGAGTAGTATTTCATTGTGTAAATGCATCCGGTCATAGTTTTAAATATTGGAAAAATATCCCCTCAGTTTCATGTGCTAGCTACAATGTAACAGCTCTAAACATAACACACTTTCAAGTTCAATCTGAATTATTGATGTTTTCTCCATCACTTTCTTAAGTTTAGATAATCAACAGTCAGTTCCTGATCTGTAGCATTTGCTGATGCCTGTAGTATAAATACTCCCACATGGCTGCTTTCGGCTACCATTACGATGTCGATGTCACTGAATACAGTTGGAAGCGCATCATTGTATTGTATTTCTATGATATAGATACAATTGACATAACCTCAAGAGCATAGATAATAGTGAAATGTAGCAAAATAATTAGGAAGGTGGTAAGTTTTAAGTGTTTATTGCCTATGATTTAATATACTCTTTAATCATGTGTTTATGAAATTTAATTTTTAATAATGGCTACAGCTAGCAACCAGCTTGCAAAATTCCTGCAAATTTTAATAATAAACTTTTTCAAGTCAGTATGAGCTGGGTCCACCACTGCTTTTGATTCATGGCCTTTCTGAGGGTTAGAATTAGTGTCTTCCATCCACTCTGTGAACTGTCTTTGCTGTTATCTCTTCCAAAACTGCCTTTTCAAAGTTCTATGCAATTTCCAGGCCGGCTGTCAGACTCACCTTGTTATTTCGATATGCTCTTGTTTCTTACTTACACTTTTGATGCCTCCCTTTCTTTATTTAAGCACATTAAAATACTTACTTTATATTTGATAATTTTAGTATCTGTAGACTTTGCAGATATAATTTCACAGTTTGTTTCTTCTTCAGGTTCTTGCTTTTGTCTTACTTCCTCAGGTTTAGTGATTTCCATTTGTGAGCTGATACCAACCCCCAACATTTTTAGTAAAAAGTTTTCAGGTGATGTACATTGTGGCCACAAATCTGCGTGGTATCTGGCTTGCCCTTAGGAGTTCTCAGCGGGGCTTCTTCCCCCGCCCCCTTTCACCTTAACTCAGGGCCAAGGAAGCAGGCTGAAATCCATGGTCTTCCTCTATGGGCAAGCTTTTTTTTGTTCATCCAATTAAGGGGTCATTTTTTAAAAATACCTGATCTATTCAGAGGACTCTGATCTGATCCCCCAGATTGTGTCTCTAGTCCTCATAACCCTTGGAGAACCGAGTTCCAAGCTGCCCGGAAGGGGAGACACCCCTGGGACACTGCTCTCTTCGGTGCCCGCCTCCCTCACGGAGTCAGTGCTTCCTCCCGTCTTCTCCTGGGCTGCCAGCCCTGCTCTGCAGTACAATGAGGATGTTTATATTTTACCCACAATTTAAGAAAATGTTTTATGCCAAGAATGTTTCCTTGGACATCTAGTCTACCATACTCCTGGCTAACCAGGTTTAGTACCTAAATTGGGGATTAGACTAATGCTGAAACGCGTAGGAGGCAGGGAAGCCAGCTCAGGGGCTGATGCAGCACTTCAGGCTGGAGATGAGGAGACCTGAACGGAAGGAAACTGCAAGGGACAGTGAGAGAAGCTGAAGAGAAATCTCCGAAGAGAACTGGCAGGGTTTGGTACACGCTGGGAAGTTGGGAGAGAGAAAGGGACTCAAGAATGATTCCAAGGTTTCTGGTTCAGTATTCTGATTTGTCAGATACCACTACAAAAATCACGTTAAACATTCTCCGGAATGGGCCTACATGGGTTATAATTTCTTTCAAAATCCTGTCACAACTTGTCCTGTGTTTACAGGCCTGGAAAGAAGAACAGGAGCCAGTAGCAGAAGAGGAACGCTTGAAGGAAGACAAGAAAGCCGAGAAGAAGACCAAGGAAAGTGGCAAAAAGAAAGGCAAAGGAAAGCTAGAGCGAGAAGAGAGTGGCATTGTGAAGAAAAAATCGGTTTTCCAGGAGAAGCCTAGAGAAGAGCAAATAAAGTTCTCGGAAACGTCGGAGGAGCTGCTCCAGGAGCCGGAAGCCCAGAGGGTGTACCCGGTAAAGGCGGCTTCCCGAGAAGCTTCGCTGGGTCGTTGGTAACTGTCTGGGGGGAAACCCAGCTTCCGTGGAAGCATTGGGTGCCCGGTCTGTACCGCCACCTCGGAAGGCCTTAGGGCTCCACTCGGCCTCAGACCTGCACTCTGCCCCTGCGCCCTGGGCCCTTTTCGGTAGCCAGTCTCCAAGGCAGGAATGCCGTCGGGCTAGATTTTCCTGCCAGTGGGGAAGCTGGGTCACTGAGGACAGTAAGAATGGAAATTTGAAACAAAAACACTTCCAGGTTTATGTAAATAAGTAACTGTGACAGGTCAAAGGTTGGCTTTATCTGCCTCCGAGGACAGGACCTGAGTACTTCCGTTGCCTCTCCACAGGCACTCGTGGTTTTTGCATGTATGCTTTTGTAAGAGCTTCCCTTCGCCAGCCTGTCCCTAGGCGGTTTTATGGGTAAAACCTCATGGGGGAAAAGAGACGCAAGCAGGCCACGTCCCTCCCAGCTACCACTCTAAGACCCACGTTTCCAGCTTTAGCACGCAGCGGAGCCACTCGGTGCTCTGTGAGCAACAGAAAATGAACAGCCAATGGTAGATGGAGAAACTGGTTTCTTCTCACACGGCCTTGGCAACGGTATGGTGACTTGATTTTCTCTGGGCTATGAGTGTGCCCCAGTGAACAGTTTAAAATCGTGGACCGCCTTTAGCTCTGCCTGCCATCGTGACATGACAGAAGGTGCCAAAGGAAGATGGGCACCGGTCTCTGAGCCTGCAGGGACAGACGAACCATTCAGCAGAAACTAAGTTTATAGCGCGATTCATGCTGATGAGTTGCTTTTTGACGATGGCAGTTCCACACTCAAAGCCTGATGTTTTCTCTTCCAGTTTCGTGGATACAACATGGGAAATGTACCCATCCAAATCTCAGGAACAAATTATTATCTGTATCCTTCAGATGGAGGACAGATTGAAGTAGAAAAGACGACGTTTGAAAAAGGTACATTTCGAAAGCAGCCGGTTAATGGCTTGGAAGCTCTTCGCCCGCCTCAGATCCCCTCGGGCCTCGGTACTCCTGAGTGTGCTCATGAGAGCGGTAGCGCCCCCTGCAGCTCATTCATGCACCACCCTCAGCGCCGCCCGGCCTCACGTTCTGTTCTGGCCGACTCTGCGAAGCTGGGCCACCCCTCCCAGCCCTGAGAGGTTAGCCGGGACACACAAATAGAACATGTTCCAGTTGTTAAAATGTGAAAATATTTCCTCATCATTGGGAAATAGTACAATAGTAACTATGATAATCAAATAGTAAGGTTAATTACAACGCATAGTGTTGTCCCAGAAGCCAGGTGCGTGCTGGCAGTTTGGAGCAGATTTCCTGTGTGGACCGTGGAGCACAGGGCCTGGGCCTGCTGCCCACACCCAGTGATTCAGCAGTAGGGAAGCTGCTCCTGGATTCAGAAGCCTTTAAGAGGGAGGGGCAGGTGACCTGAGGAGGACCCAGCCTGGAAAACCCCCAGGAAGTGCTTCATCCTTCCCAGGGAAGTGCAGCTGCGGCCTCAGGGAACCTGCCCGAGGCACCTTGCAGGGCTGACCCTTTCACTGAGCTTTCAGCATCCCTCAGGGGCGATGGAGGACCTGGGCTGTACTTGAAGGTTGTTGTCTGGTGGGGAGCAGTGGTCTCTGAGAGCTGTGGAGAGAGAGGTCCGGCTGGACGGATGTGAGCTGGACCCTGTTTCATGTCCACATGATTATGCACCCCAGCAAGGGTCCACAAGGGCTCCCCCCATCCCACACTCCACCCCTGACACCAGCCTGCCCCTTCTCACTCCCTAGCCTTCCCCCTCCCTCCTTCCCTCTCTCTGAAATTCTTTTCCCCTCCCTCCCTCCCTCTGTCTCCCTCTCTCTTTCTTTCTCTTTCCCCTCCCTCCCTTTCTTCCTTAACTCTCAATTTAACAGAAAACATTGCAAGAGTTAAACACTATTCCCTGTATGAAATCAATGACCCGAGTGGAAGCATCACTAGGCATTAACTGCCACTATCACATAAAGGGTCACACCAATGATTTTTAAAGCAAAAGTCCTGCAAATTATCCACATTATTTAAAGAATGGCTTGTGGTACAACATGTCAAATGCCAGACTGTTTTATTATGTAAGGTTTGTTCATTTAAAACACGAAAGAGATTTTTATTAATATATAAGTATGTATGTTTATACTATCATGTGTTAGTATTTAATATTTTGATATCTCTGGTGTAGTATACAATTATTAGTAATTAAAATACAGCTCAGAATCACATAACTGAGAAAAACACTGGACTCAAGTTTTGTAATGGTATTTGCCATAGTATTTTCAGTGATTTTTTTCTTACTCTCACCCAGATTTGCATATGCATGGACTATATATGTTTCAGATGGCTCCTAGCAAATACAGTGTTTTTTATCCTAGTTCTGTCAATTTTGAGAGATGACAGTTCAATCAAATTGGATTTTAAAAAGAAACAGCTGACAGAAGACACAAAAAATGAGTCAGAACACTGGAAGAGAGAATGTGTTACGAAAACTATTACTAACAATAATAACTACTGTAACTAATGTTTATGTAATTCCTTATAAGTTGCAAAACTCTTTCACATTAACTATATCTTGTGACTAAAGTTGAGAACTGGTATACATTTCATTAACTGCCACCGATTTATTTTCTCTGCTGGGATTTGATTTGAGCTGTGAGTACAGAGGCTGCAAATGCCTCCCTGACCCGCCTGCCCCTTAATCCTGGACCCCACCATCACCGTATTCCTTTAGGCATCTTTCCGGAGAAACAGTGGCATCCCTGGGCATTTCCGTTCCCTTGCTTGGATTCTGTGCTGCATTCTTTCAATGTTTCGTCACGGAGCATCATAATCAGCTCATCTTCTATCCCGTGATCTTCCCCAGGCTCAACTTTTATCAAAGTGAAAGTGAAAAAGGACAAACACAGTTTTATAATTCATTTAAAAGACCCTAAGAAAATTGTGAAAACGGAAAAAGAGGAAGAGTATTATTATTTAGAAGATGAAGAAGGAGGAAGAGAGGAAGAACAAAACATGGAAACAGGTAAACAGAGGCATCTCTGTGGCAGCGAGTGTTACTACTTCGGCAGTAAGTCCCACCACCACCTGACAAAAACGCACACGTGTCCTTCTCATGGAGCATGTGATTTTCCCATGTGGTGACTGAAGTGTTTTGCTACTCTGGTTGTATACATTTTCCCTAATGTAATGTGTATATGCATTATACACGTAGCCCATCTATTGTGGGCTGCTTACTTGATTTTGTCCCCTCTGGGCACCCAGCTTTTGATTCCAGCTGTCCTGTGGAGCCTGGCTGTCTTTATCTAGCAACGCTGAGCTGGCCACGTCCCTTCTGGCCTGAGCTGCGTGTTATGCACTTGCATTAGGTACTCGTTAATTGGTTCCTCCTGAAGGTTTAACTTCTCTCCGATATTCATTGCAAAGGAAGGGTTTCTCTCTGTGCTCTCTCTATTACTTAGTTTTCCCAGTAGTAGCAACTTTCTTAAGTTGCAAGGACAAGAGAAAAATCCTAAATTTGGCCATGCAAGTCTCTACCTGCTGGTAGGTGAGACTCCCGAGTGGGTGTCCGTTGATCGGACTCCATGAAACTTCCTGATAACACTGTCTAACAGCTCTGGGTAACACCTCGGGGGGAAATTAATTGTTTCCTTCCCAGTGTGATGTGGGCTGTACCTGAAAAGGAGATGAATGAGTTAAAAAAAATGTTTTGCACTGAAGTTAGTAATAAGAACAATAACTAAATCTTGCTGACAAACTTAGTTGTGGTCACAGTATTTTTCAAACTCAAGAACACAACATTCGACAAGTTTGAATATACCCAAGGACTTAAAACAGAACTTTTAAAATTTTTCTTTGTTTTCCTTGATATAAAAATATGATTTATTACAAAATGTTAGGAAATATAGGAATATTTAAAGATAGCAACAGTGGCCAGTAACTCGACCACTCCGGTGGTAACCACTGTTCGTGACGTGTTTCTTTCTTTATCATCGTGAGCATTTCTTATTCATTAAACGGTCTTTAAAAACAAGCTTTTTAAATGATTTTATATTAATTCATTGGCATATGTAATATAATGTACTTAATCATATTCATGTTTTTACATATTTAGCTGATTTCCACTTTGCACTGAGTTTTACATTTCTTTTTTAATAAAATGGAATTTTATTGATTTTGTTTTTCAGGAGAATCAAATGCAGAGCATAAGGCTGTCAGCAGGTTTGGGTCTTTTTCTGCCACGTTGGAGAATGGAATCTGCCTCTCGATCAGTTACTACGGACCCAGTGGGACTGTGCCAGGTGATGCAGACGGCAGGAAGGGGGCGTGTCCTGTTACCCAGGGCGTCCGCCCGTCCGCAGTCAGCTCCCTTGTAGACAGACACGTTCTGATTTAATGCCCTTCATTTCCTGAAGGGCGGGGATACATGTCAGTGTGTGTATATATACATGTGTGTGTATACATATACATGCATATGTCATCTTGTATACATAGAAAATAACAGTTCTTTGAGAAAGCTTTTATTCTGTAGAATCTTATAGTTACATAGATATATAAGATCACATATACACACATATATATTCTAGTTACCTCTGTTAACTAGCCTGTGAAAATAAGTCTGTTGGTGCCAAAGAAAGCATGATTTGCCAAGGAATCCTTTTTGTTTTCTACAGAATGATATTTCTGTGAATCCTGAGATTATACAACTACTCAGTCTGCTTTAGAACATTAGTCTCAAAGGAGCCATTCATTGGGCATCTTGAAAGACTTCTTTACCCCACTTTTAACAAACAAATTCTCCAACTGGAAGCTATTTGCTTACAAACCACAAAATAATATGTCACTTTACCAAGAACTAATTAGGAAATCTTGTGGGTTTCCATGCATTTGATAGAAATCTAACCACAACAGATTTAAAATCAAAAGATAATCCCTGTGCTCTGGAGCCTGGACACGTGTGGATGGTGGTGATTTAGGGACCCGCCCTCCTGGGGACTCCGTTGCTGCAGAGGCCCCGCCCGCGGGCGATCTCAGTCCTGCGTCTTACTCTGTGCCGAACGCTGTGCTACTCCAGCCAGTTAGACAGCCCATTATTCAGTAGTACTTTGTTTTATTGGGGGTTTGTCTTTTAATTTTGTGTTTGACTTGTTTTTAAGCTGACCCTTGGAGAAGTCATTGGTGCCTAACAGATGATGTATTAAAGTTCGTTATTACACACAGCCACTAAAAAAATCCTGTCCCCTCTGAACATAGGTTATCATTATTTTAAATCAAAATACTTTACACTCTATCAACTAGTTGCTGCTATTTCCTGATTTTCTTATTCTTCATTTAATCTTTAAGTTAATAGGCAATCATTTCACTTAAAACAAATCTTGCTCATTTCAGGTTATAAGTACTGCATTTGAAAATGTTTATAGTGTAAATAATAAGTACTGGTTTACTTGATGTGTATTTAAAAAGTTGAAGGCATTAGTCTTTGTAAAACATATCATAAATTCCTTGGAGATGCATGTAATACTAATATTTGAGAACTTTTACATGCTAATGGCTAAGGAAACTTGCAGTTCAGTTCTCCCCCCTTAACTGACTATACATGGTTCTCCAGAGCTTATTCTCCTCGCCAAACTGAAACTTTGTGCCCACTGATTAGCCACTGCCCACGTACCCCTCCCCATAGCCCCTGGCAGCCACCGTGCGGCCGCGATGGAATCTGACTATTTTAGATACTTTATGTAAGAGGAATCATGCAGCGTTTGTTCCCCTGTGACTGGTTTATTTCACCACAGCCTAATGTCCTCAAGGATCATCCATGTTGCCACATGTTGCAGAGTTTGCTTCTTTCTAAAAACTGAATCATATGTATGTACCACATTTTATGTATCTGATCATTTGTTGATGGATATTTAGGTTGTTTCCACATCTTGGCTACCGGGTTCTTTTTGTGCCTTGTAGTTCCTCGAATGAACTATGCTTTCCCTGATCTGTCACACACTGCCTCCTGCTGTGTGTCCTGCTGGGCACACCACCGCTCCCAGCAGCTGCACTTCCTCTCACGCTGCAGGTCTCTCGGCTTGCAGGTTACTTGCTCTGAGAAATGCTTCCCAGGTCAAGTGGCAGTAGCTTAGATTTTTGGGAACCCAAGTAGCTAGTGTGAATTGGGTTTTTGGAGGTGAATGAGGATTGCATAGGCAAAGAATCGAAGGCAGGGGATTCTAGACTCCTGGAGTAGTGTGCACGAAGTTTAGTAGTTTAAAAGCACAACACCTGTATGGAGAGGTAGCCTGTGCCGTACGGCCATACAGCCTGGGTGTGGCTGGCAGGGAGGCATTTTGTGTTAGCTGACCTTTCTCTGGGTTCCTGTGGTGCTCTGTTTTTCCCCTGGCACAGACTTAACACACGGCACTGGGCTGGAGGGCTCCTTCATCAAACTGCCCATTACACTGTAGGCTCCTTGTAGTCTCACTCATCATTGGCTACTCAGTTCATGGCACATTTATTGAGTAGTAGCTACTCAATAAATATTTACCAATAAGTAAATGAATGGGATGAGAGGGAGGAGTTCCCAGCGGCCTGTGACTGGTTGCCATTCACTTATTTATACGCTGTAGTTCTTATGGGTCAGGCACCTTGCTGGCACTGAGCCATTAAGATGAATAAAACCATGCAACCACTACTCGAAAGAATTCTTTATCTAGTGGGAAAAGAAAACATAGAGAAAGAACTGCGTTCTAAGGGGTAGAAATTACATGTAAACAGAGTACTGGGAACAGCTAGAAAATGCTTCAGACAGAAGGTAGAGCATCTGAGATGGAACTTCAGAGAGGAGTGGGGGTTATCCAGACAAAGCAAAAGGAAAGGGAATTCCAGACAGCAAGAACCATTTGTATAAATACTCCTTTGTGTAAAAGCATGGCATCTTTACAGAAAAGTAAAAAGTTGAGTGACTGGAGCCAAAGAAGGTGTGCCCTGTGTAAGGAGTGAGTGGCAGAGGCCTTTAAGTAAGGGACAGGAAGTGACGTGATCAGCTTTTATTTTAGGAACATAATTTTAGTAACAGTTTGGAAGGTACACTGAAGTGGTGGTATTGGAGGTGCCATGATACCAGTTAGGAAGCCACTGCAGAAAATTAGAAAAAAGAAAATGAGAATCTGAGTGAAGATGCTAGGATTAGATAGGAGAGGCATGATCTGAGAGAAATCTCTGAGGGCCTGGATGTATGGAGTGAGTCAAAAAGAGAAAATGCAAATGATGTCAGTGTCTAGCATGGGAAATAAGGTGCAGGATGGGTTATGGCATGAACTGAGGGTGAGGATGTAAGAGGGGTGCCTGGCTTGGGAGAGGAGTTTGAAATGTCTCCAGCATCTCAGTCGGGGGCGGGGGGTATCTAAAAGCAGTTGAAAATGAGGATCTGGGGCTCAGAAAAGCAAGGTCATGCCTTGAGATGTACGTTTTGGACTCATTAGCTTGTAGACGGTAGTTGGAGCCCCAGGGGTGAAGGAGACCCCCCAGATCTGAGAGAGCTCATGCAGGTGCTCAGCCTGGGCTGTACGTTACAGTCACCTGTGACATTTCACAATATAAATGCCTGCCTCCTTCCCAGAGAGTCTGCTTCAGTAGGCTAAGGTGGAGACCTCAGCATGTGCTGTTTGTCTGTTTGTTTGTTTCTGTGAGTAATTAGCATGGACAGCCAGAGTTGAGGACATCTGCTGTATGAGGATAAGGGGAAACCCCTGGGACCTAGCAACATCTAACAGATTGACGAAAGAGGAAGACTCAGGCAAGGAGACTAAGAAAACACCTGACCGGTGAGGGGAAAGGAGGCCCAGGCGGGAGTGCCAGCCTGCAGCCCAGAGCAGAGCACAGCTTGAGATGCAGGGTACGCAGAGGCTCCCCTGTGACAGTTCCGCAGATCAGTGCTCCTTGTAGGACTCTGACCGTTTCTTAAAGCCCGGACAGAGTTGGTTTTCTACAAGAAAACTTCTTCTATCATCTCAGCTAGAAATTACCTCTTTGCTGAATTTCCTTCTTTGTATCCCTTATATTCCTGTTCAATATGTTCTTGTATTGAAGCTGTTTGAGTACAGATCTTATTTTGACTATTTTGGCTCCATAAGGTATTTTATATATTTTTTTTATTTTTTCCCACTGCTCCAAATAGATTATATAGAAGAGTCTCTTAATAAATATATCTCAATTAAATGAAGAGACAGTAACTGCTCTATCCTTAGGAGTTTACAATCTAGATGAGAAGGAGAAAACATTCAAAATAATGACTCCGTCAAATATATCATTATATTAAGTACCTTAAAGGTTTTTTCTACAATCCTGATTTCCAAATCAAATACATTTCACCTAACATCTATCCAACTGATAAATCATATTCAGCAAGGTAAAAATTATTGCCAACTTGTATAAATGTTTGAGATGTAAATTTTATTTAACAAACGTATCAGGTAAGAATGTCTAATTTCCTTGTTTTCTCCTTCCAGAGGATAAGGATCCCAGCTTGGAAGCAATGCTGAATATCCCATCAGCTCTTCTTCCAACAGTAATTCCTGTTATAGCGCCTGTTCCTCAAGCCAAAGCAAAAGGGAAGACAAAAGGCAAAGATAAACCCAAAGAATCTCTTAAAGAGGAGGAACACCCAAAGGAAGAAGAAAAAAAGGTGACTGGACCTTGCTATGGATTCCAAGCTCCACTTTTCACTGTCAGCTCTTTAAAAATCACAAGTTATATCAACAGTGTTATTATAGTACCTGTATTTTACTGTGCAGATGCATTAACACTCCTTGAAGCTTTGGTTATGAATAAACGAGAAGAGAGTATGCAGGAGTTGGGTTCCCATGCCAGGAGACGTATTGTCATAGACAAACTGGCTCAGGTCACTCAGTGTAAACTCAGGGTGACTAGTTCAACCCGTTCTTTCCTTCCCGGGTTCTTGGGCATTCTTTGCTTATGGGTGGTCAAGTTCTACCATTCCTGACTTTAAATAATTGATTTAGTTCCCTAGAGATAAACAATTAGAAGAGGAGACTCTCTAAATAGTGGAAACATTTCCCTTTGGCAGACTTGGACTTAGATACCGGTGAGCTAAGAGTTAGCAAGGTGAAGGGCCACCCGCTTCTGGTGAGAGAGGAGCCCACCCTCTCTCTGTACCCCGTCACCAAACACACACACACACACGCACACACACAGGAGCCCACCCTCTCTCTCCACCCCGTCACCAAACACACACACATACACACTCTGCGTTAACCATTTTCCTAGTGGAAAAACACAGATGAAATCAGGTTCCAAAAGAAGGAAACAAGGAAACCACTGATCACATATTCACTCTTGGTATTCACTGCTGCAGTTGTGTGGTTTGTATGCTCTACAAATATCAAATTTATTAGAAGAGTTGTGTTAAAAAGTGATCAGGAACTTGGATTTCAGGCCCTGACCATGTAAAAATCACGGAGTTTGAGTGTTACTTAGCCCCTACTCCATATTTACATAGCTATACTAGGGAAGTTTTCTTAAGCTACGACATTTGACCCTTGTTAAGTGCAAGTGTTCAAGTGTTGAACAGAATAATCCCAGGTAATTCATTTGTTTGGCTGAAAGCAGTTTGATAATAAACCAGTTGGTTCACCCAACATTTTTAAAGATTGACAGATGGAAGGATGGGTATCGCTACTGGTTTTGTGTGTGATGATAGAGGGCGTGTCTTTGAGAATTATTAGGTTTTTCCTCTTAATTTTGCTTTGTGTTTTTAACTGATTTTCAGCTAACCAGATTTTTTTCTCTGTTAGTAACAAAGACAGAACAACCTAAATGGTCAATAATGGTTAGAACAAACGGGAAATCCAGCAACGGGGGATCAGGTGCAAGGATTTTAGAGGCGAACGAAAGAGAGCCAAGTGGGAAAACGGAGGTGGCTGTCATTAGGGACTGGCCGTGGCTCCACGGCGACCTTCTTTCCGGAGCACACGTAACCCAGCAAGGTGTGCCAGCCTAGTTAGTGTCCAAGTAACTAGTGTTTTTAAGTAGACACACCCAAACCCTCATCAGTTTATAAATAGCTGTTTAATTGTCTGTTAGTTTCTTTTATGTTTACTTAATACAAAAGCAGTGTGTGCTCATTAGCATAAGGTCTCTCAACAGCATAATGCCTGCAGCCTTCAGATGCTAAGAGTCCTTTGCACAAGAGGGCGGGGTGGCATTGGGCCGCCCTGCACATGCAGACAGAGCTTCTTTCAAGGCTTCACTCAAGCCCCGAATCCTCCAGGATGTTTTCCTAATTATTGTCATTAACTCTGATAGCCCCCTTTTCTGAGGGAAGATGCACCAACCACGTGGCACTATTCTTTAACTGTGTCACATATCCGTGTGCCCTTCTACAAGCAGGGTATAAATTGCATCAAGGGTGCAGCCATTTTTATGGGCTCCCTTGCAGGGCTCACTACTCAGGGGCTAGTCATATTCTATGCCCTCAGCAAGTTCTTGGGTAGGCATAACACATCAGCAGCTCAGTTATGAGGTGATGAGCAATCACTCACATGTTGAATTATTTGCAGGAAGAAGTAGAACCAGAACCTGATGTACAAGAGACTGTTTTTGTTCCCACCTTCCAAAACCTCAATGTGTCCTGCCCCAATGGGCTCCTGGTGACCTTCATTGGGCATGAGTCCACAGGTGAGTGCTACCTGGGGTCAGGCAGGGAGGCAGGGGGCAAAAAGTCATATTGAAAACAGTTAAGTCACCATTCAGATGGTGACTTTTCCAGACAATGACACATACTTGTTGATAATGAACACAATAGGCCAAGAATAATAATAACCATTTTTTTAGTACTTACTCTGGGCTAGGCATTTACTTAAGAACTTACCATATATGACAAAATATAACTTCTATAAGCTAACTCCTAATAATTTCGTTTTACAAAATGAAATTGAGGCTTCAGGAGGTTCAGTAACTTGCCCAAGACCACTCAAGTCCTAAGTGGCAGAAATCTTCAATAAATTGCTATTCTCGGTCCAGTCATGGCAAAGCAAGGGCTCTTAAGGACTGCTAGGTGGCCCTGTCTCCCTGCCTCTACAAAGGCCACAGGTGTAGGGCTGGCTGGTCTGACCAAAACTAAGGACAGCAAGGCCGGCACAGGCGACACGGATGAGAGGACCTGTCTTACTCCCAGGGGTCAGGGCATACTCTTATAGTCTGTTATTTATATTGATTTTGTACGTGGCCCCTCACCTATTAAAATGAATAAATAAATACAAGTAGAATTTCTTGAATCTGACATGCCGTCCACATTGGTGCTTGAATATGAATGTTATTTAAATGGAGACCACTATTGTCGTGGAAGTCGGGAGATGCAGCAAAGCAAGCACTGAACTAGGTATCGAGTCCTAACCAGCTCTGTGGCCCTTTCGATTCCTCACTGTCACTGGACCATGTTTTTTCTTCTGATAACTATTGTGTTACAGCAATGAGCCCTGATTTTGTCACAACCAAAGATCCTCTTTATTATGATTCCCTTATATACACCATATTCGAAAAGTGTATCTATTGAAGGAAAAGAGTACACCTATTGAAAATAATTTAATGTTGTATTACTTGTCAAGCAAATGAAAGGAAACTAAATGTAAATGATCTTTTTTGTCTCAATATTGCTTTTCATTAGGCTTTATGTGTTACTAAAAATAGACTGTGGGCTCTTTTTCTATTTCCCAGCATTCCTAGGGGTCCAGATTCTCCATGATGGGACCCACTGTGGGTGCTGCCAAGCCGTATGGCCACCAAGCATCTTCCGAGGTTGAAGATGCTATCAGTGTACTAAGAGGAATATTGATTTCAAGTTCAAGGACGTTTTGCTTTTTTGCTTGTTTGCTTGGTCCTATTATCAAACCCCAACTTAATACCTGTTTCACCTGTCTTTTCTAGTAGTTTCATTGTAGTCTGATATTTTCATCGTCTGTCTAGGTAGACAATGTGGTTAATAATGACTCTGCCTGGAACACATGATCTTTTAAAAATCTGTCATGTTTTATATTCTAATTCAAGCCTGAACTTAATTGCAATGTAAATGCCAAAGTAGCAGTACCATAGGGAGAGAAGGGCACGTGGCATAAGAAGAAAGAGATTAGACTTGGGAGTTCTTGCCTGAGTGACCTTGGACAGGTCACAACCCCTCTCCCCCTGAGTTTCTTCATTTATAAAATAACGTCACGTACTAAACAGGCTGCTAATAAGTATTAAATGAGAAAATACTTTCTGATCTGGAACATAGTCTTCCAGTCTTAGGTTTTCGTCCTTGTGTTGGTGGTGGTGGTAGTGGCTGTCTGTACAGCAGGAGAAAATGGTTAAGCACAGGGATCTGATTCAAAGCCCAGCTCTGCCACTTACTGGCTGTGTGACCTTGGAGAGGTTCTGAACCTTCCAGAACTCCATTTCTTCATCTGAAAACTCTGGAAAATAAAAGTGCCTGCCTTAAAGGGTTGTTGAGGTGGGCTAAATAAAATACATACACAAAGCATGTTAACAATATTGAGATATTGAGAAATATTTCAATAAATGTACGTTATTTCTGACACTTGAGGAGGTGTCATAAAAGGCCCTCATTCCAAAATATTTTCCCACCAAATTGATCTAGTCCTTGAAATTCCACTGTCACAGGTTAATAAACTACCTTATAAACTGAGAAGAGGAAATTATTCAATGACCAGAAACCTGGTAGCTACTGGGTGCCAGAAAGTCTCAAAAATAGTGCTTTCCTTTGAATGTAATATATGCCACTCCTTGATTGCCACTTTAAGAGTAGCAGCCTGAGAAGAAGCTGCATTTGGTTGGAGATGCAGGGATCACATTGACTCTGAGGGATGATGCATGATTTAGGACAGGCCTGCCTGAACGAGTGACTTCCCCTGGGGCTCCAGGCGACCAAGGGACACCAGGGGAGCAATGTGGGCAGCGGGGGTGGTGGGGCGAGAGCTTTCTCACGGGCAACAGAGGAGGGAGCGTCTGAAACAGTGCACTTCCGCTTCTGTCCTCGTCTTGCCCTGAGATGTCCTGGCCGCCACTAGAGAGGACGGCTTCCACGTGGAGAAGGTGCCTGGGAAGTGAGTGCTGGTAGAGGACCTTGCTTCCCACATTCGACTGTGACAAAGGCAGCGAAGAGCCAGGACTCTGGGCCATCGGTGTTGTATGGAAACGGCCCGATTACTTACATGTAGACCAAAGAAGGAAAAAAAGCTGAGCAGGAAGATAAAATCCCAGCCACTCAGCATTGCCCAGTTCATTGTAAGGCTTTTTTTTCCCCCTTTAAGATAAATGTGTCATCAGTGAGGAACCCACTTGGGACATAATGATCCGACAGAGCTACCCCCAGAAGGGGAAGTTCTACGAGTTCTACAGAGCGGTGATGCCCCCGGTGGAGCAGGAGGCCTCGAGAGTCATCACCAGTCAGGGCACGGTGGTCAAGTACATGCTGGACGGGTCCACACAGGTAAGGGAACGTGTGCGATAGATTACTCTTCCTGCTGCGAAGTAACATACGGAGTGATGGGTGAGGAGCAGTGTTGTGACATAGAAGAGGAGCAGCTCATTTGAAAGTGCAATGACAGTTGGAAAGGACAGATAAAGAATGGCATAGTTAGAAGAAACACGCTGTTACCTGTGCCATACAGGACACACACTTGCCGTGTGCGTATGATCCACGACTGCAGATACTAAAGAACAGCAAACTGGATCATCAGTGGATCAGAAGATTGGGAGAATTCCTAGAAAATTCAAGTCAGATGAGATTAACTGATGGAGAAACAAATGCAGAGTCTAAAACATATTTTTAAAAACCCACAGCAAAATTTAAAAATGGGAGTTTTAACACGGCCATTTCACAGATGGAGTGCTGGACTCAGAAGTCAGGGCAGTGCGCCAGGTAACTCACTGCTCCCTGAGGGTGGGAACCCGAAACTGTGATACCAGGAGCCGTGTGCCTGCTCCATCCCTCCCAGCGACCCGGGGCAGGGCTCCTCTGTGCAAACAGCACGCCCAGTGGACCGGAGTTCTCGGTCAGAAACAGGACTGTGCACCCGAGCACCATCAGCTTGGGAGAGAAACCAACCCCAGGGAAGCAAAGCACAACATTCAATAAATTAAATGAATGGCATCTCAAAATAAGAGTAAATAGCTTAACTAAAAAAACTTGAAAGTGAGTAGAAGTATTATAGGCAGAGACTTGAGAGGTTCCCAGTCCATGAAATAACCGTTTTTAAAAGTTGCTATGGAAAAAGGATCAAGAGTTGTTAGAGACTAAAAATGACACTGGGAAAGGTGGTGGGGGGAGGGGGGAGGAGAGGAAGGTAGGAGACGTGGAGAAGGGGTCTATGTGGTAGAATTCCCAGAAGAAGAAAATAGAATAATGAAAGAAAGAATCTAGTAAATGTTCCTAGCGCTTAAAAAAGCAATACTTCAGGTTAAACAGGACAACTAAATGCCGATCAGGAGGGATACTATCAAAAGATTATTTCAATATGTCATAGTGCAATTTAAAGATGGTGTAGGTAGGCAACCCCAAAAGCTTCCTGAGGAAACCAGTTACCCACAAAAGAGTTAAGACAGACATTGGACTTCTTAGTAGCCACACTGGTGTTTCTTGTCCTATTCATTGGGAGTCTATAAATACTGATCCTGGGTAGATTATATATCGACAGTGCCTCTAGATAGTGTACATACTAGGTAGATACTGATTAAAACTGTATCATACATTTAAATGTAGTCATTAGAAAGAATGAAACAGTGGATAATTTCCCAGTTACTACAGGGGGAGGGTGAATAAGGAAAAAACATAAAACAAGTCAATCTAATAAGAAACAGGAAATGAGAACAAATAGCATAGAAGGTAAATGGAAAAAGTAGTGTTTTTATGCTGGTTATCAAGCTTTTGTCTCTGGGCTCCAAATCGACCCTTCCGTCACACGCTTTATGATGCTGAGCCTGGAAGTCTGCAAATAGCGCTTCTCTGGTCCTTTTTAACCTATCTCTCAGTTTAACGCGCCGTGTTCCTTGTTAACCGGGCCCTTCCCTGCTTCCGAGAATGCTGGACTTGTGCTTGTCCCCCAGATTCTCTTTGCAGACGGCGCCGTGAGCAGCAGTCCCGACTCGGGGCCCGTGTGTGCGCCTGCCAGCCGCCCCACAAGCCGCCCCAGCGGAGACCTGATGGACTCGGGCTCTCAGCAGAAACCAGAAAGAATGCCGTCGGAGACGGTCCTCACAAAGAAAGGTAACCACCAAGGGAAGCCTCTCTGCCTTGAATCTCAGAGATCAAGTGCTTGGTAAAGGTTCGGTGTCGTCATTATTACTCTCCTCGTCTTTTATGACTGCATTCATATATATTCATGTGTGTATATGACTTTAATTGCAGTCACATGAATTGCTTTCTTCCCATCATAAGAAATAAGGAGCATATTCTTGCTTCATTATGTACGTCCGTGCAGCCTTAGCTCTGCCGCCAGGGCTGCGGTTTTCGGGCTGGGCACGCATATAAACGTCAAGATTCTGAGTAAGCGTCTCTGTGTTCTCTTGACATTTTCCTCGTAGCTGCAAGAAGGCCACGTCAGCATCAGGCATGGGGTCCTCATGTAGGAACTCCCAAAGCAGGAGGGCGAGAGGGCGAGCACGAGAGCTTCCAAGCGTCTCTGTTTATCCGGGAGGGAAGGTATTTCCAGGTCCCACTGGGCCCCGCCCCCCCACCCCCGTGGGCATCTCCCCCCGGGTCTCAGCGACTAGACCTGGCAGGGGCCCTGGCTCATTGTGACACTTCTGACATTTCTCTGGGGAGATGAGCACTGCTAGTGGGGGCAGCAAAGGTGGGCGACAGCTGGGTAAGTCCACAGTGTCGGCCACCATCTAAGTGACCAACCTGCTGTCCTGAGATGGTTTCAGTTTTCGAGTACCCGCCCCCAGCACCCTGTGAGACCGGCTGCGTCCCCACGCCCGCCGGTGCTGGACGGACGGCGGCGTTTCTTCCATCTCACCCAGTTTGGTGGGCAGTCCGTCTTCCTGCTCTCCTCATTTGCATTTCTTTGGTTACTGATGAGGATAAACGTTTGAAGATGCTTATTCCTTTTTTACTCTTTTTGCGAACTTTCTGTTCATATCTTTATTTGGTTTGCTATTGGGACTTTCATTATTTTATCTTCATTTTTAAGAGATCCTTATGTATAGGAGGTGAGTATACCAGGCATAATTCTGAATACTTTAAAATACAGGGTGGGGCAAAAGTGGGCTTACAGTTCTTCAAGTGGAAAATGATACAATAATAAATAATAATACAAGAATAAACTCTGGTTTGTATACTCACAACTGTAAACCTGCTTTCGTCCAGCCCTCCATTAAATCAGCTAATTCTCATCTCAGTCCCGTGAGGTGTGCATATGGTAATAGTCCCAATTTACAGATGAGGAAATTGAGACAAAGAGAAGTTAAGAAACCTACTTGAAGTCTCTGAGCCAGTGAGTGGTAGAGCTGGGATTCGAGTCTGAGCAGCTACCCCCTCCCCACACTCTCTTTCATGCATTACACATTTATCTCAGTTTCTCACAGGCCTTCAATGATCTGAGATGAAGACTCGGTCTTTTTGGCCAGTTTCACACGCCTCACCACAGTGCCATCGCCTTGTGTGGAAGCAAAGTGCTTCCTTTTTCGGTAACTCAAAATTTCGTGACATAGATTTTCCTTTGGGAGCAGCAGAGGGCTCCTGGTGGAAACACATGGAAGCATTCTTCACAGCTTTCTAAGCTTCCCAGCTCAGGGGCTCCCCACTCCTGCCTCCAGGCCTGGGCCTGCTGGCGGTGGGGTAGCCCCTCGCCTAACTGCCCAAACTGGCTCCAGAGGGCTCCCTCCGCCAGCATCGTGTGCTTGGATTTCTTTACAGCCCTTCCATCGGGGGCAATGTATTCACTTTTTTTTTAACTGACAGACTTTTTAAGGGCAATTTTAATTTCACAGAAAAAAAAATGAGCTGAAAGCACAGTACAGAGAATTCCCACCTACTACTTTCTCTCTTCCTGGCTCAGTCTTTCCCTGTGTTTAATTAAGGTCTTGAAAGTGTTACATTTGTTAAAATTGATGAACCAGTATTGATATGTTGTTATGAAGTCAAATTCACTTTTTGTGCGGTGCAGTTCTATGAATTCTCACAAAAGCCTCATGTCGTGAATCCCCCTTAGAGTATCACACAGAGGAGTTCTGTCACCGTAAAGAGCCCCTGTGCTCCACGTCGTCATCCTTCTCTCCCCTGCCCCAGCCGTCCCTGGCAACCCCGATCTTGTTGTTGTTCCTGTAGTTTTGTCTAGAAGGTCATATAATGGGGTCCTATAGTCTGTGCCCTTTTCAGATTGGCTTATTTCACTCAGTGACTGTAGTTAAGATTCTTCCATATCTTTTCACGGCTGGACAGCTCATTTATTTTAATTAATAAAATAACATCCTGTTGCGTAGATGTGCAGCAGTTTGTTAATCCACTCACCATCTGAGGGCTCTACAGAGTGAGGCAAAAGTAACTTTGCCGTTGTCCATATGGACAGTAATACAATACTTAATAAACAGTAACACAAGAATAAACTCTGTGTTTCACATACGCACAACTGTAAACCTGCTTTGGCTGCACCCTGTATTGGTTGCTTCTAGTTGTTTTTTGGGGGGAGAGGATTGTAGGGTAGATTCATCTTCCATATTCAAAAAGCCTCCCGTTGTTTTACGTACTGGTTGGACCAATTTACGTGGCCACCAACAGTCTTTATGGGCTCTCTTTTCTTGGTTGTTTCCAGTTTTTTGGCAACTATCGTGAAGCTGCTTTTAAACATTTGTCTGCAGGTTTTTGTGTGCATATGTCTTCAATTCATTTAAATAAATACCTGAGAGCGTATTCCATGTAAAATTTTGGCTCTCTGAGCTTCATTCTAAGTGATTTTTATAGGTCTATCCATCTTGTCCTTTATTGCTCTATAAACAACATGTGTGTCCAAAATGGATCTCACAGCAATGGAAAGTCTTAGCTTGATGTATCTGTCTTCTTTGGTTCCCACCATTGGCTGAGTCTTCCTCTTAGGCCAAGACTCATGCCCTAATACATGTTTCATGGTATGAAGCTGAAGCGTCTTTCTGGTTAACAATCCTTTTCTCTCTTTGCTAGCACCTTGTTTCTGGGTCTAAGTTTACTTGGACTGAGGCTTGGAGACACTGGCAAATCTCATCTGTAGAGTACTCACTATTGTTCATACAGATAGAGTAAATAAATCTATCCTGATGGAGAGTTAGAAGCATTGTTCATGGACTTTCGTGAGGATATCTTCAGTTAGATTTTCCTGTTCCACGTGGATGGTGGCAAGGAGCGGTGGGGGGTATGTATCAGGTGATTGTCAACATAGTAATTAAACTGTGCAAGTCCTCTTCCCCAATGAGAGGCCAAGGAAATACCTGGTTGATAAGGTTCTTCAGATTCAGGACTGAAGAAAGATATTTTCTATCTATGACTGATAAAATGACAAACTCAGGGGAAGGAAAGGTTAAAAATCTAGTAAAATGCTAGAGTCCAGTAAGTTAAAAGGAGTCCGAAAGTTTAACAGATACATGGGAAGAAAAAGTAGACTTTACAACTACAGTCCAGCCCTGGCCAGGTAGCTTAGTTGGTGGAAGCATTGTCCCACACACCAAAAAGTTGTGGGTTTGGTTCCGTGTCATGGCACATCTGTAAGTTGTGGGTTCAATCCCCAGTCAGGGCTTGTACAGGAGGCAACCAGTCAATGTTGAAATGTTTCCCTCTCTGTCTCTCTCTCTCTCTCCCTACCCCCTTCCTCTCTCTCTAAAATCAATAAACATATCCTCAGGCGAGGATTTAAAATAAAATATAGTAAAATAAAAACCATAGTACAAAACCAAAAATCTGGGATCCAGGAAAATATAAGCAAGGCTCAAAGGTACACAGAAATTGACCAGAACAGGTATTATGTCATAGAGAGTGAACTGTCTGTATGAATGTGCACATTTGGAAGGAGGTGATGAGAATCCAGCCAAGGTTCCAGTGCCAAGATTAAGATATTCATAACCTGGTATTTTTATCACTAGAGAAATAATATAATTGACAAATACTACTTATAATTTTTATGCTACAATGTCTTTACACTGAACCAAAACAGTGAATGATTTATATAATTGATACAGTTATATTGTTGTGTGTGATTTTACTTGAACTTCCACAGGCAGAAGTCACAAAACTCAGTCAACAGTATTGCAGAAGAGTGAAACCCACGAAACTCCCACAGACGTAGGTCAAACGGCGACTCCTGTGGAGAGTCACGTAGGCACCTGGTTCACAACCACACCTGAAGGAGATCGGATCGGCACCAGAGGGTCAGAGAGAATAGCAGACTTGGCGCCGTTTCTGTCCTTTCAGGCCACAGACCCCATCACTGGAACGGTACGGCGGACTGTTGTGTATTGCACAATTTCTTAAATCACTGCAACTCTGAAACAATGCATAGAGGAGTGCTGGGCAGATAATAAATTTTCAATAACAATTTTTAAGCAGTAAGTAGTGGGTGGATAGATGGATAGATTGAGGGATGGATAGATGAACAAATGGATGAATGGATAGATCCATCTCCCCAAAACTGAAAGCATTTTGTGGTTTATTTGACCAGAATAGGATATCATGAAATACTAACTTTTGAAATGAAACACGGGTCATGAATTTTCAGTGCTACTCTAAGACTTGTATGATTAATGACATCATATATTTTCCTTGTGTTGAATGCATTTGTGTATATGTCTTACCTTCTACAAATAAGGGCCTATGTCTTATTCCTACTGCTTTGGGTGCACTTGATATGAGTGGCAGGAATTTGTTTATGATCCTTGACTTCAAAGAACTTACAGTATATATAAGGAGATTCTCCCATAAAAAATTCAAGAATACCACAGAGCAATTATACAAAAGATTTTATTTGTGGCATAAAAATAAGTGACAAATGAGTGGTATAGAAAATAGTGGTTTTGTTTAGGATGTGAAATTGAAACTCCTGGGATGAATAACAGCACCTTCTATATGCCAGGCTCTCTGTTAGGGATTTTGCATACATCATCTCATCAGCCCTTGCACCAGCGAATCATATCACACAGATGAGGCAGCTGGGTCTCACAGGTTATGTAATGTGGCCAAGAGCACACGATGGGAGGCAGGATTAGAGCCAGTTGTTGGTGACTGAACACAGGGCTCTTTCCATTCCTCAGCTGGTCTTCTAACCCTTTAGTGGAGCTTTGATGAATACTGTTTATAATATTCATCCCTCTGAGTCCAAACAAAACAAAGAATTTCCTAAGTGCCTCATCTCTGTTTTCTGGACTACCTACCCATTTGTAACCACATGATGCTGGTCAGAAGCAAAATGTCTGCTGCTGTTGAGAGCAATTACCTCATCTAACCAGATGTGTTTTCCTTTCTTCTTCAGTCTATTTCTGAAATAATGTCATAATCTCTTGGCTTGTTTGCTAGTTATGTTTTTTTTGTGAGTCTCAAAGTATGTATTATCTCAGGAAAGCTTGTGGGTCACCTCAAGTAACTCACTTTAATTCAATCCTTGATGCAGTTATTTGGTTCAAAATGCAAATTTTGTTAATATTTCTTAATTAATAACTTTCAATTTCTCTTATTGACACCTACCACCATTATGGAAGCATGAACCAACGTGCAAGAGTCTGGATTCAGGCATGAATTAAACAGCAGACACCTAACACAATAATAATGACAATGACGATGATGACGATATTTCCTGTGCAGTCACTGTGTGCCAGGCCCTGTTCTCAGTGCTTTTCATGCACTAACTCATTTAATTCCCACAACAAACTATGGTTTCCACTTTTAGATGAGGCCACTGAACTACAGAGAGGTTAAATTTTTCCAAGGTCACACAGCAAGTGGTAGAGTCAGAACGCAGACCCCAAGGTTGCATCCCAGATCCCACATGCTTAGCCCCCTATGCAAATAAGGGCCAAGAAACTAACATGATCACATGAAACAACATTGAAAACGGAGTTCTTCATAACACCCGCCATGAAGCGTCAGGTTTCAGAGGAGTGGGCGCTGACCTTGCGGTGAGGCAGACCTGGGTTTGCGGCCCAGGCGCACCCCTTCCTGATGGATGGCTCTGGACGGGTTTCCCGTCTGATCTTCCTCATTCATAAAGTGGAGATGATAGCCATCGCCTGAAATAATTGGGAAAATTAACACCAGGGTCAGCTCTATCAGGTGTTCAGTAAACATTCTTGCTATTGTGTTCTGGCCACCCCTAGGAATGACTATCCCACCCTGTAATGACCAGAAAAGGTCAGTGTTATGAGATGTTATGAAATGCTTGAATAATTCTAATTAATAACATGTAATATAACATATCCACGAAGTCTGTCCAGAAGGTATCTGGCCATGTCATCTGAAAGATAAAGACATGTACTGAAGAAGATACAAGATACAAGAAACATTGTGCATAGGACAGTGATGCCTCTGTCCCCTTTAAAGTAGGCACCTTGGGACCTCACACAGTTCTCCCAGTTGTCATCAGCTGCCCCATCATATTTTCCTGAATCTCATCAACAGTTTGAAATCTCTTCCCTTTCAAAGGTGATTTTAGTTTGGGGAAAAGCTGGAAGTCACAGGCTCCAAATCTGGGTTGTAGGGGAGCTGAATCACCTTGGTGATTTGATATTTTGCCAAAAAACTTTGTATGAGACATGATGCATGAGCAGGCGTGTTGTCATGATGAAGCTGCCAATCATCAGTTGCCCATAGCTGCAGCCTTCTGAATCATCCAAATAGTCTCTGCAGAGGAATGTTCAAGCTTAATGCAAAGTCTGATGCAGATTTGTTGCTCTGCTCGCTCAGTTATTTTGAATGTGACAGCCACACAGCACACATGCTCACTCAATGGCATCTAGCACCCCCACTGACCAGTACAGTGAAGTCACCATTGTCCACACGTGTGCATTCCAGTCCACTCTCCTTGGCTGCCAGGTTACATCAATGTCACACAAACTGTTCTCTTATATTAACAATGGCTGGACTTTTTCCAGAGAGAACTTGTATGCTAGATAAAGAGCAAGTATTAATCATTGCTACCTCAATGGCTGAAAGTGCTTATCAGTGCTATTTCATTTAATCGCATAACATCCCTGAAGAAGACACTCATGTTGGCTCCATTTTGCAGATGAAGAAACTAGATCACAGAGAGGTTAAGCAACTTGCCCAAGTCACCCAGCCATCCGTGAAGGTGGGATTTGAACTTGGGTAGCTTAACCCCAGAGTGCATGCTCTTAGTCACCACATTCTACAGTGGTATGTGTCTTGATACACACCTGGCTGAGAGTGCCAGTGACAAGAACCTAAACTAACAATCAGCCTTCATTTCTCTCTTAAGTATAGTGATTTTGACTACTGCAAGAATAAGAAGGTAACTATCGCCTGCTCTCAATAGCCCTAGACATGTGAGTCAAAGTGGCTAGCAAGCTCAGTGTCACATCTGTGGCTCTTCAGTGAATAATGTGACCCTTTCCGTTAGGACAGTATAGGCTCAGCAATACTCAGTGGTTAAAATCTGCATTATATAATTTGCAATATTATTGTTGCTGGTTGGGCTGTTCAGAGGCAAACACTGAGATGGAGTTTGGGGTACAAGATGTTTATTAGGGACACCATCCATGAAGGGAAGGGGGAGGAAGAGGGAGAAGCTGAGCTGCGGTGCAGACCCGACCCAGCAAAGCCCTGGTCAGCCCACCGGAGCCCAGGAGCCAGGGTCTCCAGTCTCAGTGTCGCAAGTCCGGTGGCAGGAGCCCACACCCCGCTCAGTCACTGGACACAGCAGCTCGGGACAAGGTGTCAGGCAGAGCACCTCTCTGCCTCTCAGACAGACGCCAAAGGAGCTGAGGTCTGTTTGCTCACTGCTCCCCACAGCTGGGGAGCAAATCCTTTCTTGAAGGGAGACCCCAGGCCACGCATCTCCACGTCTGACACACACACACACACACACACACACACCCCTGGGGGTTTACAGCTTTGCTGGTCAGCCGTTTAGTTGGTACACATATCAAGGCCTGATTGTTCCTTCACATTGAAGCACTTGCCAGTACTAACTAGATTTTTCATGTGGCTCCTACGCTATTCCACATACTTGAAACCCTTCAGTACTGCTTTGTCCTCCGTGGGCCGAAGGCTGAAGTCCTTAATGTGGCTTAAAGCCCTCCCCAGTTTCTTCCCTCGCCTTCCAGCCGGGCCTCTCCCCACTGCGCCCTGGCCTCCTTGCCCTCCAGCACACTGTTCACCTGCACTGCTGCTCTCCATCTCCATCGACACCCACCCCACGCCCTGGCATTGCTTCCCCAGCGGGGGAGGGAGGGGGCCAGGCTGTGCCACAACACTCACTGTGGACACAGTGGTCCCTTCCGTGGCTCCGTTAGCAACTTCTTTGTGACAGTCCTTCCCTTTGTGGGTAACCACTAGAGAGTGGGGGTGTCAGCTTTGGTCTCGTTCACCACTGCATCCCTCGCACCTCTCACAGTTTGCAGCACGGAGTCAGCCCTCTGGAAACCTACGTTCAGTAGGCTTGCTTTAGGACAGACCCGGAAACCCTGGGCTGCCACGGTGGCTGACTGTTGGCTTCCTGCCTTGGGTGACACAGTGTTTCCCTTGTCGGACCATCTCTCCATTTTCCACAGTAATCCGCTCCCCCAGAACAGAAGGGATTGCAGGTTAACACTGACAGACTACCAGAACACAGTCAGTCGGCTTCCACCTCCACTGCATTTCCAGCTTCGGGGAAGGAAAGCAGCATGTTCAGTGCAGCAGCCTCACCCACTGGGAGGCCCAGCAGCGACCCCCAGGCCCCAGCAGGGCACGTGGGGCAGGCAGGGCAGCCACGGACAGGAGCATACGAGTGCACAGATCAGCCCGACTCAGAGAAGCCACCGCCTCTGTGCCCCGCACCCCGCATGCCCTGTACTGATGACACAAGGCTGACTCCTGCTCGCCAACCCACGTCACATGCCAGGCAGCCTCAGCAGGCCACGGTCACCTTTAATCTCTCGCTCCCGAGGAAGCAAGGCCTGGGTCATTTTCCCAGACAGACCGGGGTCAGGCCGGACTGGGTGACAACTCACAAATACACGACAATGCTTCGGAGGAGCATCAGAGTTGAATCCAGACAGCCTTAATCCAGCCCCAGCCCTGGCACTTGTCCAGTGACTCCGAGCAAGTTCCTTGACGTCTCCATGTCTAAATTTCCTCATTCACAAAACGGGGATACCGTTGCCCATCTCCCAGGGTTGTGAAGGTTAGATTAGACCAAGTAGATGCGATAAAACGTTCACCTTTAACAAGTACCGGGCTCTGATGGTATTCCATAGAGTGTGAAATAGGCGCCCTTGGGCTTAACCACCTGACCAAACGGTCACACTCCGCCTTTGTGTGTCCAGGTCATGACAACCCGAGAGGACAAGGTGGTCATTGTCGAAAAGAAGGACGGCACTCGGATAGTGGACCACGCCGACGGCACCAGGATCACAACCTTTTACCAAGTGTACGCAGATTGCATCACTCCCCCGGACGAAATGTGTAAGCTTTCTTCCCCAAGTGCGAGGCACTATTGCATGTCTTCAGAGTAAGGTGGGCAGGAGGGTGGCAGCTCCTGTTGGTGCAGGGGTAGTAACAGTGGCTTCTCCATCTTCACCACTGAAAACCTGCCATCTGAATTGGTGGCAACAGTAAGCTAATAATCGTGACTCAGTGGTCCTAGACATTAGCTCTTAGACCTGAATTTTTTTATCCTTAAGGAATGAAACTTGCATAAGATGGGTGACCTTAGATAGCTCCCCTTGAATCCCCAGCCCCTCTGTCAGAAGGGTGGTGGGAGAGAGAGGCAGGCTGCTGCTGCTGAGTGACGGGCACCTGTTCCAGGGGTTAAGAGCCTGCCAGCATTCCTGACCTAAATTTGAATGAGATCTTTGGAGAAAAATTACTCCCTGGCTCCTTTCCTTTCATTGCAGAATTTGTTTAATGCTTTAAATGCTTCATTGCCAAATTAAGTGCAACGAAATTGGCTAGTGAGTGGGGGGAAAAGGAACTTGCACATCACTCTAAGGGTCACTTGGGAGGGCAATTTAAAAATATCTAGGGGACTGGAACGGCCCCTGTCGTGTGATGCACCGGCCCCCTTTGGGTAGATTTATGACTCGCACACACTTGTGCAGGGAAATGGGTGCAGGGGCGCCACTCGCAACACTGAGGAAATATGAAAATATTGGGAAAGCATAGAAGCCCACCAGCAGCAGAACAGGAAAATAAAACGTGGTAGATACATGCACATGGGTGCTGTATGGCAGTTATGAGGAAAGAAGTGCACACGCAAATGTACACATGCACACGTGTGTCAGGATGGCCGAGGGCCCCGAAATGGCTCAGTGAACAAAAGCTGGTATGGAGTGATGCACAGTAATTTATAACTTGTGCCGATTTAAAGCGCACAAAATGCGATACACGTTTTTAATGCACAGTTACATAAACGTGTACAAATGGATTGCCACAGAATGGAATAAACCCAGAATAAATTCGTATGTACGTATTAAGTTCATTGAAGCAAATGTAGCAGAATACTAACCAGCAGAAATTTTGATTGGTGAGTATATGAGTAGTAAAATTACACTTCATGCTTTTCCGGATGTTTCCTGTTTCTCAGAACAAGAAGGGCAATGAGGACGAAACAACACACTGCAGTAAGTCAGGAAGGTCCTCCTGGAAGGACCGCCCCGCGTTGGTGGGGGTTGCGCACACCGCACCCCAGCCTGTGCAGTGAGCGCCCAGCCCCGGGTCCGGACTGCCGGTCCGGCAGCTGGGAGACAGGGGCCAGGTCAGCAGGCAGCGTGCTTCCCAGTGTGTGCATCCTCTCAGCTCTGTTTGCCGCGCCTTCTCCCACAGCCAGAGGTCCTCACAGTGTCACCAGGCAGGTGAAGTGCATGCGGATAGAAAGCTCACATTATGCCACTGTCATCACCAACTGCGAGGACAGTAGCTGCTGCGCCACCTTTGGGGATGGGACGTCTATTATTGCAAAGCCACAGGGCACATACCAGGTAGGTCTCGGGCGGAAGATGGGGACTGCCGAAGGGGAGGGTCCATTCGGCTAAGGAAACCCACTCCTCTGGGCAGTGCACTCGTCTGCCAAGGGGTCAGCTGTTTCTCTCTTGTCTCATCCGATCGCAGAGCAGGCTTCTCAGCCTCGTTCTATGTATTCACATTTTGACAGCCCGCTCCAGAAAAACGCAGTCCTGCTTGTCGTGCAGTGCTTTGGTAGTTTTGGATCAAGCCAACAAACCAGAAAACACATGTCGGGGATCCCTGGTGTAGTGGGTGGTAGGCGCTGTGGGTGTTAGAAGCACTCGGTGACCTGGCCTGTGCCCACCAACCAGCTTTACCTCCTGCCACCTCCACTCTCGTTCTCACTCTGCCGTCCTGCCCACCTCCAGCCCAGCCCCACTCTACCTGATGTCCCCCAGGACAGGAGGGGCTATGTGGCCCTGGCAGGGCAGATTGCCCAGTTGATGCAAAGCTTCATCCTTAAAGGGTTGGGAGAGCTCTGTTAGCACTCTTCTACCTCCTGGTGTCAAACACAGCCACCTGGTGTCACCTGCAGTCCCTTTAGTGTCTTAGAAGGACTTGTCTTCCACTTGCTGGAGAAGGGACACAAGTGCCAGGATGTCATATAAGGCCGCAGGATACTGAGAGCTCAAAGGCAGAAGATGGTGGACAAAGACCTCAGTGACAAGCATTTGTTACTGTGAAAGCTGCTGAAGCCAGCTTATCCCTCCCGTCTCTCCTGATAACATTAGCTTAATCAATCCCTGTTCATGCAGCGTGGAGTGCTAGGGGGCAAGGAGGGGCCTGCAAGTGAGAAATGCTCTGGAGAAGGGGGTGCGATTTCCCTGTGCAGCACTCAGAGCATGCATTTCGGGCAGATCGGCAGCATTCGTATTCCAGTGCCATGTGCCCGGCCAGATGTCATAAGCATCTCCCAAGATTCTGAGGTGCGGCTAGCGCTTAGCTTACTGTTACCACAGCCCCAAACACCAGTGGTTTCAGTCACCAAGGCCTAGGAATTTTAGCACCAGTGACAGCTACCACTGAGGGGAGAGACATAAACAGGAAAGAGCTGGAGAGTAGAGACAGTCCGTGTCTGCCACCATTGTATAGCCACTGGTCCCTCCCAGGCTTGCCCAGCCTCCTGAAAGAGTCCAAGAAGAGATTGGAAGGTGGGTCGCTCCTGGTTGAAAAACGCACAGACTTAGTTCCCAACTGAAAAGGAAACACCTCAACATAAGTTTATCAACACCTGTTGTATAATCTTCTAGTTGTATAGAGCTGGCAAAGTGGCGCTCAGAAATGCCTTCTGCCTGCCCTGTTTCGGGTGGTCTCAGCACTGGCAGCAGGGTGAGTGGGCTGGGTTTCAGGACGTGCATAAAAGGGGGAGGTGGGGCTTGGTACTGGCTGCTGCTGTGCCTTGGCAGTGGTGGAAATATTACTCAAAACATCAAAGAGGAGGTGCCTACAGCAGTTACTAGTCTCCATGATTAGAATGTCTCACGAGCAGGTTTGCCACGAGAGGGATGAGGACAAAGGAGAGCTTCTAAAATCATTTGTCCCAAAAGCCTTTGACCCTTTGGAGATGATTCTTGCCCGAGCACATAAAGAATTCCAGACACTTTGAACAGGGCCAAGTGTGTTTACTTCAGTTAAAATATATTTTACTATTTTATATTAAATATCTGAAATAAAAAGGCACAAGGCATTTACTTGAAAGAACCATGAAAGCAAATTGATAAAATAATTTTATCCCGGGTTTATCTTGGGTTTTCTTCCTGGAAACACAGTTTGTGGCAGAGATCTGTGGATAATTTTTTTACTAAAATGATTTTCCAAATCCCTTAAATTGAACAAGGAATTTTAAGTCTCTTTCTGACGCCCTTCCAGGTGTTGCCTCCAAACACAGGCTGTCTTTATATCGACAAGGACTGTTCAGCTGTTTATTGCCATGAGTCAAGCAGTGAGATATACCATCCTTTCCAAAAGCGGGAGCAGCTGAGAGCTAGCACGTACATCATGAAGCACACGTCAGAGGTGGTCTGTGAGGTCCTGGATCCCCAGGGAAACACCTTTCAGGTGAAGTGCATCATTGGTACAGAGAGAGGGGCTGGGCCTTTGCTTGCCTGATATTCCACACGACAGACCCTCCCTGTAGCTTTTTACCTCAGCTTCTCTGGGGTGAGTTATCTGCCTCCTGCTGATACCGTGTGTGAGCAGTGATGACCGTCAACATCTTTGATTCTCAAGTGCAATTCCGTAGGGGATAGCGTGCCCAGCTATGGGGATGGCGGGAGTGTCAAAGCCAAGTAATTAATTGGAGCAGAAGGGGAGGAGGGGAGAAACAGCACTGGGCATCTATAAGTAATGCCGACACAAAGGAATGGTGGAAGAACGGTCAGAGTCCAGGTTAAAGAGCGAGCAAGTACTTGGGACATAAGGCAAGCGTACTTGTCTAGGCAGAGACTCCTGGTGAGAATTTCAGTTCCCAGGGGCTCTGGTGGGGGTGAGGATGGGGAGGAGGGGAGCCCGGAGAGGTGCTCAGCTACACGGGGCAGAGCCCTGCCGTCTGCTCCCCTGCCCCGCAGAACCACAGCTGCCCTCCCCCCTCTCGGCCAGGCATTGGCAAATCACGGCCATTTGTTTATAAAGGTTCATGAGCTAAAAATGGTTTTTACATTTTTCAATGGTTGGGAAAAAATTAAAAAGAGGAATGTTTCATGACACATAAAACTGACAGGAAATTCCAATGTCAGTATTGTGATATGAAGCTTTCCTGGAACGCAGCTGTGCCCACATGTGTACACATTGTCCCTGGCTGCCCAGCTTGCAACGGCAGAGGCGAGTGGTCACAACAGAGACCCATGGCCCACAAACCCTAAAGCACTTACTCTCGGGCCCTTGAAAAAAAAAAGTTGGCCAACCTCTCCTCTCTCTATATATTTATATTTTACTCCTCACCCAGAAGGGGAATTTTGTGTGTATGCTAGGGGTCAGTGAAGCTATTTTTTAGATTTGGAACCATACCCCGAGTCCCCAACTTTGTTTTGGTATGCAGGCAAGCACCGTCCAGCTTACTTTTCTGTGCTAAGCAAATAAGGCTCTTCCCAGCGTGAGTTCCAGCTGCTAACCAATGTCAGTCCACGATGAATTGAAACCCTCCAGGTTGAACCCTGTGGCTTATCCAGGCCAAGCGTTCTTCTAGGCTTTGATGCTCTTCTTGGCCATCCTCTGCAGTGGTCTTCCAGCCTGGACCACACTGCTTCCTGGAGAAACCCATACTTCCCGGAGAAACCCATGCCATATCCAGACAGTGGGAGTGGCGAGTGCCTTTCTCCCCACGTTGGTACCAAAGCTGTTTCCCTGTGCCGCCCATCCAGGAGTCTTAATCCTGTGCCTGGAGCTGCCACATGGAAACCCCTTTCATGCTGTCACTCTTTCAGTGTTTCAAGACAGCTGTCACATCAGCAGCCTTCCCTCCAGGTTAAAATTCCCAGTTCCTTGAACTTATAGTCCTCAGAAGGTTTGGATCCCCGTCTGCCATCCTGGTCCCCTTCCCTGGGGTATTCTGGATTTGCTTCCAGTTTGTTCTCACAGTCTAGGTGTGGCTTGTGGGTGGAGATGTGCTGCTGCTCATAGGTTTTCGCTTTGAAGCAATCTATACTTAGCAATACCTTACAAGTAAATTACCATGCCTGATTTTCTAATACCAAAAACCACCTGCTTTCTCAAATGGGATCGTCAGAAAATGTAAGCTCTATGGCATTTTTTTTCTTTTAGTTGCTTATACACTTTGTCCCTTAGGTCATGGCTGATGGTAGCGTATCAACTGTGCTACCTGAGAACAGTCTGGAAGATGACTTGAATGCAATCCCTGAAGGCTACGACAGCTTGTCATCTGCTCACCTTCAGAAGAATCACCTGCAAATCTATGGTGAACACATCCCCAGGTAATATGATCAAAACAATACCAGGACTTTTATTTTTTAATTCCAAGTTCAAGGAGCATTTGAACTGAATTCTTCGAGTGATTAGGTTTTTATTTCTTCAAATAGGTTTTTTGTTGTCTATGCCGACGGATCGGGAGTGGAGCTCCTGCGAGACAGTGAGATCGAAGAATACCTGTCCTTGGCGTGCGGGGGACCAACCACGGTGGTTCTGCAGGAGCCCGTGCAGGAGCAGCCAGGTAGGGAAGCCGGGCATCTGGAGCTCTCGGGGTCCCCTTACCACCTCTCGTCCTCCCAACCCGGCCGTGCCCGAGTCTTCTCCATTTCTTTCTCTTCGCTCGCTTTTCAACTCTACTTCCCACCTGGCCCTGTCAGCCCGTTTATGCAGCCATTTGGGTTTATACCAAGTTTTGTCTGAGCATCAACCTATGTAAACGGCAGACGAGTCCTTTTCCTACCTATAAGCAGGTTCGTATCTGTGTTTAAGTATGTTAGGTTTGTACCTTGGATCCTATTTAAATGCTTGTTTACCAAATTCACTTATTAAGTTGAGCAGTTTTTTTATGGAGTCTCTAGGATTTTCTATGTACACTATCATGTCATCTGCAAACAATGACAATTTTTCTTCCTCCTTTCCAATTTGGATGCCTTTTATTTCTTTTTCTTATCTGATTGCTGTGGCTAGGACTTCCAGTACTATGTTGAATAGGAGTGGTGAAAGTGGACATCCTTGTCCTGTCCCTGATCTTAGTGGGAAAACTCTTAAGTTTTTGCCCTTTGAGTATGATGTTGGCTGTAGGTCTGGCCTTTATTATGTTGAGGAATGCTTCCTCTCTTCCCACTTTACTGAGTGTTTTTTATTATAAATAGATGCTGTACCTTATCAAGTGCTTTTTCAGCATCTGTTGCTATGATTGTGTGATTTTTGTCTTTCTAAATGCTTGTTTAATCTTGGTAGGAAAAAAGAAAGAAAAGTGAGATATCTCTGATAAGTTCATTTTTTGTTGTTTTGAAGGTGTTGCGTTAATCAATTTAATAAGAAGAGAAAGTATATTTTTTGTGCGAGTTAAGGAGCCAACCTGGACTATAGGATAAGTTTTGTGATATATTCATTGGACATTTATTTTATTTTGATCAATTTCAAAGAAATCTGTATGTGACTAAAGGTTAGAGATACATATTGCATTAAGTAATAACCATCAGCATATCTAATATGTGTATTTAAACATAGATATAAACTTGCATATTATCTGCGTGCAAAATTGGTATGCTGGTTCTACATTTATGCATTTATTGGTAGGATATATTCTGTGCTCATTTATGAATACGCCTGCATCTCTGTGCACTTACGTGTTTTAGTATGTCAGCACACACACACCAGATGTTATAAACCGTGCTCTTTGTGAATATGAAGAGCAGGGTGCTCTGACTGGTTGTACAGTGCACGTGGGAAGCTGGATGAGAATAAGAATTCAAATTGCATTAACAAGCATCTGCTTGAAAACCCACCATGCGCCAGACACTGGCTGGGGGTTAGGGACACGATGATGAGGTAAGAGCGCGTGGGCCCTGCTCTCAGAGAGCTTAATGTTGAACTAGAGAGATGCGCGTAAATTACGTAGTCACACAAATAACTGTGTGATGATAAGGTGGGGTGAGGTCTATGAAGGAAAGGAAGTCTAGAAGGCTTCCCGCTTCCCTGAAGACACTGGAGCCGAGAGCTGGTGGATAAGTGGGAGTTAGTTAATTCAGGAGGGAGGGCTTTCTTGGAAGAAAGAGTGCAAAGCGGGAAGCATGCAGCACTGGGGAAGGCAGGGTGGGGAGGCCGCGGCACCTGAAGCACAGAGGGGAGAACAGTGCTAGTTGAGCAGGGTGAGAAAATGTTACGACTCAGGGTTACCCTGTGAGTAATGGGAAGTCGACAGAGAGTTTACATCACAGTTGAACGTAATGGGCCGCCCCGACTGCTGGGGAGCTCCACTCACAGAGCAGACCTGGGTAGGAAAGCAAGTCCTGGCCGCGGTCCAGAGCAGCATCTCTCCGAGGCAAATGACCCCAGGAGGTGGGGACGGCGGCGAGGGAAGAAGGGGATGAGCTCGGGAGCCTTCAGTGGTGGGCCGGACGGGACACGGGTGTGCTGTCTGGAGGGCAGAGAGACGTCAGTGAGTGTTTTCAGGTCGTGTCAGTCCTGTCTCTAGTGTTACAGTGACCAAAAGCCTCCCCTTTCTTTTTAGCTCTTAAGGCCTGTAAGCATAATCGCTGGGTCTCGCTTTTCGAAAAGTGCTTGTTGAATTTAGTGAATACTCACTGAAATTTTTAGAATATTTTTGATAGAAAAGTAACTTTCCAATAACTCTCTTTGAACCAGGCGCCCTCAGCATCACCGTCCTTCACCCTTTCCATGAAGCGTCACCGTGGCTAATGAAGAAAGAACTGGACACGATCGTGCCTCCTAATCTGCAGTCGCGGACCTGGGAGACCTTTCCCGCAGTGGAGGTAGAGGGCATCTCACTGAACAGTCACCATCGTTGCCTGTCCATCCAGTCGTGGGCCACAGTCTCGGACCCCCCGTCTGTCCACATATTTTCATTCTCATGTAAATTGTGAATGGGCTTAAGGAACCTTATATTTGAAGACTTGAACGTTGTAGATTTTAGATACACCTGACTAGCTAATCTGTTTTGTTTCTTTTATCCTACATTGAAGGCTTGAACATCTTATGATACAAAAATGCCCACTCTGAGTAACCTTTGCTGTCATGGGATCACTGATACCGTGCAGTACAGAAACCTTCCCTTCTCGTGTTCCCTGTGTGTTAGTTCTGGCACGCAATTTTAGGTCTTTCCCTCTTTTTTTTTGCTTAATGTCTTAATTTGCAAATTGAGTGCATGAGAATAGTTGAAAGGATTGATTATACACAGGGATTTGCAACTATAATATTAAAAAATTAACATTAGAGAAACCCCACTTACAGTTTTTTTCAAAGAATGAAAGAAAATATCTTGAGTAAGAGTCATAAAACCCCAAATCTCGCAAGATTTGCCATTTCATTTTGCAAGCAATGTATGTGATATGTCCAGAACATCGCCCGATGTGAAATTTGTATAGTTCAGTGAAGTCATTGAGGAGATGATCGGAGAGCGATACTTGGGTTAAGCGAAGAGGATGATGTTTTGAGTTATGATGATTTTTGCTTTCCTGCACAATTTTGTAACAGCAGGGGCACAAGTAACGAACACTTAAGATAACAAAGACCTCCTAGCCCTATATTTTAGTTTGGCAACTACAGTCAGTGCAGTGAATGAAGAAGATCTGAACCCTAGGCCCAACTCTACCATTTATTAATGTGGGACTTGAGACAAGTCACATGGGACCCCTGCTTCCTTACCTAAAATATGGAAAAGCCATGCCAAATGGCTCACTAATAAGGTTATGTATTCAAGGTGAAAGCACTGCATAATGACAAATAATATGTCACATGTGAGATTAATAAAGGAAGTTCAGTCTCTTCCTCTGCAACTCCTATAGCTGTGACCACACCCAATAGGAGTGGCCTGGCCCAGGCAAGACCCCGAGTGGTTATCACTGACCAGGCATCAGACACTGAACAGCAATTGAAAACGAAGCACATCAGACGCACTGCAGGACACAGGGCCTCCAACCACACCACCCCCGAGAACACAGAGGACGGAGGCCACTCGAAGGCAGATATTCCTGCCCCAGAGACCCTGGGAAGACTGGAGGCGTGCTTGGTCTAGTGTGAGCTCCGACTCCACTCAGCTCTGTGGACGATTTCCCTCTCAAAGGATCTTTTTAGGTCACAATATGCATGGGACCAGAAAGTTGATGACTGTTTAATTCCCAGCATCTTGGGCTCCCTGTGGGCATTAAAGGACAGTTGCACGCACGCGGCATGAGCTGGGCTACAACAGCATTGCCACAGCATAGCGCTGCGTCGCATGTGCCCTCCAGGGTCTCAGAATGTCCAGGCGCTGGGTCACACGCGTAAGAGGAAAGCTCGCCCAGTTCTGTTACCAGTTTATCTCATATTTGTGAACATTTTCCAGAGCAGGGATTACTTATTGTTTTCACCATTGTATTCCCTAACTAGTTGTTCCTATCCCAGTGTCTACATAATAAGCACTCAGTTAAAAATTCAGACTTCTTTGGTGGTGTTTTTGCTTTGTTTTGTTAACAGAAGAAAACTCCAGGACCTCCGTTTGGCACTTACATTTGGAAGGGTTTTTACAACGAGGCCAAACAGCTGGTGAGCGCCCCAGCCCCTCTTCTCAAGAGCCCTAGCGTGCTGCAGATCCGCCAGTTCATCCAGCATGAGGTCATAACGGATGAGGTGAAACTGAAGCTGCAGACTTCCCTGAAGGTAATGGACTCCTGGCAACCTTGCCCAGAAGAGTCAGGCCCAGGGCGGTCAGTCCCCTTGGTTTCTTCGGGAACCTGAATTAGATAATTTCACCAATATCGGTTTAATGTAACACACAAGTGCCAATCTTCCAGAGGGTAGGGAGTTGAGAGGTAGGAAATACTGCATGATTCCCACGAGGTACTGGAATATTGAGACCCCAAGGACATTGAGAAAATAAGTAACTTTTATACATGATTGTTATACAGAGTCATCCTTTCTCATTATACGGAAAACTAACTGAGTGACCTCTGGGAAAAGGTAGAACTACACATTAATCTGAAATGTGTCATGGAAGACAAATATTGTTGGTTTTTAAAAATGGCCTAAGAATTTGTAAGGATTCGGTTAATTGTATAATCATGTCTGTAACAACTCACTGGCTAGTCTGTTAACTCCGTCGGGACAGGGACCCAATGTGGTTTGATTATGCTGCTGTGCCCCGCACCTGGCAGAGAGCAGGGGACCGTCATTTGTGGAAACAGATCAAATAAAGATGGAAAAAGTGAAGTATATTCCCCTTGGAAGCAAAGGCATGCTTAAGCAACTTACATTCAGTAATAGAATTACAAAGACCCTCCCTGGAGAGGACTCTAGGAATCTTCTAACCCAGCTCTGTCCATCTTATTGATGAGGACACTGGACCACAGAGTCAGTGGCCAGGCCTCTCCGAAGTCCTCATACAGTTCTAACATCCTGCGGCCCTTCAGGCTGCGCTTTGGGATTTTCAGGCTGCGCTTTGCATGATCTGGGCCCAGAATATTCAAGAAAAGGCTTTCCAGATTGCTTGACCAGGAACTGTGGCTGTTGACCATTGTGAACTTCTGTATTCCTAATCTTGTTGTGACATTCCAAGTTGATGTTGACTATGGGGGTGTCTCTGTACCTTATTTCTCTTTTTTATTGATCTGTTTCCTTCTGCCAATGTAGGACTACATCAACCACATCCTGAAGCAAGAGGACGAGCTGCGGGGCATGGCGGTGAAGGACTCCAGAACCGAGGCGGAGAGGGGCAGCGCTGCAGACCTCCTGAAGCTGGTGATGGTGAGGCAGAGGCGCCCCCACGCCCGCCTGTGTCTCGGGGTCTGTCGTTTCAGTGAGGCGGGGCGGAGGGCGGGGGGCGCGCTTCAGGGCAGAAACTGTCGGGAAGGGCTGCCCCTGCCACTTCTGGGAAGCGTTTTCTCCCTCCTTACAATTTCTTGTTTCTGTGGAAATCTGATTCCTTATACACCGAATTTACCAAATGTTTTTTAGGCTCTTCCTTAAGCCATAAATAACTCTGGAGGCAGTTAATTGACAGCTTTCATTCTCTTCAGAGAAATCGGACATTCTTGGAAGTGCAGAATGAATTCATGAATGAAATAGGAAGAAGAAAAAGGAGTTTCTGAAAGTGAAAATGATTTCTATTTTTAGAAATTTGTTAAATGAAAGGAATGACTAAAAAAATCAAATAAGATTTTTAGTGCCATTAAAATTATTCATTTTACAGTAATTTTCATAAAAGATCAAGTTGAGCACTTAAAGAATGCTTCTAAACAAAGTGAGTTTTGTGTGTAACATAATCATCATCATCAAGAAATTTTATCTTTATTTCAGTCTTTTCCTAAGATGGAAGAAAGTACAAAAAGTCATGTTACTGAAGGTAAGTACATTTAATATTTTTCTGCAAAATACTTACAGGTTTCAAAGGAACCACCCTAAATATACCTCTCAGCCATTCCTGCATCTGAGAGCAAAGTACTGTGGATGTATTTCTGCTGTTGTGCTGGCCACGTTGTGGTGTAATTATGTGCTCATCTAATTTCTTCCACCTGAATTGTAGATTCTTGAAAACGGTGATTGCCTCTGATTCATCTTTAACTTCTGTCTTTTGAGTAAAAAGGGAGGCATTTGGCTCTGCCCTCAACCTGTATTTGGAACATAGCTAAGGTACAGCAAGGGATGAACCGAGCGGCCTGCATTGTCCCCACGACACTCGCTCGCTCACGGAGAGCTTTTGGGCAGCGGCACAGCCTCCCCCCCGGACCCGGCCCTGCTTCAGGCCGCAGAGCTCAAGCAGCCTCCTCTCGGAGAGCGCTCTCGCTCAGAGAGCCTTTGTCGTCGGGACACACGCAGCTCCGACAAAGACGGTTACGCGGTTTCCCAGTCCACAGCAGACAAGCAACAGAGGATTTGGTGGCTTGGGGCTTTCTTTTCTGTTTTGGCCACGTGCCCAAGGGCAGAAACCGGGGTTCATTCACCCCACAGATGTTCCTGTGTGTCCCCCACAATGTTGGCTTGCACAGTTGTTTTTGTTTAACTGAATTTTTCTTTGCTTGAAACGTCACTTTACCCTACATACCGACAAGGGCCTGAAGATGACTTGCAGCCACCTCTGTGCAGTGACCATGACCTGAAGAGTCTGTCACGCCCCCTCCATTGCCTCCCGGTCCTTCCACTCTCTCCCTGTCAGTCTTCTACCTGGGCAGCCCCTTGTGTCAGATTGCCAGATGTAGCAAACAAAAATAGAGAAGGCCCAGGTAAATTTGAATTTTAGATAAACAACAAGTAATTAATTCTGTGGTATAATTATTTGGGACCCACTTATACTAAAAAAATTACTTTTTTAAATCTGAAACTTAAATTTAATTCGATGCCCTGTACTTTATCTGGTAAACGTACCTTGTAGCACTGGGACTTGTAGCCTCTGGCACGAGGAAACAGTCACCAGAGGTAAATGGCCAGGTTGCCCCACAGTGAAGGACACGTTCATGTAAACATACAAACGAACAGACGCAGGAGTCAGGTGGAGTCTCGGGTATGTGAAGTCACCCCTGACCCACATCAGCGGCGACCCTAAGCCAGGCGTCCGTCCTGCAGTGTCCCTGAGACACAGGTCTCTGAGACGGCTCCACCCACAGTGCGTTTGTGGGGAAACAAGTTTGGATAGTGCTGCACATTGCCTTATATTCCTGGAGAGCCAGACACGCATTAACTGAGGGAGCAGGCAGAGAGGTCCTGCAGCAGGGAAACGTATTCAGCCTTGTGTGAATCGGGGCTTCCCGAGCTCCACGTGACCGTGGAAGCTTATGTCTTCTCTCAGCCTCCTTCTCACATCCCGCCCAGGCCGTGATCCGTGGAGTACACGCTGAGAGCCACTTCCCAAGTCACCGAAAAATCATTGCATCATAGTCACATCCTTAGATTTACATCCTTATTTATTAAAAAAACAATTTCAATAAAACAGGTAATTTTTTTTTAAGTTCTGGTGCTTCAGATGTGAAGAAATTCCGTTCAGTTGACACTGATTCCCCCAATGATGTGCCGCTACGCCTCACGCTTGGTTCTCCAGTAGGACACTGCGCACAAGTTACTGTCACACTGCAGCTTGGTCACGGAAATGCTACTGAACATTTGGAGGATTGGAGACAGGCTCTCAGATGCGGCAGACTCTGGCCCGCAGCGTCCGCCTGTTGTGACTGAAGACGGAAACAAATGCACAGGCTGCCGCAGTCCTGCGGAGAAAAAGGGACGGTGCTCTCTTAAGATGAGAGTCCTGCGGCCCCTTCTCTCAAGGGGAGAGCGCCTTGGCCACTCTCTCAAGAGGAGAGCTCACCCACCCTTGCCTGGACAGGCTTTTATTGTTTTTCTCAGGTCTTACATCAAAGAAGGATTTATTATCTATTACATAGAATACCGTTGTCTACATTTTAGGTACAGTCAAGGAAACGAAAATAACAAACGCAAAAGGGAAAGGTGGCGAGCTGGTCAGCTCTGTCCTTGGGAAAATTCACACAGGCTTTGGCAATTACCTTGAAGATAGGCAATAAACATCTACTGCTTCAGACCAGGGTGAGGGAATTTTAGCAAGAGCAAGCCATAGCAGTCTGTATGCATTTCCTAGGCCTGATTCCCATGGGAGAACCCAGTTTGAGGGTCTGGCTCCTGCCCACCACTGCGCTTCTACAGGTTTTCCATACAGAGCTGAGTCACATTTGCCAGATTCAAAACAAACCGGTTCCCTGCACTCAGAAAGCATCTCAGATGGGTAACTGGGTACTACTAGTATGCTAAGCGGTAAAGCCAACCATGTCTGTTTTCACAGTCGCAGCCCACCTGACCGATTTCCTCAGGCAGTCTGTGGCTGCTTCTCCAGAAGACCTTCCAGACACATTCAGTACAGAGTTCTTTGAAAAGAAATGGAAGTAAGCTGATCTAATAAATGCGTTCCAAATTGTGTCCAAGGATTGCATACAGGGACGGTGAATGGAGAGGCAGGGTGTCATGGGTACGGGTGACCACATCCGGGATGCTCAGCCTTGCATCCGCCACACTGCCCACGAGCTGTCGCAGCTGATGGCGGTTCCTTCGCTGTCTGTAAGCTGGGAGCACTGCCCCCGCTTTTGGAGGCACGTGCACTTGTTTGTTCCTTCACTGACCCAAGCGAGCGTGAGAGGCGTGCCCGTGGCGTGGAACACTTTGTGCTGGGAGCTGGGGGCAGAGGGTGCCAGATAACACAACTTGGCCCGCCCATCTTGGAGCTTGTCGGGTGCTATCGGGAAGAGCCAGTGAACCAGTCAGCACGTGGGTGGACTGTGATAGACGGGGAGAAATGCCCCAGAAGGTTCTCCTGGGCCACCAGAAGGGAAAAAGGCCAGCGAGGACCTGTTTTATGACTTCAAACACAGGGCCGCTTGCAAGGGGGCATCTTTCAGAGAAAAGGAGACATGTGCTTTCAGACCTGTCAGAGTATCACTCAGACTCGTACCAGGGGCAGCCAGGTGTCCCAGGGGCCTGCTGGCTGCCAGCTAGGCTCCTGACTCAGGAAGGAAGTTCCCTGAGATGGGGCCACTTAAGATGACAGAGGAAGAGCTGACTGTGTGGAAAGTCAGCAAAGCACCCACCTTACCCTTCTCAGCCATGCTTTTCTTCTTTCCTTTCACATAGGGACACAGAAACAGGAAAGCACTGGAGTGAAAAACTAGCTCAAAAGAGGTAATCCTACCCTGAAGTGTATACATAAGCACATGGAAAAGCCCAGTTCTGTGGGTCCTTAGAGTCTTAGAGGGGGTTGGGTGGGCGGGCCTCCCCCCAGCCTCCCGCTGTCGTCCTGTCTCCTCCGCGTTTCTGCCACGTGGCCACGCAGCTTTTGAGTGAGGACATTCCTGTCCCTCGAGGATGCCCATTCGACCATTAGGTAGATATTCTCCCTCTCATAAGTAAGAAAGCTCTCTGTGCTTCGGTAGTTTTAATATACTGATAAATATTCTAGAACTTAATACAGTACATAGTCATGAACATTCAAGGACTCTTATTCACTTAAGGAATGCACTATGTGCTTTGGTTTCCTTTGAGTCCCAGCTGATGATAACTCTCTTGCCATAAAGAGGAGGCCAGAGAGGTGGACTGAGTCTGTAGCAGTGTGTATGGCACTGCTGTCCACATTCCCAGGGCTCCTCTCCAGAGTGACCCCCAGGGCAATGGCGCTTCTGAACACACAGTCGGGGTTGCCTTGTGGAATGTGTGGGAGAAGTGGCGAGGTGCAGCCTCAAGTCTCACGGCCCACCCCACATGCAAGGCCAAGCCGCAAGGTATATGCTGTGTCACAGAACACCCCTGGAGGGGTTTCCAAGAGGCTGGTGACAGTGATCGCCTGTGAGGAAGGACACTGGCAGGTTAGGGGACAGCGTCACATGCTCTTCAATAGTTTCTGAACTGTGGACATAGGCACGTGTTATTTACTCACGGTCTCAGAATTCTGAAACACTAAAATTTCAAATTTTAACCAATAGGCAGGTGGCAGCAAGGCAATGAAAGTTTTTGGAAAAGAAAGTGAAATGCATAATGCAGTGTGTGTCCCAGAAAGGCAGGTATTGGGAACGCAGAAAACGGGCCGGGGAGGGGGGTGAGGAAGGAGAACGTTTCAGGGAAATGGGAGGGGGCCAGCGAGTGTCAGACGCTGCGGAAGGGTCCGAAAGGAGCATGGAAAGAAGAGCTTGGGTTTATTGACTGGAAGGTTTATTGATCTCTTCTGTGGGAACAGTTGCAGGAGAGTGACAGGCGTGGCCGGACTGCCGCAGGCAGGTGAATAAATTCAGCGAGGCAGTGGTGAGAAACCACAGCTGTTGAAATAAGACATCTTGGCGCAGCCAGTATTTCCAGAGAGGCCGCCCAGTACGAGAGCGAGCGCCGGTCTTCGAGCCAGCGGCCGGGTGTGTGCGCAGTGTGCGGTGCTGGCCGGGGCTGCACTTCAGGAACTGAGTTGGCTTCTCTGTGAGACGAGGACCGTTGGAGGGCCTCAGGCCTGAGGTCCGCTCACCTGTTGGGTAACGCATTGCTGACCAGCGTGTGTACATATTGAAATCGCGGGCTTTGGAGGCAGGCAGCCTGGGTTTCACTTCAGACTTCACCTCTTACTACTTAGTCATTTAGGGTAGGCTGCATAACCTCTCTAGGCCTTGATTTTTTTATCCAATACAATGGGAATAATAATAGTAACTCAGAATTATTGTACAATAAGGTTCAATGTAAAGTACTTTGCCACGTTTCTGGCAAGCAAGGATCACTTAAAATTGAGACTATTTTGGATTGGAGTAGGTTCAGCTACATTTAACAGACAGTCCCCAAATCAGTGCATTTACAAGAAATAGTTGTTTTTTTGTTTTTTTGTTTTTGTTTTTGTTTGGTTCTTAATGTAAAAGAGAAGTCAGAGGTGGGCAGTCCGTGGCAGATAGTGCCACCTCATTGGAAACTCGGATTCTGTCTTGTCATCGGTGTCATCCTTACTGGCGTGTGATTTCCATCCTCAGAGTTCCTTCTTGGCCGCAGAACGCTACAGCTACAACCACTGCATCCATATTTCAGGAAGGAGGAAGGGATGGGCCAGGGGCTATGGGGGAGCCTCCCAGCTGAGTGAGCCCTCTTTCAAAGCTGTCTGGAGTCTTACTCAGTGACTTGAGTTTGCTTCTCTTTGGAGATTGTGTGTGTGTGTGTGTGTGTGTGTGTGTGTGTATAAACTAGAATATTGCCTCCCCAGTGTAGGGTTCTGGTATTAGAAAGACAACTAGCAGGATTATCGTGATTGCTTTTGTTTCACTTTGTAATCACCAATCACATTATTCATAAACATTTACTAGGGTTTTAGTTTTAGTTTTTGCTACCATTGCTACTGAAATTAGGCAAATCTAGCTGGCATTTAAACCATGTGGTTTTTGGTCTTTTGAGATCAACTGTCAAATCAAACTACCACCTGGCACCATTATTTTCTATCTTATATGGAAGTTTGATTTCTAGGCAGGAAATGCTACTGATTCTAGAAGAAGCAGAAAGTGAACCAAAACATACAAAAAAAATGTCTGACAGGCTCGTTCGTACTGCTAGCGATCCCATTTTCTGTGGGATTTAGAGCTAAAACACATGCAGATAACGTTTTGAAATATTTTGTGTTTTCTTTTGCATCATTACGGACATATCGACCAGGAAGGAAATTGAAAATACACGCAGTCGTTTAATGAACATTAAGAACAAAACAATACCGCCCTACTTCAAACCTGACTTGAGCAATGTGTATCAGTCTCAGGTAATTGAGTGTAATTAACAACTATTAAATAAGTGTCTTTTTAAAAGTTGATACATTTCATAGGTTATTATTTAATGTACATTTCCTGAAGTTATTTCTTTTCTACATCAAACTGACTGACTAACCCACACTGTCAAAATCCATGCCCTCACAAGTGTACGAGAATGCTGATATCAGGTCTTGCACCTAAGTAGAAGTTCTTTACCAATTTATAACTATCTATCTATCTTTCTGCCTTGAAGTATCACGGCGAATTGACTGTATCCCATCTATTTCGAGCCCTTTTAACATTCAAATTCGCCCTATTGATGATTATCCTCTGATAAATCCCATTTTTATTAAAGTTTCTATTTCATTAAAATTCCCTTACCTGCCAGCTGCTGAGATAACACAAAGATGTCACAAGCTCATGGAGGCTCGTGGAGGCAAAGCACTCCCCTCCCCCTCTGTGAAGCACTGAAACTCTCAAGCGAAGTAAATGTATTCATGTGTTCAGAACTCCATGGTATTATGAAAGCTCCAGATGCTATTATTAACCAGAGGCTGCCCCAGAAGAAATTACAGGAAATTATGACTAATTAACAAAATGTAGAATTGAGTTAATCAGCCTCTTGAAAAACTTTCAGTTTGCAAGAATTTATTTCCAGGGCCTAAAAAAAAAGACTTTTTTAAAAAGAGTTTATTTATTTATTTTTAGAGAGTGGGGAAGGGAGGGAGAAAGAGAGGGAGAGAAACATCAGTGTGTGGTTGCATCTCACGCGTCCCCTTCTGGGGACCTGGCCCGCAACCCAGGCATGTGCCCTGACTGGGAATTGAACTGGTGACTCTTTGGTTTGCAATCCAGCACTCAATCCACTGAGCCATACCAGCCAGGGCAAAAAAAAAAAAAAGACTTTGATCATTGCTCATTAACTGGACATGCTGTGACAGTTGCTTCCCAGCCGTGCATCAGTCTGAAATAATTCTTTTGGTTTTTCCTTTAAGTTTGATTATCTGAACAACCTTTCCAAAAACTTGCCTCCTTTTCCAAAGAAAGGTGAAGATGGAAACAAAACAGCTGTTCAAAACACGTATGATCTTCATCCAGGTACGGTGCTCACGTAGCTCTTACTCCTGTCAACATGCTTAAGTGAAGAAAACCCAAGAGTGGTCTCTTTGACCCTAACTAGTTCCTACCACCTTTTTCTCTTATTTGGCCTCAGTATCAGCTGCTGATACAAGGTACTATGACCTGTATGTTAGTCTTGTCTGACTTATAGGAGGAAAACAAGATGTAATTAAAATTTAGGTGTCACCCTGAATGCTTAAAATTTATCTAAAAGCATTCAGAAGACTTGGCTGATTTAAAAAGGGGGTAATGAAAGGTGGTTGGAGAACAGGTTATTCTCAAGGTCTCAAAGCATCACCTCAGATATACGTACCAACTGTAAGGAGGACAACGTACCTTTGCAGTGCAGAGAGATGGCAGCTTCCACTTCCTCCAAGCGGTCACACTTCTGCCGGCTGCAAGACAGCCTCGCAGTGAGTGCTTTCTCACACAATGCAATAGGAAGTAGATGAAGGAGAGTTCTTGCCAAAAATCCTTAACCTGAATTTAATCAACAGGAAGCCACCAGATGAATCTAGAAGGCAGACATTTTATAAGACAAGGGGCCTAGACTCTTCAGAAAGTCAGTATTATTAAAAGAAAAAGGTAGGGTGATTGTTCTATATTAAAAGAGGCTAAAGAGGTATGAAAACTGTGTGTAATGCCTGAACTTCAGATGCCAGGTTGAGAAAAAGCCACTGAAAAGATAGTGTGGAGCAGCTGTTACTTGTTTGGGGACTCAACACTAGGGGGCACTGTGGCGTCACTGAGAGTTTTCTCGGGTGTGGTGATGGGCTGTGGGTATGTGGGAGAATCTCCTCATTTCAAGAGATGCCTGTTGAAGAATTTAGGGATAAAATAACAGCTAGTGCTTCTCTCTGTACCCTGGGCAGTTAAAACTCCCAGGTAGGGGAATTTTCTCCTGCACAATACAAACCAGAAAGTCAGCTGCCTGGAATGAAAACAGCCCAAGAAAACATCTCAGTACAGTCTGCAAAGCCAAGATTAAGGCTGGAACAAGGGTCATAAATGCAGTGGGGGAGTTGGGGGTGAAGGCTGACGGTGCTTGTGCTGCCACCTGCACGCTGGACAGGCAGCTCCAGCACTCAGGCCCGCACCGCCCTTGGAGCGGGCGAGGCTTCTGCTCCCCTGCACCGTCCTGCAGGCGGCCGCCACCGTTCAGCCGGGGCTGGCCCAAAGTCCCAGGGGTGTTTATCTGAAATTGGTTTTATATTTCATTCATTTCTTAGAGGAGCACATTTTAATAAAGAATTAATGTTCACAGTAATGAATGCATGTAAGATTGGAAGCTTTTGTAGCCCTGACTGGTGTGGCTTTATTGGTTGGGTGTTGTCTTTGCAAAGGTAAAGGTCACCAGTTCGATTCCCCATCCAAGCACGTGCCTGGGTTACGGGTTCAGTCCCCAGTTGGGTGTGTGTATGGGAGGCAGCCAGTTGATGTTTTTCTCTCTCTCACATCAATGCTTCTCATGTTCTCACCCTCCCTTTCTCCCTCCATTCCCCTCTCTCTCCAAAAAAAAAGGAAGCTTTTAAAGAAATCACATTGCAGTTACTCTTGCCAGATAAAAGTAGGCCAAATTACTTGGTCTCTGCTTCATAACCCAACAAGAAAACCACTACTATGTAGTCATTAGGCCCAGAAAGAACCCGGCAGCTCCCGGGGGTGTGAGCCTTACGGATAATGTCCTGTTTGTTCATAACAAATGTTGTGTGACGGAGGGAGGATCATTGCCTCCTAATAGCTTTCCTCTGTTTAGTCTCCCCGGAGGGGAGAGGGGCTGGTGAGCACCTTGTTCATTGTAAAGAACACAGACATTAGTAGTCGTTGTATCCTTGTCCCGAATATCACTTTTATAATATTTGTTTTGGGTTTTCCAGATTCCCGGTCAAAAGCAGTTTTAGAGCAGGATTCCTCAGATACGCCTAGTCCTCCAAAACAGCAGAGTCCTGTGGCTTTCAAGGAGTCCACTAACCAGAAGCAGACTGAAAATTTAACAAGCTCCACTGCAGGTATGGCAGTCATTGGTTTTATCTCTTTGTTTCTCAGAACTGAGCATTACAACTTTTTGGAGTGTGGGCGATGGTACTGGGGGCCGAAGGTATGGTTGGTGGGCATAGGGGAATGTCCGAGTGCCGTGGATCCTGGAGCTATGACCGTGGGAAGGCTTCCCAGCACAATGCGGATGCTTGGCCAGGTGGGTTGATACACTGGGTTTGGGGAGACGAATGGGTCTGATTGCCAAGGAGTGGGTATGATGACAGAATATATAACCCATTCCAGGGAAACGGGAGAGCAAGGCCAGAAGCAGGTGACCGATGATTGAAGGTGACGGTCAGTTGATTAGAGGTCTCGATGAGGTCAAATAATTGCGTGTTAAATACGATAGAGTAATAAGCTAGAAGAACAGGAGGTGGTGGTCTGGAGAGGGAAGCTGGGGACCAGAGTGTGAAGGTGGTAAAACTGTGGGTGCTGGCAAGGTTGAAGGTGTGACCATGGGAGTTTCGGAGGTGGAGAAGAGGCCAAAACGAAGACACGGGATGATGGAGAATCAGAGAGGCAGGGTGGCGTCACCACGAGAGATGGAGCGGCAGGCCGTCCAAGGTGTCGGGGTCTCCAGTGAGTCAAGGGGGCGACCGAGAGTCAGTCAGTGACTACCGCTCAGGGGCGTCGTAGGTGGTACAGTCTGACGGCACGAGCTTCAGAGGAATGGGAGGCTTGGAGGAGGAGAAACAGTTTGAAACGAGGACGCCTGCTGCACCCCCAGGCTTAGGACGCAGCAGTGCGACTCCGCCACAAGGTGAGTGAATTTTGGTATAAACAGCGGTGTTTAAAGAAGCCATTGTAGGAAGAGATTAACACAAACCATGGGGAAAGCTTTCCAGGAGACATGGTCTTGAAGAATTAGTAGGATTTCATAGATTTTAAGACTTAAGACTGGATCCCCTAAGACAACCTCCATTTTACTTGAGGAAGCTGAAACCTAGAGAGAGCCAAGTGGATCTAAAGTCATACCGCAAATCTGGGATGGAGCCAGGGCTAGAAAATGAGTTTTTCGACTCCTAATTCTCTACATTGTATTACACTGCCTTCCAGAGGTAGGGAAGAGAAAAGGTGTTTTATATGAAAAAAAAAAGGAAGTGTTGGAAAGCCTGGAGGTGGGAGTGGTGGGAGAGAGCAGGACAGCAGCATACGCAGGTCGAAGGGTTCTTCGTGGTGCGAGATGGCGCTGGGGAAACGCAGGGGAGTCAGCCGGAGGAGGTTTGGGTCTGTAGAATAAAAGTGTGCTTGTGGGTGCGTGTGGGCTAACGCTGCGTAAATGCTGCAGTGGGCTAAAGCATCCTGTCCAGGGGCTGCGGGCCGACCCGCACAGCCTCTGCCCCAGACTGTGGACTGGGGGAGCTGGGGGCGGCCGCGAGGCCCCAAGTCTGACTGTGCTCTGTCTCCTCCCACCTCCACACGGGCTCCGGGACACGAGATTGACAGCTTGACAAGGCAGCCGTGAGAAATCAGCAGATGCTGCAAGTGGTACAAGCCAGGGCACCTTTTCTCCAGAGAGGCAGTTGTTAAAATTCTACCCGCACGCCACAGGCTGCGGGTAGAGTTTGGGTGCATTCTGGGGCCCACAGTAAGCAGGAGCCAGCACCTGGGCCAGCCATTCTCAGCACAGAGGGCAGCGCTCCGGAGGCGAGGGGAGTGGTGGGGGGCAGGGGAGTCCGAGGGGAGCAGGTCCGCAGCTCACAGCCTCTGCTGGGCACCGCTGCCTCCACACCCGGGCCCTGGTCCCAGCTCAAAGTCAATGGGGCGGAGAAATACACCCCACCTACAGGGAAGGCCGGCTCAGAAAGAAAGTAAATAAAGCCATACCCTGAGAGGAAGTGAAAGAGTTACTGTCAATAAATGCTACAGTCTGTGTCGGCACTGACCCAGGGAACCCTTACAGGGACTTCAGGTGGATGGGCTCCAGCAGTAATTCTCAGATGCTACCACCAGGGGGAGCGTCCCAGCTGTTCAGATAGCCACTGAATCAGCCGGTGACCAGCCCCTGCTCCAAGGCCCTACAGTCCTGCCGCCTTCAACCCCCAATTCCTGGTGAAACCCCGGGTGGTGCCTGTGGGATAACAACCCGTCTGCGCTGTGGGGGGCAGTACAGCGCCGAGCTTCACTGAGAGCGGAGGCGCTACCTGGCTCCTGGTAGAAGAGCTGTGGAACTTCGGGCCCCCTGTTCCACCCCTCCACCCTTCCCGGTCCTCTGCTGTAACGGGGAAGTAATGACATAAATACCCACCACAGGGCTGTGAAGATTGAGTCGGTTAGTGTATGTAAAATGCTCAGAGCAGTGCCTGGCACGTGATTCATTCTATATCGGTATTTACTATTAATGATAATAGTATGAGCAGTTAATCAGCGCCATTGGACTGGTGAAAACGGGACGCAGCAGGAAAAGGGGAAGACCAAGTGTGAAATGGACGGACTCCGTCACAGGGTCCGAGGGCCCGGGTCTGCGGGGGCAGAGCAGGCTGCTGAGGGCGGGACACTGGGCGTCCCACAGTCACAGGGTCCCCAGGAGCCGACCCCGCAGCACATACACACGCACAGTGCAGACTGGCAAAACGCATTCACATAAAACAGCCACACACGTGGTAAGACCACAAACAGAAAGATGCATCAGGCCGTTAGAATGGTTGCCCGTGTGACCGAAGGGAGCAGACACATTAAACCACTGACCACTGAGCACCGTCCCCAAGATTCTGACCTGCTCTGGTCTGAAACAGGGCTTGTGTGGCATGTGGCCTGGGGATCCCTGCTTTCCAGAATTAGCCCAGGAGACTGTGGTGCACAGGTGGACTGGGGACACACCAGGTGGCTGGGTAGGACAAACTCACTCCTCCTGCAGAACACTTCAGGGACCAGAGGTGTGTGGGGTTTTCCCACACTAAACAATTCTGTGACACCAGCGAGATGTCCGACAATCCACTCAAGTCTGACACTAACCAGAGTTCGCACGAACCCTGCAGGTCACGGGCTCGCTCTCCCAAGGCTGTCCCTTCCCTTCAGATGCCAATCACAAGTCCAGGTTGTCACCTGTGCTTTTGCGCCACCAGCTATAAATCGGAGCTCCCATCCCCCTTCAGGAGTTTGATAATCTGCTAGAACAGCTTACAGAACTGATACATTATAGTATAGGAGGGGATATGACAACGGGCACAGATGAAGAGGTACGTAGGGCGAGGGGTCTGGAAGCGTCTGGCACGGGAGCTTCTGTCCCCATGGAGTTGAGTGTCCTCCCTCTCAGCACACAGCCGTGTCCACCAACCCAGGAGTTCTCCGAACCCTGCACGGTAGGGATTCTATGGAGGCTTCATTACACAAGCACGATCCACCACTAGCTCAGTCTCCACCTCCTCTTCCCTTCCCAGAGGATGGGGTGGGGCTGAAAGGTCCAAGCTTCTAGTCATGGCTTGGTCTTCTGGGGGCTGGCCGCATCCCGAAGCCACCCAGGAGCCCACCCAGAGTCACCTCATTAGATCAAAAGACAGTCCTGTCACCCAGAAAACCCCGCGGGATTGAGGACTGCTGTGTCAGGAGCCTGGGCCAGAGAACGAATACTGGAACAAAAGATGCTTCTAGGCTCTTGTCACCTAGGAAATTACAAGGGTTGTTAGGAGCTCTGCCCCAGGAGCCAGGGGCAGAGACCAATATATATGTTTTCTACCATCTCACTCTAGTAAAAGGAATGTCTTCCTTGTGGAATCTGAGACACTTGGGTGCACATTCCAGCCCTGACACCACTTTCAGTGTCGGGGAGAAGTTACTTAACTCTAGAGTTACACTAGTCAGGTCCCCTCAGCCGGTAACTGAAAGACCTGAAACACAGACTCATTGAACAACATCAAAGAGGGGGGACTTACTGGAACTCAAATCCAAACCCCAGAAAAGTGGAGCTGGTGCTGGGCCAGGATGCCTGGGTACACCAGCTCCGCAGGATTGAGTTGGCATCTGGCCACACCTGGTCTCTGGGCGTCTCCCTGCCTCCATCCTCCCCTACCCCTGCTGGTCCCTGAGTGGTTTTATCCTCTCCTAAAGGGACAGGCTCTGTCCGTGACTGTAGAGGTCCAGGATTCTGATTTCTCCAGATCTGTAACCCGGTGGGCAAGGTGGGCCTATCCCTGTCAGCTTCAGTGGGAATATTCCAGTGAAAGGCCTGCGTTGGCTTTGCCTGGCTCTTGTCCCACTGTCCTGGCCGGGCCAGGGATGTCGTGGCTGCAGGAATGCATGTGGTAGGGGCGGGGCTGGAGGGGGCGGGCGATGGGGAGACTGCTGAGCACACAAAGGTGGTGATTACATAACCCTCCACTCCGAGGGTTTCATGAGAACCAAGTGAGACGCCGTATGTAAAATATACCTGTGGTGCTCGCCTGCAGGTGGTGGACACTCAAATACTGGCCCCTCCCCTTTCCTGTCTTGATGACTCTTAAATGCAAGAGTGGACGTTTAGCTATGACGGTCTAAAATACAATTCCTGTCCCGACCTCCTGGATATTTGGGGAAGTGTGCCCAGCTGCAGCTGTGCGGTTATCTGCCCTTGCTGACTCCTCACCAAGTTTAGTGATCTGAGCATTTGATGCTCTGGCTTAATTCACCTGTAATTACAGGCGCTTTTTAGAACTACAAACATAGTAGTTGAACCAAAGAAATTCTCGGGATTGTGCCCTCATTAGTTTTAAGGCTGGTGTGGCTTAGTGGACCGAGCACTGGCCTGTGTGTGAACCAAAGCATCATCGGTTTGATTCCCAGTCAGGGCACATGCCTGGGTTGTGGGCCAGGTCCCCAGCAGGGGGTATGCAAGAGGCAATCACACATTGATGTTTTTCTCCCTCTCTTTCTCCTTTCCTTCCTTTCTCTAAAAATAAATAAATAAAGTCTTTAAAAAAAACACCTTACAGGACAAATGTTTTCTTGTGCTGTACCTTGTTAATTTAATGGCAAGGACCCTGAAGATCTCAATGTAAGTTCAGTTCATCGAAGGCAAGTCACTCAGCTTCACAGACTCTGGTTTTTCTCATTTATTTAGAAAAGGCGATGCTAATAGCATCTGCCCTGCCATCTCAGAGAGCTGCTGTGAGGACCAACGTTAGGTAAAGTCTCTTCGTAAAATGTCAAGATACAACACTGGGGTTAATGCAGAAGCCTTTGTTCTTTTGAATAAGCTCTCTAAAAAGGAGAGAAGAAAAGTTTCCCGAGTTACTGTATGTTCTTCATACTCCGGGGTGACCTCGGAAGTTCAGAACGAAGCCCCGCGTGGTAACCCCGGCTTCCTCCCTGACAGACCCAGAGCCGAGCGTGCCCGTGAAAGTCCCCACCCAGGCGCTGCTGCAGGACGTGGCGGGACAGGCGAGGAAGGAGAGAGTGAGGCTGCCTCACTACCTGCTGAGCTCCAAGCCCAAGTCCATACCTCTCCCGAAGGTAAACCCGACGTGGGGGCGAGCTCCCCACAGCCGGGCAGCCTTCCCAGTGACCTTGGCCCGCTGAGCGCGTGGCGGCCACACTCTGGGCTGCTGGGTGCACCGCCTCACCACGAGGGCCTCAGGCCACAGGGAGACACACTGAAGGTTGCTTTGCAGGAGCTGGCTCCTACGGGCTCCCGGAGGGACGGGACTTCAGGAGCCAGCTGGGAGGCCCCTGGGAGCTTGAAATCAGCCGCTCGGCATGCTAACCCCACAGAAACCGACACATGCTGTCAGTCCAGGCTCTCTTCGGCGAGCCGGTTTTGCCGACACAGCACCAGCTAAGTTGTCGTTGGCCACCCTCCTCGTGTCTGCACACATGTTCCGTTTGCTGCTTGCCTCACCTTGGCCCAAGCCCCCTGAACTTCAGCTGCGGTGGGTTTCCCGTTGTTTCATTCTAGCTCTTTAAAAACATCCGGCTCCTTCCTTCCTCGGAGCCTCTGAGATTAAGATTCCAGCCCGCTCTGCTGGGAAGCCTTCCTCGGGCCCCCAGGCGAGCTTCGGTGTCATCCTTCGACACTCTCGGGGCACCCCGTGCTCCTTGTCCTCACGGAATCTTCTGCAGCGAGCGTGACTGACATGTACAGGGCTGCTTCCCAAACTCGGATGTGCCCGTGAATCTTGTTAAAATGCAGATACCGACCAGGTCTGGTGTGGGGGCCTGGATTCTGCAGCTGGGACAAGCTCCCAGGTGAGGGGAGTGCCGCGTGCCCGGGGCATACCAAGGGCACGGGGCTGTGGCTCTCAGATTGGGGTCACCTGACCCAGCAGCACTGGCCACACGTGAGACCTTGTTACAAATGCAGATCCATGGGCCCCCTCCCAGATTCCCTGACTGAGAAACTCTGGGCCTGGAGTCAGCTGGTGGGTCTCAGAGACGCTCCAGGTGGTTCTGACGGGAGCTGAGGCTTCTTCACAGTCACTGGCACAGAGGAAAGAGCACGAACTTCAGACTCCGGCACCCTTGACCGAAACTCCACTCTGCCCCTTATCACCTGAGCGAATGATCTGGATTTCAGTTCTCTGTAAACCTGAGCTGCGGTAGCCTCAGAATGAAGGCCGAAATACTGCCTTACCATGGTGTGGCGAGGGTTACAGGAGACTGTAAATGATCATTTTCTCCCCCTAGACAAGCGGTTATTTTTTTCTGGAGACAGAGCGTTTTTCTCATCTTGGGAACGCAAACTAGGACCATTTTATTTTGTCACTGCTTTTTCCTTCACACACAGGTGCAGGATTCTGTTGGCGGAAGAGTGAAAACCTCCTCCGTCGCAGCTGCTGCCATTAACAACGCAAACGCCTCCCCTTTCGGCTTCCATCTCCTCCCTCCGTCCGTGAAGTTCGGGGTGCTGGAAGAAGGGCACACCTACGAAGCCATCGTCAAGCTCAAGAACGTGGGCGTGGACTTCTGCAGGTGAGGCCGAGGCTCCCAGCATCTGTCCCGGTCCCCTCCTCCCACTCCGTGACCTGTCTGATGGCCCCTCAGTGAAGGCTTTCGAACTGAGTTGCAGTTATACTCCAACTCTCAGATTTTCACATCATTCATTCACTCATTTACTTGCTAATTCTTCCATTCATTCATTCATCCGTTCTTCAACACATCAATATTTATCAAGCCTCAACTATTAGGAGGCACTGTTTTGCCCTCCCTCCCATTAGTCATCATTCACACTGCGGTTGAAGCAACTTCAGGCCCGATTTGCTCTAGCCAAAGAGAAAAAAAGTACAAGTGTTACAATAATTAACACATAAAAGGTAAAAAGTCTGCTTCTCAAGTCCTCCACCAACTATGATATCAGCTGACAGGTTTTTTACTTTATGAGCTATGAATGATTTAAATTACATTATTTCTGCATAATTGAAGCCAAAAGAAAAAAAGTTAACCTGAATCATTAGGTTCATCTCATCTCGGAAGGTCAGACTTGGAATTCATAACAAATTTCTTAACTCGCCATCTGCACTCCCAGTTGAAAATACACTGTACCTGGCATTCGGTGACCAAGAAAAGAGTCCTTCAAGTCCAGATCGAGACCAATAGACGTTTAAAGCTCATAGAGACTATATTGCAAAGGAACAAACCGAGTAACTTGTTTTAAGGTCCGGTGGGGAAGAGGGCAGGGCTGGCCTCAGGCCGAGGGGCCATCCCCTGCAGGTACCCGCTGGCCACACACTGTCCCGCCAGCCGTGTGTGGGAGCCGGTCCTTCCCGGGCTCCTGCACCGTGTGTCCATGCTACACTGTCTCCTCTGTCCCGTTTCCACTCCCACTAAACTTCACCTGGGGGGTTTGCCCCGTAAACACGGAATAAACGTTTATTTCGGCTGCAGAGTTACTCTCAGTGGGAGTGGCTGGCCCTCTAAGAAGGGCTGTGATTCTGGACTCGGGTTTGGAAAGACATGGGGTAAAGCCACAGGAGCATCGACTCCAGACGATCAGTGTCCCGTTTCAGCTGAGGCAAATCCCCACTTCAGGAATTGTACGGCTTCCCCGGACACAGCCTGATGAGGGAGGGCCCCGGGCCGCCAGATCGGACACCAGGGTTTTAGGTTGTTGGCAGCAAGTGGGTGGGGGGAAATAGGGAGTCACCCTCGAGCTCACAAAACCCATCCGTGCGGATCCCGCCCGTCCAGTATGGAACTCCAGCTTTGGAGTTTCGGTCCTCAGCCTAAGTCAGCCGCTGTGGGGCAGGCAGCAGAGCCGATGGTTGCAGGTGCGGGCTTGGGATCGATGTCGAGGTGGGCTTTCCCCGGCATTTTCATTTACTCCAGCTCTTCAGCCTTCAGGCAGAACCCACAAACCACAAGGCGGGAAAGCAACTGATAGGCAGTATGTGTGAGCATGGCGCTGTTCAAGTTCTCCCGCTCGCCTGTTGCTCTGCCCCCCAAACGTACAAGCCCCACACCCGCCAGACACCCATAACCTGTGGCCGGGGGCTCGGCCACATCCATAACACGGGGTGGAGCTCGGCGTGCGGTCTGGGGAGGTGGTTGTGAAATGGGCTCGGAGCCTTCTCCACGTTGGAGGTGAGGTGGTTTTTCTCACGATATGGACCCCTCCCAACCCGACCCCGCTCCCGTGGCAGGAACATTAGCACCTTCCTGATTGTACAGTATCCCAGTTCATTCACTGTTCGTGGTTTTCATTGTGGCATAAATCGACTCCTGGTTTTGTTTTGTTTTTTTGCCTGGTAGGTTTAGGGTGAAGCAGCCCCCACCCAGCACAGGACTGAAAGTGACCTACAAACCTGGACCTGTAAGTCCTGTGTGTTACCTGCCGTGCGTGTCTGTGTGCCCATGGGGATCTGTGTGCGTTTACATGGAAGGGGTTCCACCCATTCAGTTTAAACCGCGTAAAAGCCTCATTTCTCTGCTATCATAAGCAAAAGCCTCCCGGCATCGATGCTGCTTCATGGAACAACCATGAGACAGGTCCTGTGTGTGAACAAAGTTGACCTTCCAGCGATGGGAACGTTCCCGGAGCTCACCGCACTGGTCCCGACACCGCAGTCATGTGCGGCTGCAGCAAAAGTGCCTTTGTGATCATTAAATACGATTTCACAGGCGCTTGGGAAGCTGATTGCCTAGAGCTACCCTGTAACAAATCCTTCTGCACAGTGAAAACTCCTTCGGAAAAATAAACACTCGATTCTGTATAGTTTTATGTAAACTGGATTTGTTCTCTTGGTATTTGCCAGAGAATGTAATAATATTAATAAATATATTTAATATACTAAGAAATAGTATATTAAATTCATCAGCTGCCTCATTTCTCTGAAAGCTCTCTGAAAACACAAATGTTAAAATGTCGATCTTTTCTGACTTTGATTCCTTCCAGAGAATGGGATGTTTGGTATGCAGTCTGTAAATTATGATTTCAGAAATACAGTGTGACGTAAACAAAGGTTTGTCTCAAACTGTAACGAAATCCCATTTGTAAAGCCCAACATTCCATTCCTGGTCAGCGCTCCATCCCGCTGCTTTGCTGCTTTCCCGCTCCTTTCATTCCGGGGCACACGCTCCCAGTGCCGCCCTCATACCACTGGGCGTGCTGGCTGCCGGGCCGAGACGAGTGTGTAAGACAGGAGAGAGCACACATAGCCCAGCACGAAGCGGGCACTCCAAGGGCGTGAGGGAGGATGTCCGGTAGCCCCGGGAACCATCCGCACGGTGGGGATTGCGCGAGCTCCCGGGGTGCAGAGCAAGGAGCAAGGGCACCCAGGCCCACATGACCAGCACGGAGTTCCAGGCTGTTACCTGCAGGCACTGAGGGACTGGCTTGGTTTAGCCCAGTCACTGGGCTTCTCGTCATGACTGCGCCACCCAGTGGCTCAGTGATGCTGCTTAACTAATCCCATGCGCTGTGTCTTCCTGGGCCCTGAGAGGAGGAGCTCAGACAGTATCATTCGTAGCCCTCTTCCAGCTCTGACACAGTAGTAAATAGCAGGCTGCAGTTCCAAACAGAAATACACTTAGAGATCAGATCCCCTCATTCTATGAGTCCCCCTCCGCAGTGATTTATCATTGTGCTGTCGAGATTTCAGAACCCTCACAACATAAAGCAAAAACAAGAGTCAAAGCAAGCACTTCTTCCACTGTGCTGGGAAGTCAGCGCATCTTTTTCACTTAAAGTAGGGATTATGCCAAAGGCCAAAGTGACTGTTGCATCGGCCTCGTGGGTGCCAAAAACCCAGTGTGTATGCTTTGAAGTTCATTCTGTATTTAGGTGGTTCTTTTCTTTTTGATGGTAGGTTTTGGCTGCGGCAAAAAAGTATAACTTATAGACTTTTCCATATGTAAATCTAGCCACTGTTCAGCATGGCTTGTTGGCACTGAACGAAACTGCTCGAGGCCCGGGCAACCCGCGTGGCGGCAGCACCCCAGCCCCTGGCGCGGAGAGCCACAGCCGGCTGTGGGCTGCTGGGCTCTGACCACAGGGCCCCGGTCTCAGCAACGGGGCCCCTCCGGGATGCGCGCCTTTGCAGGCGCATCATGGAAAAAACCAAAACGTTTTCAGTTCTCCTATTTTTAAAATTAGATGGAAGAAAAAATTATTTGTATCTAATTGCTTTCCATGTGGTAGTTTCTGACTTACTTTCCAGATCTCTGTTCTCAAGTCTGATTTTCAACCCACTCCCCAGAGCTTCGAAACACAAACGGCTAACTCTGATTCCTGGCGTAGTGTTCTTTCCAAGGAACAAGGCGAGAAGCCCATCCCTTGCTGTTTCTTTTTCATTATGTATCAGCTTTCTTTGTTGGTACAAACGTCTTCCCTGTAGCTCTCAGACCTAAGCAGTTCGGCATTTCATTCTGTCTCCCTCTGCTGGCTTTGTCCCGTCACAGGTGCTACATGAGGAACACTAGAGACCCAAGGCAGGGCACGGCGCAGGTGTAGGATTCACTGTCTCTCAAATTTATATTTGTCTTAGACTAACTGTATCTTTATCTGCAAGGAAGCCAGGAGTGGAAACTCACTACTGACATTCAGGACCTAGCACAACTACGGACACTGTGGAAGTCTGCCTTCGGCATCACCTCCAGAGCCCTGGCACTTAGGTTCCTTACACCTCTTCCTAAACAGCACCTGGTTTTCCCTCTCAACACTTATCCTGGGCCGTTTGCTCAACGGAACTCGGCCTCCCTAATGTACACAGTAGTTCTTCCAAACGCTATAACAGCGATCATCCACTCGTGGCAAGTGTATGGGTGAGGAGACTGGATTAGAGTGTCGCTAACTCGCCCAACTGGGCGTGAAAACCGCTCGACCTCGGGTGTGCCTGATCCTCAAGCTGCGCTGTGCCCCGCAGGTGGCGGCGGGCCTGCAGGTGGACCTGAAAGTGGAGCTGTACGCCATGGCGCTGGGTGAGGACGGCGCCAAGGGGTCAACGCGCATCTCGCACAACATTGAGATCATGACCGAGCATGACGTCCTGCTCTTACCCGTGGAAGCGAATATCCTTTCAAGTTCAGCCTGCATGGTCACACGTAGTGCGAAAAGTGCACGTGAACTGGGGGAACACGGAAGTAAGATGCTATTTTCTAACCCCTCACACCCTCACTCTGCAGCTTCGTTTTTAAAAATGTGGTCTTCATTCATCTCTGTCAGCACATAGCCAAGTGCCTGACACACGGTGCCTGCGCAGTGCCTGCAAGTTGAGTTAATGCCAATGGCAGTGCTGTCCACGGGCTATCCAGTAATGGGAATTTTTAGAGCATGTCTTTGTCATCAAGAAAACTTAGTCTTGTTGAGGGACAGCAGATACTTTATTATAGAGGCGGATGGACAGTCACTGCATTACGCACATACCTCAAACTGGTGTTCCGCATGTAGCTCTCATGCAGATACCGAGTACCTGTTATATGCAGGGCACCATGGGAAATATTTTGTCATATATAAAAATGAAAATTGGACTCTACCTGAAAACTTGTGTCACCTAGGAGCAGAAGTCTCCACATGTGACTCCCACAGTATTTCGTACTCCAATATAACATGAATTGTGCACTGCAATACTCTGTGTTATGTGTCTATCTGACTTTTGAGTCTTACAGAATATAAAACTTGATGGAAGGAGACTTAAACTAGAAAGAATAAACCCACAGCAATAGGAAAGCGCCAGGTGTTTGGGTGGGTCACGGGGGACTTCAATGTGTTCGGAGTTTAGGGAATATTAGGAAATAACAGTGGGGGAGTTGGCTGGAATCAGTGTGTAGATTTTGAATTCTTGGTGAAACTTTACTAAATAAGCAACAGTGAATCATTGAAGATCTGATATGGTGGGGACAGAATCCCCATGTCTTTTTTTTTTTAAGATTTTATTTATTCATTTTTAGAGAGGGAAAGGAGAAAGAAACATCAATGTGTGGTTGCTGGGGGTCATGGCCTGCAACCCAGGTATGTGCCCTGACTGGGAATCGAACCTGCGACACTTTGGGTTGCAGCCTGCACTCAATCCACTGAGCTACGCCAGCCAGGGGCAGAATCCCCATGTCTTGATAGAGATGAGTCTAGCGTTACCGTGCGGGATGTGTTGAAGAGGAGGAGTGACTGAGCAGGCGAAGGACCACTGGAAGTCCACGTCAACAGGCCAAGCGCAAGCACAAGAACTGCAGCGTGGCGACAGCAGCCATGGAAGAGGGACATGGATGAGACACGGGGCGGGGGGAACTGTAAAATTTGAAGTGGAACCCATCGATAGCAAAAGAGGACATGAGGCCAACTCCAAGGTTGTGGGCTCAGGTAATGAACTGTGGATATGCAGGACTGGGTCTCAGAGGGAGTCAGAGCTGGAGACGGAATTTTAAGTATTATCTATAAAGAGGCGATGAATGAAGATACGGGAAAGGAACAGAAATTTGGGGTCTGTCCAGGGAGCAGCAGAAAGAAGTGGAGGCAATGCAGACAGAACAAGCAATTAGAAAATGATGAAATATCTCAGAAGACAGAATTTCAAGGAAAAGGTGGATAGCTGACAGATGCCATAGCAATGTCAAAGAGAACTCGGATCTAAACAGGACTGCAAGGTTTAACACTAAAGTGCAAAAGATAAAGAATGAATGGGGGTTCCCTGGCCATGTAGCTCAGCTGATTAGAGCGCCACCCCAATACTCCAAGGTCGCAGGTTCAATCCCTGGTCAGGGCACATACAAAACAATCAATGAATTCCTAAATAAGTGGAACAACAAATCGATGTTTTTCTCTCCTTTCCTCTCTGAAAATCAATAAAGAATATATGTTAAGAAAAAGATGACTAGGTGTTAAAAAGGCAGAAATGCTGAGTGGGGATAAGAAAAACTATTACAAAAGGGAAGAGCAATAGAACATGGTACCTCAGAGCAACAGGTTTTGAGTCTGGTGTAGACTTGTCTGTAGGCTGAAGAGAATGGACCAGAGGACGGGTGTTGAGATTGTGAATGAGAGGAAGTAACACCAGCAACAGCCGCAAGACGGCAAGAGAACGACCAGGACCAGAGCTGAAGCGTTGCCCTGGGCAGGGAGAGGGGAGAGTGGGGGCCCACCATTCGGAGGTGAAGGAAACAGTCGGGGAGCTGGTGTCAGATGACCTTCATTTCAGTAGAAAGGGAGTTGAATTCCTTTGTTCACTTACTCTTTCAAAGGTAACGCTAGTAAGGTGTCTAATGAGCCACACACTGTTCGGGGCCCTGGACAGGGAACAACCAAGACAAAAGTCCCTGGCCTTACGCAGCTTACATTCCAGCGCGAGGACGGACGATCCACATGAAGTCAACGTGGACCATACTGGTGCTGAGGGCAATGCAGCAAATGCAGAGGAGGGAAGGGAGGGTGTGGGGAGTGTTCAGGTTTGCAGTTTGCGGTGGAGTGGTCAGGAAAGGCCTCACCGGGAATGCGGGGAGGGGGTGGGGGGAGTGTGTGCATGCGCATGCACACTGGGGAAGGGGTTGCTCTTCAGTGACTAAAGCAAACTAACGCAGGAGCCCTCTGGAAATTAAATCGGGTCCTCACATCCTCTTCACACAGGTCAGTAGGTGCTGATCTAGCATGTCGGAATCCCTGCTGCTGATCACAGCCACCAGGTCATTCAGCATTTGTGCTAGTAAAATCCCTATTTCCATGCTTATAGATGAAAGACCACCTGTCAGGCGCAGATAGATGGGAAGAGTTTTATTACATCTTTTATCCACTTTCAGTGTCAATGATAGTTCATAGCCCCTCTGCACCCCAAACCATGAAATCTGTATGTTGACGTGGTTTTGGGGCCTGGGCACAGCAACTGAGGGCTCCTCTAGAAAGGCAGAGAAATGGGCACCAAAGGGACAGAAATAGTTTCAGGAGATCGATATCCACCCTCCATCCCTGAAGCCCGAGCACACAGAACCTGCGTTAGACAGGAAAGCACCTAACATTGAGCTGATGATGCTGGAAGAGGGGGTCGACTTCTGAAACGTTACAAGTTTGTGTAGACAAATCCTGTGGTCACGAACATCAGTCCTTAACCAGTCCTGTACCAGTCTTAACAAGCAGCAATTACCGTAAGAGACTGAAAGACCTTCCTGAGGGAAAGGAAACTCCCGTGGCCCAGAGGATGCCTGCGGTTCCCTCCCCTGCGCTTGGGCTCTTCATGTCCCGGAAGGTCCCTCCTCAGTAGGCCCGGTGAGTACGAAACCATTTCCAACCACTCGCACCCGAGGCCTCAGGCCGTGTATCTGTTCTCTCCTTCTAGCCAGAACCAATCAGCCACTGAGCCTGGTGGAGTGAAAATGCTGGTTTTTAACAACTACAATAGCTGCTCCTCTATATATATACAGCTAATCCTCGTATTATCTGTAAGATAGATACTATGTTTTCCACTTCACAAATAAGGAAACAGAGGCTTAGAGAGTCTGAAGTAGAAGTGAAAATCTAACCTACTTCAATGCGGTTCTGAAGTTCATTCTTTTAAGCGCTGTTTTCAGTGCGGAGCTGACTTTCCGAAAAGCAGGCGCACGAGTGCGGACGGCGGTGGGCCCCGTGAGCCGGTGGTTCTCCAGCGCTCTGGACACAGGATTCCTCACCCCTTCCTACAGTTACTACGGGTCCCGAAGAGCTTTTGTTCTGTCCTATCTTGGCCAAATTTTTAATACTGGGGAAAAAAATCAAAGTGTATGTAAAACCAGTAACATACAGATTTTAAGTGAAAGATAAAAATCCATGGTTTTGCAAATGTCTTTTCTGCTCTGTATTCCACCTGCCACCCCATCCCACGGCCCCCAGGAAGCACCGCTGTGCAGCGTGTGCTCATGAGACAGGCAGGCACACTGGGGCGGCTTCCTTGTACTGCCTGCCCTGGACTGAGTGCCACTCGATTTCTCCGGGATGAGACACGACATGACATTGGCCCTGAGAAACAGCTTCATACCAGGTGTACCGAGTACTTGACCTCCAGCCAGGAAGTCTCCAAATTGTTAAGCATATCTTCTTTACAAGGACTCACATACACACACTTTCTTTTTCTCTCTTTCTCTCTCACGAAGCTTGGATGTAATACTTCTAATAAACTCTTGATGAGGCTTGTTTATGGCAGTCCAGTAGGTAACATCATGTTATGTCCAAGAGACATTACTCATTAAATGGTTTCTGTACTAAGCGTTGAACAGCCAATGGCAGGCTACTAAGCCAGGAAATGCTGCCTTAATGACCAAAAATCTGCTTGGCTTTCAATTTACTTTGTAACTTGCTGGTCAACCTCAAACCTTTTAGGGTTTCAGAGTTCGAGGATTTTGACGAAAAGCTGTAGCTGAGTTTACTTACTACACACACCATTTCCGCCTGTCACGGGCTCTCCTTATCTTCGGTCGGTGCAGCACCTAGCAGACAGACACACCGCACGGCCTGGCGCTGCCCATCTGGAACGGGGGCAGAGCTGTGGGGGCAGCACTCGGAAGCACAGATACACCCAGGCCTCCTGGAACCTGTTCCAGTTTGGGGACCATCAAAGCATTCATGGGAACGCTGCAATTCTTCATGTTCCGATGAACAGCTCCAAGCAGCAAGCGTGAGTGACACCAATTCAGCCTGTTTGCTCAGGAATTAGGGTAACTTCAAGGACTGAGAACCAAAGGCCTCTCTCTGGTGGCAGGAACAGCCGCCTAAAGAAAAGGCTGGCTCTTCTGACTGGAAAGCACCTAGAATCCACGACACTGCCCCGTGTCTCACCTTCTCCCGGTCAGGCCTTGGGAACTCTGCGCCAGGTTCTCTTTCCTCTTACACTGCCCCCCAATACCACCACCACCACCACGCGCCTCAACTCACCCGAGCGACCGTGTTGTGCTTAGGAACAAAACAGACTCACAGCGTGGGCCAGCGAGCCAGCCCCAGGGACTGCAGCTCTGGGACCGGGGGACATGGCAGCCCGACCACCCAGCAACGCAGATGGAAAGGACAAGGTCACAGAAGGGCACGGACTACTGACACTGACCCAGGAAGGTGCAGAAGATCTGAACAGAGCTGGAACAAGGAGGTTCAACTAGAGACTTGAAAACGTCCCACAAAGAAAAGCTCAGGCCTGAAGGTACATCTCAGTTTCTCCTCAAACACGCCCAGCTCCCTGGACGGCTGCCGCCTGGCACTCACCGGGTACATCGTGCATCCATCACCCAGAAGCTCAGCAAGGTGTCTCAGCTCGACTCCACTAGCATTAGAAACAACTCTTTATTGAGAGGAGCATAAACAATTAGCCAGTAGGATATTTCATATACAAGTGTAACAACCTGCAAGAGGTCAAGTTTAAGGAGGCTGCTCTAGTCCACTTTATGGCCCTTTTCAGCTCTCCAAGTCCATGGCTGCACTTCTGGGCAGAGGACGTTCACCTGTGCACCTGTCTCAGTAGAACACAGAGGAACAACTCAACCAACAAATCTTCTGCATAAATAAGAAACTTTTGAAATGGTATTTTAACTACTGAAACACACGCCTAGTTAAAAAAGAATTCTTTGTTCCCTGCTAGAATACACCAGAAACAACTCTTGAAAGGCTCAAGCTTCAAGGGCACAGAAGAAATTTTAAACTAATCAGGGGTCAAGTCCAAGAAACGGAGGCTGCAGGCCCACGCTAGAATTCCCCGAGGGAAAGTGGGGCCCGTGTGCCGGACCTTTGGCTGCACAGTGAGCTGCTGCCTGGTCCCTTTTATGCTGACGCAGATTCCACTGCTGCTTAGTCTGGAAGTCCTGATAAAGAAAAGCAGGAGAAGGCTCCACATTTCAGTTCTACGTCAGTGTTAAAATTAGCTTCTCCCTCTTTTTCCTCTTCCTCTTCTTCTCTTCCAAGTGGCTGGTAGCATCAGCAAAAAACATCACTTCACTTTTTGCCTCGCATTCCCTCTTGAGATGCTCCAGACCCGCCATGTTGAAGCCAATAACATCCTGGGGGGAGTACAGGGAAGGTGAAACACACTTCTCTCACTTCTGCTCAGTGTCCCAGCACATGTGAGTCGGGGCCAAGGCTCCAGGTGCTGTCCTCACCCCCCAGCCCCCAGGCCCGGCTGTTTTCCTGTTCCCACCAGCCCCAGTGCCAACCTCATCTCCAGTAAGATTACGTCTGGTCGATGCCACCCAAGGCAGGGCATAGCACACCTCTGAGTCACACACACACTGGCATTTTCCCCTCGCTGTTGTATCTCCACAAACGTACTTACCCGGACTTGGCTGACTTTTGAAATAGTTGTTTCCTTTAGTTTTTCAATCACTGGCACAAGCATTTGGTTGCTGGTGATCTGCCCAAAGTGAATCCTTAGAGAAAAATAAAACAGCCATGTTACGAAGAGGAGTAGTGGAGAATGAGGGTAAGAGGCTCCACTGATCCTTTCTGGAAACACTAAATAGACAAAATATCAAAATTAAAAAAAAAAAAAAGATTTATTTACCATACCATGGGGGTTAGAAAAGCGTCTAAAAAAAAAAAAAAAGCTAAAGAAATTTTTTCCCTACTGTTCAGTGTCATCTGATGACATTTAAAAAAATACTGCCCTGGACCTTCTCACACGTTCAAACACTGACCTAGAGCCTGAGACGCCCCTGATGCCCTTGATGCTTTTAACCTCCATGTTCACCCTTGCCTTCGCCGGGGCCATGTCAGACGTGCCTGTGAGGTGGTGCCCACCCACAGCCCTCGGATGCGCTGGGGGTCGTGGAGTTCCTCTCAGGATTAGTAACCCTGACCCAGCAGCACACACGGCACAGCAGTAAGAAATCATGAGTAATACTGCCGAGTCCTCACAGCTTGCCTCAAATTCTAAATATGGCGACTGAAGAATACATTATTCTTCTTTTGCTAATATCTGGATAGAATAAAAGGAGTGGAGGATTAAGAATCACAAAAACAGGCCAATTCTTCAATTTCACTAAATATACCTGGGTTTTTTTGGTTTTGTCTTTTTTTACTTTTTGGGTATTGGCTGACTGGTTTCTCTTTTGTCCTCATAACAGCACTTTAAGGAATGTTCAATTTGTCTCTATTCCTGTTCTCTGTTATAACAGCTTGAGACTGAGAGGCAGAGGATGGGAGACAATAATAGATTCTTAAGCCTTTACAAATACATTCTTCCCCATTACACACGAACAAGAATTCTCTGTACTCAGGATGTCATCTAATGAACATGCCGTCCAACTTAGTTCCTTCTATATATGTCCTCCTTTTGCATTTGTACCTACAAAGACCTGGGAAGTACACCCACTGTTCCTGAAAAGGCTAGGAGGAAGACAAAACCATCAGCTGAAACTAAACCATTATTAAAAAACAACAGAAGAGGCAAACCGGCCATCCAGTAACAGGCTGTGAGCAAACAGACTAGAACCGGAGCTGCTATGTCAGACCGCAGCCCAGGGACCCATGACTGAGGACGCGGCCCTGAGCAATGTGGTGTTACCTCGAAATACTTGTTTTAAGGGCAAGAATGATTCCAAAGGATAAGAAATAACTTATGTCAGGCAGCACAAAATTCTGTAACAGTCTGTGAAACTAAAACATCAGATTTTTTTTTAAATCCTCACCTGAGGACATGCTTTATTAATTTTAAAGAGACAGGAAGGGGGAGGGAGAAAGAGATGGGAGAAAGAAACAGCGACTGGTTGCCTCCAGTACACACTCAGACTGGGGATCGAACCTGCAACCTTTTCACGTGTGGGATGACACTCCAACCAACTGAGCCACCCAGCCAGGACACACCAGATTTGTTTATCCCAAAGTGGGGACAGCTTCTGTTAAGGTTCAACTAGAGCAGTTCTGCTGAGCAGACGTGGTCCATCTGGGAAAAGGATCTTACCTGAGGAGAAAGAAGAGGCACCTACACAGAAGCTCAACATCAGAGCCCAGCTGGAGGAACTCATGGAAGAGTTTGAGGATGTCGGGGACGTAGGAGAAAGGCAGCACGAGCAGGGACTCCTCCAGCTCACTGAAGAAGAAAGCACAGACGTTAAAAATGCCACATTCCTTAACGTGGTCAGTTGCACATCTTTCCTCTACTATTTTTTCCTACTGCTTTTATTTAACAGATCTGATCCATTCAGAATCGAACTAATATTCATCCATTTCTAGATGGCTCTCTTTCGATGTTTTGTTTTTCACACGGAACACTGTCGTCTACTGGACGCTTGTGGCCCATGGCATGGTGGGGGATCTAACGTCTGTTCGTCCAGATAACTGTTTCTCCACGCCCGCTGTGAAGGTCCGTCTGCAGTGGCACCTCGCCCCCATGCACGGAGTCCTCTGTGCAGCGGTCTGTCTCAGGGCTGCTCAGTGTGCATGATCAGCTGATTCTGACAACCATCCTGTGCTATTCTTTTAATTTTGCTAGTTTACAGGGGGTTTTTGTTTGTTTTTAAATCTAGGACAATAGCTCCCTTTTGTTGCTCTGGTTCTGGTTTTACTTTTCTTGAACTACCTCTAGTTATCATTTCATCAATTCCAAAAGGATTTCAGTGGAGTCAAAGATGTGTAAATTTAGGTTTAAGAAAAACCAAAGCTTTGAAACAGAACCTTCCCATCTAGGGATGCACTGTACCTCCATGAACCTAAATCTCCCTTTTCATTTCTCCAGTGAGGGTTCATCATTATTCAGGTAGGCCCTGTTTACCACTTGTAAGGGATACATTTAGATGTTACAGGTCAAACTCACACAAAAAATCAAGAAGTAAATCACTGGGTGGGGGGGTGGACTGGGATGGGGGTAAAAGGCAGAAAACTGTACTTGAACAACAATTAAAATTAAAAAAATAAATAAATAAATTTCTACATTTCAACAACCAAAAGTAAATCACAAATGAAAAACATTATTCCAAAAATATGACAAAAGATATTAAAAATTCTTAAACACCAGTAAAAGAAACGATTAAAGCACCAAGAAAGGAAAAGTATCAAAAGCTCACAGGAAAAATACAAATGGCTAACAACTATAAAATTTTAACTTTGTCAAAAATCAAAAGAAATGAAAATAATACAAAACAACCGTCTGCCTCTCACACTGACACAGAATGTTTAAAGCCCTGTGGACATCAGCAGGAGCACTCTGCAGAAGTGATTCAGCAACATGAGCCTTGGAAAAGCTCGCTCCCGTCCTCTGATCAGTCCCTGGACTGCTGGAGCTCCCATCTTAATAAAAACAAAGACCTGGATTTCTATGTAAAGGTGTTCACTGAAGCAATATTAACAATAGCAAAAAATAAATGCAACATCCACTAGTAATTATTCATACAGTGGAACACCGTTAATTCAGTGACACGTCCTTGAAGAACGACATCGGCAAATGCTCAGGAAACATTCTGTGACGAAGGACAGACACAGAGCTGTCTGTCTACAAGACGGTTCCAGCTGTGGACGTGCACAGCAGACAAGCCCAAGGAAGTGCGCCACGAAAAATGTCCAGTGCGGTCCTTCTGTGACTGAGGTACAGAGGACGCCGAGACCTACAGTGTGAAGCAGCACTGCCCTTCGCCTGCCCTTAGAAGTAGAACCCCCAGCTCCACTTCAAAAAGAACGTTGTGATGAATGATTTCCCATCAAAATTCTGACCTGGTTAAATCTATGAAGGATGATAAGCATCAGTTACACTTTCTCCTTCCCTCACGTTCAGATACGCACCCAATAAACGTCGTTAGCTGACAAATCACAGCAACTGTGCACGGAAACTCACCTGGACTTGATTCCTTTAAAAATCTCCAGCACGTAAGCAGAAGGCTGTCAAGGAAGGACAGTGGCATGAGTGACACTGCGGACTGGCTTCTGCTGCACTCCCTAATTCTGTCTCCGAAGGGCCAGGACCCGTCTCTCTCTCCCGGGACACGGTGCTCTAAAGTGGCGAGACTCGCACGGGCCTCGAGATGGGTGGGTCTGGGTTCACACCCAGCTCCGCCACCTACCAACTACATTGCAGTCTGTCTGTAAGTCAGGCCGCTCTCCTAACTGTAACACGAAGGTGCCCTGATCGGACGAGCCCTGCGATGAGTGAGCCGTGCGGGCAGAGTACCCGGTCCCCGGCCGCTGCTGAGAGCATGCGCTGTCCCATC